CTCGAGGATGATGAACACTCTCGTCGACCTCAAGCGGTAGACAACGATATTTTGAGGGCTGCAATCGAACCGGATCCTTGTCAAACTTGCTCAACAGTTTCTATGTTCCAATTCTACTATTGATGAGCATCTCCACGTCATTGGAAAGACGATCAGATGCGGGAAATGGCTTCCTCACGAGTTAAGCAGTGCAAAAAAGGCTTCACAGGTCGCTACTGCCGGAATCCTCATCCGCCACGCTAAATATCATGGCTTTTTTGATTCTCTCGTTACTGGAGGTGAGAAGTGGATCCATTTCGATAATACTATTCGAAAACGGAAATGACTAGGACCAGGAGAACGGCCAAATCCGACCGTGAAACCTGACATTCATGGGAAAAGATCATGCTCTCAGTATGGTGGAATAACAAGGTTCTTGTGTATTTCGAGCTTCTACAAACCGGCCAAACAGTCACATCCCACCTCTACAAACAGCAACTTGATTGGGTCAATGAAGTTCTCATTCGTCAAGGAGTAGACACATCAAAGATAAAGTTCATCCATTACAACGCTAGACCTCACGTTGCAAAGATGACTCAGCAAAAACTGGAGAATCTAAGATGGGAGGTTTTACCACATCCGCCGTATGCTCCCGATTTGGCTCCCTCAGATTACCATTGATTCCGGTCGATTCAAAACTTTTTGGTCAATGAGAAATTCAAAAACCGTGAAGATGTCCAAAATTAGGTCGCCAAGTCTTTCGGCTGAGTTTTTCAAGCGCGGCATCAATTCTTTGCGCAAAAGATGGCAAGAAGCAATCAATAATAATGGTGAATATACTTTGGATTAAACTGTGGTGTTTCTGTTTTTAAGGTAAATTTTGTCGACTACTAAAACGCTCGTTTATGTCCGAACAACCTAATACATTAAGCGAAAGTCGAGGTTATAAATTTTGTATTGTTTTTTTTAAATGGAAAGATTGGGGAGTCTGGGGGAACTTAAGAAGGTAGAAGTGATAATTTGTGATGCTTTGTAGGAATTTTGTTATTATCACTGTTGATAAATTTAATTGACTCGAGATAATGTTGATGGAATGTTCGTTTTGTCGTGGCTAGATTGCATAAATTAGTAAGAATTTCGGAACCTTAAAGGAATGTTAGACCCCTTAATATGAATGTCAACAAACTCAGCAGAGCCCCTTGCGAACTATGAGGTATGATTCTCGGGGTCTGCGGGCATTGTCCTTCGTAAATGGCCGGCAAAACCCCGAATTCACTTTTCTGACCAATGTGTGCCCGGGGTTTGTCGGCGCTTTTCATGATAAATGACTGGCAACCCCGGATTGACTGTTCTTAACTGTCAATTCCGGGGTTTACCGGGACATTTCTCAATAAATGGCCGGCAAAGCTCGAGTTCACTGTTCTGTCGGGATTTGTCGGCAATTTTCTTAGTGATTTGTCGGCAAATTTCTTGGTAAATTGCCGACCAGACCCCGAATTGGCTGTTCTAACAGTGATTCCCGGGGCTTTCCGGCACTTTTCTTAGTAAATGGCGGGCAAAACCTGAATTCACTGTTCTGAGCACTAAATTTCGGGGTTTGCCGGTACTTTTCTTAGTAAATGAGCAGCAAGCCCCGAGTTTCTTTGTTCTAACAGTGCTTTCAGGGGTTTGCCGGCACGGCAAAATCCTTTTTAACTGATTTTCGGTACCCAGCTCGACCTATTTCGACGTTTCACGATGTGGACAAAAAAACGCCTATGCCTTAGCCTTAGCTCCGGGTTCATCCCAAACCCAAATAGACTTAGTGCGAGGCGCTAGCCGCTAGCTTTCGCACTAAGTCCAAGCCCAATTCGGCTAGCCAATATCTAAGCTAAAAGTACAAACCCATCATGACATATATTTCACTAAAGAAACGCAAATCCGTCAGAGACGCTCCACAGTAAAACAAAGATCCACGATACCAATGAAAATGAACGAGGAACGAATTTCATTCTATTCGGAACAGAATTGAATCTTTCTGGACCGTTTCGATGTGATTGCAGAGGATTGATTCACGTGAATGGGTATATCCATGAAAAGAGCCTATATAGCTGAAAATTTCTCTTTTTAAGGCATTTCTACTAATTTCTTTTCTAAAGCGTCTAAACCATTTCATGGTCTTTGGAGCCGATTTTGCTTAGCTTAGACCAAAGGATTGTGTCAGCAACATCAATCAACATTCGCTAAATGTGTTGAAACGTCTTGTTATGGTGCTAACAAATGATTTTGGGTAGGGTGAAGGTAAACTGCGGCAGGTTCAAAGGGCGGTGTCGATAGCATCAGAGGGAAAATTTTTCAGGCCTTAGCTATGTGGCAAGAAAATTTCCGCAGATGTCAAAACACCCTTCGGCCGTAAGATCAAGGGTAAATGGCGGCAAGCTCAAAGAAAAATCGCGGTAAGATCAACGCTGACGTTGGTATGATAAAAAGGAAAATTTTTTCAACATTTCAAAACCTTCGTAGGGTCTTGCGGCGGCAAGATCAAAGGTAAATAGCGGCAAGATGAAAGGAAAATGGCGGTAAGATCAAAGGAAAAATTTTTGCAACCTTAACTATAGGCCAAAAAAAAAATTTTTTTCTAACCGCTTTGGGAGACTCAGCTGGACCTATCTCGACGTTTTAGGCTATGTCAAAAAAAGCCCAAAATCGACATGTCAGATCTCAAATTCCAGACATGAGATCGACCTGAAAATTTGTCAGGATGCTCCTATGAGGGGCGGATGCAGAACCCCAAACGGGTGTGCCTTAGCTCCCAGAACTCGCTGAGATCCAAAAAATGGGGGTTCAGCCCAAACCCAAATAGACTTAGTGCTAGGCGCTAGCGCTAGCCTACGCACTAAGTCCAAGCCTGAGCCTAAGCCTAAGCCTGAGCCTAAGCCTAAGCCTGAGCCTAAGCCTGAGCCTAAGCCTAAGCCTGAGCCTAAGCCTGAGCCTGAGCCTAAGATTGGATAAAAAGAAAAAAAATTAGAGCAAAAAACTGTTTGTTCAAGAGAAAACTTTGAAGCCCCATAATGTTTTTCCTTTTTATCCAATCTTTCTAATTTAAAAAATTTAACATAATGATTAATGATTCTGCGTTGAATGATACTAAATACTTGATGGTTGGACGCTCCTAGACCAACTCATTCATAATCGACTACGACAGATACAGGGTGTCCGAAAAAAAGCAGTCATCGGTTTGAATCTGGAAAAGTTTTCTCGTTGATTTTTCAAGGCTCATCGTAGTGCCAATGGTTTGCCAATGGTTGTCAATGGTTGTCACAACAAGATGAAGTGGATTTTTTTTTGATGATTTTGTGAATAGGGGATATTTGAGCTCCCCGGCATCAGCCGGGGAGCTCAAAATCCACGAATACATGAAAAACCCACTTTTGAATTCCTCTATTTCACCACAAATCTTTCTACTTTTTGTTTTTCTAAATTTGTTTTGTTCTTTTGAAATGGAGGAATTCAAAAGGGTGTTTTTCATGTTTTCGTGGATTTTGAGCTTCCCGGTCGACCTCTATTCATAAAATCATCAAAAAAATCAACTTCATCTTATTGTGTGACGCCTTAGGCGAAACCATTTGACCATTGACAACCATTGACAATCATTGACAACCATTGACAACCATTGGCACTACGATGAGCCTTGAAAAATCAACGAGAAAATTTTTCCAGACTCAAACCGATGACTGCTTTTTTTTCGGGCACCCTGTATAGCTTAGCGTCGATCGGCGAATCGTCGAGTCAACGTCGAGCGTCGAAAATTCCATTCCGTTTAGATAGAGCTTTCCGTTATAGATAGCCGTCGTAGCCGACTGGATAGGAGTGTTGTCTCCTAGTCGGGGGGTTAAGGGTTCGATCCCGGCGGCTAGAAACATTGCTTCTTTTTCCCATTATTATGGGTTTTTTCTTAGCAACATTTGGGTAATAGGGGTAATTAGGGATAAAGGTTTCCTCCGTTGTGTTGTAATTCATTATTCGTGTCGAATAAATATACTTTAGATAGCCGTCGACTGTATTAGAAATAAAAAAAATAAAAGGATTTATGGTGAAATGAAGAAATTAAAAAGTCTCATTAAATGGATACGATGATTTTGGATCTTTTGCTTATCCCATCACTTCGCTCATCACTTCGCCCATCACTTTTTGTTATTCTGTGACCGCCGCTGAGGCAAAACCATTTTTGACATCGATCTACTATACTTTCAGCGATGTATAGTACATCGATGTACTATACTTTCGTTTTTCTTTCTTATTGTACACTTGAATGGTTGCTGTTGCTTAAACAGTTGCTTAAACAAAAAATAAACTTGTTTAGTGTCAATTTTTTCCAAAAAATTAATTAATTTTTTTCAAATGGAATGTGAGAAAAAAAACCCTGATCAAACAAAAAAAAAAAAAAAATAGGAAAGCATCGACAAATTTTTGAGGCATTTAATGGTGAAGATCATCATCGTTTAGAGAATAATTAGAAGCTCGAGAAAATTGAAGAGGAATTGAAAATCTTTCTTTTCATTCATCTTTGAAAAACCATTCGGGTGGTTCGACGAAAAACACACCACCATCAGTTGCACAATAAGTTGGGCAAACCTGAAAACATTTATGGCTTGCTAGCATCATTTGAGGTTGAGTTTGGTGTTTTTTTTTTTCCTTTTGTATGTTCCATTTCAATCACTTACCCCCTTTTCTCCTTCATCTCCAATTTCTCCAATCGATCCAACACTTCCCGCTTCACCTTTCCCACCGGGGAGTCCATTTCGACCTTTTGGTCCACGTAAACCCATCACACCTTGAGGTCCATCAAAACCCGGCATACCGATTGGACCTAGAAATGCATTAGACAATGAAAAAGAAAGATTACGGTATTTTCAGAAGTTAACATTAGAACATTAGAAAATTAGAAAATTAGAATATTAGAACATTAGAATATTAGAATATTAGAATATTAGAATATTAGAATATTAGAACATTAGACCATTAGAAAATTTAGAATTTTAGAAAAACAACTCACCAATCGGTCCTCGTGGTCCAATTTCTCCAATTTCCCCAGGTGATCCCGGAATGAATGGAGACGGCATCGCGTCTTCGCCCGAATCCCCGATCAATCCATCCAAACCGGGTACTCCTCTAAAATTTCCTACTATTCCTACTTTTTCTCAACTACCACTCACCTCGGTCCTAAATCACCCTTTCGTCCCTTTTTCCCGTCATTTCCATTTTTCCCGCGCTCTCCTTTCACCCCTTGTTCTCCTTTATCACCTGATGGACCCTGAAATTCTCGTATTTACTTGTGATTTACTGGATTTCAGTCGATGATTTATGCTTTAAGCCAATCCTACTTGTGATCCGGGTTTCCCCTGAACTCCAGTCGGACACGGATCAGGGCAATGAATCGAGTAATCGATCGGCGCATCACACGGTAAACGAGCCGGTTTTCCAGGTGCACCTAGATTTTCTTTTCGTTAAAGATTCGACTTAAAGATTAGGCTTCTTCAAAACAAATCCAAATTTCTTCAAATCATTGGATCATTGGATCATTGAAGCATTGAATATTTTCCTTATCAATTGTCAGCACCATTTTCATATTCTCCGAACTATTTTCCTGTTTTACCTGGAACCCCGGGTTGTCCATCAAATCCGTGACGTCCGGGTAGACCGGGCGGTCCTTTCGGGAATTCACATCTAAAGAAGCCTTGTTGAGTAAATGTTTCTCTAAATTTCCAACTGACGGGCATTCTTCATCGGCGAATCTTCGAAATCGTGTTGAATTCTTTGGTGAAATCGATGTCATAGCATGATTTCTCACCTCGACGATCAATTGCTAAAGAAAGAGCAAAATATGAAAGAGATCTATCTATTTGACTGGATATCATCAAAAGTTAATGTTTCAATGAAAAGGTATTCAGTTAACAGTTAACAGTTATCAATTATCACTTATCAGTTATCAGTTATCAGTTATCCATTATCCATTATCCATTATCCATTATCCATTATCCAAAGAGCACATGATTACGATAGCTTAGCTTTTACACTAATTCATCAAAAACCAAGCCTTAAAAGTAATGCGTCAACTTTTCACAAATCTTTCAACTAATTCCCAACCTGACAACCATTGGCATCATTTTCGAGTTGTGCGTTGATGGAATGAGTGAACGAGTAAAGTAGAGGGATCGCTGTGGAAAGTGACGAGAGACAAATCATCACAATCACTAATGATATCCAAATGGTGAGCTCATAAATCGACTCTCTTCTTCGCCATTCCCACGCCGATTCGCCCATTCACAAACTGCCAAATGAGATAAAAGTTGAAAAGAGACCAATCGTTTTTGCTAATGAAAAAGGTATAACTCAATTTCAAATAAAAGTTAAACTTTTGAAATTCAACGGTTAGTGTAAACTGTAAAAATTTCACGTAAAGCTCAAAATTTTCTTTTGCTCAATAGCTCAACGTCAAGAGAATTCGTCTAAACAAAGATGCTGATAAAAACAGAAAGGGAAGGTGAGCTCTTTGTGGGAAGAACTTTCTCCTTTCTCACGAAAATGTCCACAAATTGGGTCAAAAGAAATGGAACACGGGTTTTCCCCACCTCTTTCGAAAAAAACTGATCAACCAGGTTCGATAATCACCACCCAAGCGAGATCCGTCAAACGCTGACGTTAAAATTCTACAAAGAGTCTTTGTTTTCCTTAGATAGTATACAATATTTATTTTTGTATTAGACACATACACAAAAATTAGAATTAGAAACTTGGTGGCACGGAAAATTCTAGAATGGCACAGATAAAATCGTTCACAAAGTAGCAACTTTAAAAAATTTCCAAGTTTACTGAAAAAACATAAAATAAGTGCATCAAAGTGAGATGATGAGAACCCGTATAACAAGAAAATGAAAGAAAATTCACCTCCGCGAAAAACTGTTAAAAAGAGTCACTTAAAATAAACCTAATCTCAAAACGATATACACAAACTTTTCCTACAATATAAATGCTACCGTCAAAATCGAGGCGGTTGTTCCTTTGGTGACGACGTTGTGAATTCTCCAGAAGACAATGAATCTGATGCAAAATTGACAGAAGGGACTTGATCATGCGGAGGAGTCTAAAGTAGATTATGAATTGTGAGCAAAACAGCAACAATTCCTATGAAATGCGTTTTTACAAAAAAATAATCATCGCCAAAACTCACCCTATGCCGTAATGTTCGAAGTTGATTGACCGGAGTCGATGTATGACTTTCAATGAATTCGCCTCGACACACCAAATTCGCAGCTTTCATGATTGGTGAGAAGGGAGCCGACTCAAGGGAAGCAGCTCTAGCAATAGTGGTCTAAATTTAATTATGAATCAAATTATTGCAAAATAAATTACAATTGTCGACATCTTTGCCTTTGGTACTACTTGGTGTCCCTCCTGTCCTCGATCATTCGGCAACTAGAAAAGAAAGACATACAAAGTTTGCTAAGCTAGAGCTTGCCGGAATTATGCAGCAACCGCGCACAAAGATTGATAGGAACACTGGCAAAAAGATCAAGCCGTGCAATAAACCAATGGAGATCGCAAGAAAAACCTAAAGTCGTGTTTGTGAATTCAAGTAGCCAAATATTACTGTTTTGAAGAAGGTGACCACCATGTAAGCCGGCACATCAGCCAAAACAACCATGGCAAGAATAGTTGAAGAACCTCCCTAAATATCTTCCATTTAGCTCTAAGTATTAAGGACTTACTTGGAAAAGTGGCCATCCAAGTGAACCAAGAGCCTCTCGAATCTTCAAAGCTGGTGTTGGTTGCGAGGACACCTTCAAATTAAAAAAGTCAGTCTTTAAATTAATATTAAAACCAACCACATATCCATAGGTTATGTGAGCAGAATAGTCGACTGAGAATCCGATCGACATGATGATTGTGATCATCGAAATGGCATCCTTAACTATTTTATTGCATGTGCAACCGTTTATAAAACAAACCAAGTTCACATCCCAAAGTGTCATGAAACCAATGACTCCGAAGTCGATTGAAGCACAAGCCATGGCAACCCAAAGCGCACAGAAGGGCTGAAAAAGCAGCATAGGTAAATAAATTGGATTTTAAAGTTAGTCGAAAGTACGAATTCTTAAAAACACTACCTGAGGAATGAGGATAAAAGCAATAATGATCATCACCAAGAGAGCTATCCAGATATTTTGTATAGTGTTCGGAATCACAATCGCATATTGATCGGTGAAGAGCCACAACGGCATAAACGAGGTTACATTGTACCTAAAATTTATGATTCTTTTAAAAAGTTTAAGTTTCTTACTCAGGCCAATGAGAAGCGATTTGTCGCATCAATTGCGTGGCCGCTTGTTGTCCGGTCGTCGATTGAATGTCGCGTATACCAATTAAGAAACTAAATATGAAAAAGAATCACGCAAAAGTATACAATTTTACCGGAAACTGCGAACAACCAATTCTCCATGAGTGTTGTTTTGCCAAAATATATCTGCTTCCCAAGTGTTCGGATTCTTCGAGGCCAGCCAATGGATAAGTTGCCCGTAAAATGCGACATCGTTGATCGGCATTATCGACTTGTAATAACTAAAAGGTCGTAAAAACTTTTTCGATGGCAAAAGATACATTTCCATCTCGTCTGCCCAATATTGGATTGAATCTGGACCACATGAGTGTTTAGAAGAGGCGAATTCGGTAATCATTGTTTTCAATCGTCTCCTTTCTGTCGCATTTCTCATGTCTGGTGCATTGTTGACGACAAGCTAAAATATTCAACTAATGATTGTATTCTGATCGATTACTTGGATTTGTTCAATTGAAATCAGAAAAAGACCTGTAAAGTGGCTCCGTATTTCCAGAAATACTGCTGTAACATCTTGTAATGCGGGATCGCATAAGAGTCTTGAACGAGTAGATTGATTGGCTCAAGTCCTTCCTTAAATTGATAACTTAAAACAAGTCAAGATGCCAGATGGTGATACCTTAATCTTTGAGCATCCATATCCGGAAATGAGCAGATAGATGATGAACCAAACAAGAACGAGGCCTTTCACCACCGGATGCATCAGGATCGGGGCAAACCAATTTGTAAAGAAACGAGTGGTTGCTGGATCATCTTCGTAGACAGCCTTTTGCATGCCTTTCTTTTCATTAAGCGCCGGCCTAAACAATTATTTGACAAGACCTTATTAGCAAAACAACCTTGAACCAATGTTGAACAATTTTGTCAGAATCGATGCACCTTCAATTTGGTCGGCTGGCACCGTCTTGCACAAAAACACCGAATTCAATCCTCTTCCCTCCCAACGCGTGTAAACTGAAAGCAACGCGGCGAAGAATGTAATCTAAAAACAACAACTTGTCAATCGAATAAACTGTAAGTACCTGATAGACAAATGTTGCGGAGATTGCTAAGCAAGTGTAAATGCAGAAGATTTGTACGGCTGGGATCGATGTGATTGTTCCAACTCCAAAAGAAAACGCATCCGTGAGTGCAGTGATCAAAATCGAGACAGCTGCATCAGAAAGACATTCGCCTAAAATGAAGAGTTACATTAAATTTTCTATATCAATTCGATTCAACTTACCCATTCTTTGACCCGTTGTGTGAGTTCGTGGCGTACGGCGAACAGCGGAAACCATTAAGAACATATTGTCAACTCCGACCGCTAAATTAACAATTAGTTGTTGGCTTTTTCACCATACCAACGACAAGAAATGGCATCACGGCAACAATATCATTGTAGGGGACACCGAGTAAAAGACCTCCACCAATCGCCGTGAGAATACCCATACCGGCATTGAAAACTCCGAGAATTGAAAGAATCTAAGCAACCGTTGGAATTAAGCGCGTCAACATATCATTACCGGTTTACTGAGTACCCAATCAATAGCAAGGGTTCCATTGACAAAACCAATAGCACACAACGCTGTGAAGAGCAACATCAACATGAAAGCCACAGCGAAACGAGGAACTAAAGATGATTGTTGTCATAGACCAACAACGGAGAACTCTTAAGTAATACCTAAAGAATCAGCATTTCTTTTCAACTCGTCGGCCAGCGTTTGCGAATGGAAATAGGTGAAAGTAATGTATGGATCCTCTGGATAATTTTTTAGTTGTCGAACTAGTTCCTGAAAGTTAAACAATTTTGTTTGACCTTAAAAGTGGAAACATACGTTTTCAAACAATCCCGAAATATAGCTCATATTGGTTGGATGAAATTTCATGTGATAGATGAGGAACCAAGAACGGGCTTTCGCTAAAATAAAGTTATTAAGCTTTTCCAAAATGGAAAAACCTAGAATCGTCCTGTTTTTCTCATCGTGCCCCAAAAGCACACCACCCAACGAACTGCCCAAGTATCCACTTCTAAAATAAATCATAAATAAGATCTTCAGAAGCAAATCTTACTCTGTTCCAATCCGGAATGTGGGAAACGTGATGTTCACTCCTCGTTGGTAGATTTCCGAGAGTAGATGCACGTGTTTATTTCCGGGACAGCCTGCCGACTTGTAGGACAAACAGAGGTCCTAAAGTTGGGTTGATGATGTGATGATTGAGCCGTAACCCTACCGCATATCTGTAAACTTTGTTTTTATAAGTAACACTGATGCGATTCTCTATGAATTGATCAAGTCGATAAACAGCTTCGGAGTAGGGTTTCTCCAAAATATTGGCATTATCTCTCGCAAGAACGGTGATCTAGAAAAATAAAGATTACGGTCTTGACCGGTTCCATCCAAAAAATTTCATGCTTAAATTTTTTTATCAATCAAAATAACTTTTGACGAGATACCTTTTTGGGATGCTCTAACCTTCTATTTTCATAATCCAACATACCAAAGTATCGAGCAATTTATTTAGTATCACTAGCATTTATGACAAAGACCCAAAAAATGCTGCATAAAAGTCTTGACCGGTTATCATTATTTTGTATTTTTTATTTGCTTTTCCGTCCATTTGTTTCCATTGGTCTTTTTAGATGCCGGAACAATATCTCTCAACCACCGACAAGGAAAAAAATAATTGAGGCTCGTTCCAGGGGACACATCACAGTGAAAGACTTGATGCAACTTTTTCGATGCTCTGAAAAACAATTCGACGGCTTGTAGCCCAGTCAAAATCGAGAGGCGACGTCCGGAGAACTCAGAAATCTGGTCGGCCACTCTCGAAAACACCTAGAGAAGACAAGGCGCTCATGTTGACACACAAAAAGGACCCAAATCTTAACGCATCGGATGGAGTTCGCCTGATGACGCAAAAATTCAACAAGGATATCAGCCGTATGACTGTGAGCCGACGGCTGATTCGAGCTGGTTTGATGGCCAGACATGTTGCCAAGAAACATCTAATGGTTCCCAAGCACCGGAAGCTTCGTCTCGAGTTTGCAAAGAAGAACACAAGTTGGACACCAAAAGGCTGGGCCAATGTGGTGTTTGCTGATGAATCAAAAGTCAAACTTTTCTAACCGGATAGCGATCATTTGATTAAAAGAACGATCGGACAGCGATACAACGCCAAATACCTGCGGCCGACAGTCAAATTTGGTGGTAGATCGGTAATGCTTTGGGGTAAGAGACTTTTCTTCCTAAGTCTACCGATCTTGTTTTGCTTAGACCGGAAATGCACCGGCTCCTCTTGTCCTCATCAACTCGACTCTCGATGCTCAACGGAACAAGGATATCATGGAGAACCACCTCCTACCGTTTTCGACTGCAAAAATGGGACAGGGATGGTTACTTTACCAAGATAACGCTCTTTGTCACAAGTCGCAGCTGCTGATAGGCCGCGTCGTTCGTCTCGCGATTGGTGGAAGAGCTCGTCTACCAGGATGGTTCCGCTCAAATGGTGTTCAACTTGTTTCAGCTCCATCCTATAGCCCCGATCTCAACGTCATTGAACATCTCTGGGCGTATGTGAAGTCACAATTGAAAGGAAAACGATTTTGATCAAAGGCTGAGCTGTGGTACTACATTCGAAACGCTTGGCGGAAAGTTTTTCCACAAATTCTCCATGCTTTGGTCGATAGCATGCCTAGGAGGATCCAGGAAACCATTAAAGCTCGAGGTGGACCGACAAAATTTTAATTGGAAAGTCTTTCTCATGTTTTTTTGTTACTGGTCAAGACTTTTGTGCCGCTTTTTTTAGGTCCTTGTCTATGCTAGTGATACTAAATAAATTGCTCGATACTTTGGCATGCTAGATTATGAAAATAGAAGGTTAGAGCATCCCAAAAAGGTATCTCGTCAAAAGTTATTTTGATGTTTTGATAAAAAAATTTAAGCATGAAATTTTTTGAAGGGGATCGGTCAAGAATTTTCGCATGACTGTATTATCGTTTATCAAAATGCCTTTACCTGAACTTCTCGCGCTTCCGTTACGGCCCTTCCTGGAATGTAATTGTCCTGATAGAGTGGCCACTTCTCGTGAATCGACTGTCGTTCCATTTTCGACTCGGCTCCTCTAAAATTTTAACTCAAAGTTATGTAATCATCTCTAGACTATCTAGCTTCTGCATCAATAGATTTGGTACTTTGGTGGTTGGGAGGGGCCACTTTTATCCTGGCTTAGTTGAATCTAATGTTTTGAGTGGTTGTATTGATACCTTTTATCTACCTATCCTAGGATAATCAAATATGCTTATACTTTTAGAGCATTTACAATATATTTCAAATTTCATATGCCACTTTTATTTGATTTTCAAGTATAAGCAGCTTTGAGGTAGCGTTTGATGATGGTTAAAGCATATGAGATAAGGCTAGAATTGCCAAAAGCTTGCTAAAATAGTCTCCAATCTTTTAACCATATTTGATTACCCTAGAATAGATAAAAGGTATCAATACAACCACTCAAAACATTAGATCCAACTAAGCCAGGAGAAAAGTGGCCCCTCCCAACTACCAAAGTACCATAGATTTAATCAAAATGTTAATTAAACGTACACTGGTGTGAATAAATAGACGGCATCGGTGATGGGTTTCATGTGCAGAAAGCCGGCGCACATGGTCGCCGTGAAGAGCATCGGCAACACGATGAATGGAAGCGGATGGCGTGAAATGAAGCGTCCATAGGCCTCGAAGAAGTGAGCGATAGGTCGCTCTATGCAGTCGAATCTCATCCGGTGGCACCTGAAAGAAAACGTAAAGATTCAGTAATTCGATGAAAAAAACAAAAGGAGAAGCAATTCAACGAAACCAATGCAAGAATTGAAATGCTTTGTTCTTAAGTTGACTGCATTGTTTAACCTAAAACTTCATTGAAAACGTTGTAAACGCTCAATTCTTCGATTTCAAACACCAATATGTTCTAAAGAGCAAAGCAACAACAGATTAACATCTAAGAACAATGCTACAAAGTCGATAACAAATGGGATGGTCGTAAATGAGAGGTATTCCACAAAAGAGCGAATATCAAGGAGGCTCTAGGTGACTTTCACTTGTCATCAGCCACCCGCGGGCACACAAATGCACAGGAAACGCGATATAGCGGCGGATTTAGGTCAGTGCAAGCAAAATTTATGCAAAAGAAAACAAACGTAAGAGATTGGTGCGGTTGATTTTTATAATTTTGAAGCTAGACGAACAACAATGGGAAATGGGAAAATTTTGCTTTCCTGCTGCTGGAAAGCGTTTCAATTTAATGCTTTGAAGCTATTTAGTTAAAGAAGTTAAGAAATTGAAAGGACTGGCTACTTTACGCCAAATTTTTTCCCCTACTCGCATAACTTTCCTCTAAGAATTGTAAGTGGGTCAATCTTTATGATTTTAGTGTCATTTTGTAGATTTCAACAAGGTGCAACAAAATCAACAAAAATCATAAAGATTGGCCCACTTAGAAGAAAGTTATGGAGAGTTGCGCAAAAAATTTGGCGCAAAGTAGTCACTCCCAAATTGAAAATTGTTACAAAAGATCAACAATGCAGCACAAAAGTTGGAAAACGACTTTTGTGAAACTTTAAAAAACTCGCATCAAATCATCGCAGGCAAATCTAAATCGATAGGGATTGGCAGAAAGTCTTTTAATATGTTGGTGAGGAGATTGTGTGATCCGTGAGTCACAAAAGCCCTCAGGGGCAATTCACAATGGGTGAAGAAAGAGAGAAAAGCCGGTTTTTGACGTTCCCCCTTTTGCACTTTCCTTTTATAAGCATAGACACACATTAAAGCAAGTCACTCTCCATGTCAACCACCATTTAGCATTCACAATTTGTTACAGGTCAACAAATAACAATAACAAGACCATGGCTGACAGTGAAACGTGAAAAATTTGCTCTAGGTAAAAACTGAAAGTAGACGTTGTCCTTGCTTCAAGTAAAGTTGAATCTAATCCGAAAAGTGCCACTTGTATAAATAAAACATGAAAACCAAAAACGGGGGAAAGTTCAAGACATGAAAACCAAAAACGCTTGAAATCGAACGATACAAAAACTTCAGAAAACTGAAGAAACTTTATCCCCGCCTGCCCCCTTTTTAAAAATGTACTTAAAAGTCAGATTCCTCATAGCCGAAAATCCCCGGGATCAAACTATCGCGCGCAAAACATGAATACTTTGCTTTTTAGTGGGGTAGGCTAGTTTGCGCAACAGGGTCATTTGCCCAACTCGCCATAACTTTCTTCTAAGTGGGTCAATCTTTATGATTTTGGTTTCATTTTGTTGCACTTATTGAGATCTACAAAATGAAACCAAAATCATAAAGAAAATTATAGCGAGTTGCGCAAATAACCCTGTTGCGGAAACTAGCCTACCCCAGAATTTAAGCACTTATCAACCGCCAATTTTGTTTATTTAGGTCTATTAAAGTGTTTTCTACTTAAAAAAACCAAGAAATCTATAAAAGCAGAAGGAAAACATAAACAAAGGGGTAAGCTAGTTTCCACAATTTTTTTGCGCAACTCGCCATAACTTTGTTCTAAGTGAGCTAATCTTTATGATTTTGGTTTCATTTTGTTACACTTGTTGAGATCTACAAAATGAAACCAAAATCATAAAGAAAGTTATGGCGAGTTGCGCAAATGACCCTGTTGCGCAAAAAATTTGGCGCAAAGTAGCCTATCCCCTTTTAGCCGATAGAGTAAACGTAAACACGGAGCGTCGCGTTTGCGCACAGACGGACGTCTCTTCTGCTTTATATATAGTAGATTTCATGGGCCGCAAGCCAAAAACAAAAATTGCGCCGAGTTATACGTTAACGTTATACCGGTTTTGTTTGTTAATACAATTTTAAAATCTTTTTTAAAACGCACCTATAATGATTAAAGGTCTTACGAAATGCATCTTCCACAAAGAAACACCAACGGTAAACTAAATACAGTTGAGTAAACTAAATACCAACAAAGAACCGCGTGCTAAGCACTTAAGCAACGATGTTTGCACTTAAAAACATTTAGTCATTGTGATTGAACTTAAATTGAACGTCATCAAAAAAACAAGGTAAAGTCTCAATAAAATACAGTCATGTGCCATACAGTCATGTGTCTTTTCACATTCAATTTTCTTTGATAAAGCTCATGGTTATCTTTAAGCTATTAGTAGTTCTAGTTACATACAGTGGTCCACAAAAGTATTGTCCCATTGCCATCTAAAAGTTTCTTTCGTACGAAAATCTTGCAAAATAACGATATTCCCAAAAAGTGTAGGGTATTTTGCTTACCCATAATACTCTACTTTTCAAGATTATAAGATTTATCCGTATACATTGCAGAAAAATTAGAGTATAAAACAAAAACAATAAGTTACTTAACAAATCCACAAAAGTAATGTCCTTCTTTTGTGGTTGTGATTGGTCGTCGGCCATTCTTGAGGCCTCGATGAAGGTTTCGGTCGACTTTTGATTGAGAAAGAATGCGGCGCACCGTCCTTCTCGAGCAATTTAAGAGGGTTGGCCACATTCTTTTCCCGCATCCCATTTTCCCGGGCCTTGGCGATTCGGAGTGTCAAGGTTTTTCTTGCCAGCCATCTAAATAATAAAATAAAATACATTTAATGTTCATAGAACGCGAAAATCAAAAGAATAATCAAGGAAAACATCAATGGGACATTACTTTTGTGGATTTGTTAAGTAACTTATTGTTTTTGTTTTATACTCTAATTTTTCTGCAATGTATACGGATAAATCTTATAATCTTGAAAAGTAGAGTATTATGGGTAAGCAAAATGGCCTACACTTTTTGGGAATATCGTTATTTTGCAAGATTTTCGTACGAAAGAAACTTTTGGATGGCAATGGGACAATACTTTTGTGGACCACTGTAAATATATGTACCATTTATTTACACAAACTTTATCGCTATACAACACTTATTCATCGAGAAAAAAATATAATTGTCAAAACACCCCTGAAAATCGTGGTGCAAAAGACTTTTCACACAAAACAAAATTAAGCTTTAATCAATATTTAGTCGCTCCTCCTTTCGCCAAAAGTACTTTTTTTAATATGAGTAGGCATCGATGCAATTAATTCATCAAGAATTCCAGGTCCAATCGTCCTCCAAATTTTTCTGATGTAAAATCATAGCTCGACTTTAGAATTGAATCGTTTTCCTCGCAATTTCGATTTCAAATCTTTTCGCGGCGCAATCAAAGATTTTTAGTTATTTTTGACCGGGTTATATTAGGTGTGTGAAAAAGTAATCGACGTTTTTGTATTTTTATCTGATGACCAAATAAGACGCTGTCTTCTCGAAAACCCTCGTTCAACCTCTTCAGAAATAGGCCTTACATTAAATTGTGATGGGTCAACCGTAAGGAAACGCTTGAATGCCATGAATTTTATCAAAAGTTGGACAAATGGATACCGCATGAACGATAACGCGCGACCACATGTCTCTTTACATACTCGACAAAAAATCCAGAGTGTTGGATGGGAGGTTTTACCACATCCACCTTATAGTTCAGACCTTTCTCCATCTGATTATTATTTATTTTTGTCTCTGTCTAACTTTTTGGCCAATAAACGGTTCAATTCCGAAGAAGATGTCAAAACCGAGATTGATCTTTTCTTCGCCTCTAAGGACCAAGATTTTTATTATCGTGGAATGTCTTTACTTGTAGAACGTTGGCAAAAGGTTGTTCTTTCGAATGGTGATTACTTCGTTGAATAAAAATTATTTTAACGAAACTTATGGTCTTTTATATTTAAACGTTAAAAACGTGGATTACTTTTTCACACACCTAATACTATCAATGGACATTTCTGTTTCAAATTTCCAACGATTATAGATATTTTAGAACAAATTCAAATTTCTTATTTTACGATTCTACGACAATATTTCCACAAGAAAAGCTTCTTTCACATTTTCTTGGTTTCACATTTTCTTGATTTCACATTTTAGTCGTTTGAAAGGGGTGTTCATTCAAGCTACTCAAATTTCACACACTCTTCCATGAGAATGAGAACTAGAAAGAAATCCACTTGAGGCAGATGCACAGATTTGCGTGATTTACATTAAACAATGATCTTTTTGTTGAGTTTTTGTGTGTTTGATGAACATTGTTGATTAGAGTGTTTCCCTTTGCGTTTGATGAACATTGTTGATTAGAGTGTGTCCCTTCTCTTGTAATTCAAACTAATACGCACAGTATTACAGTACTTTGAGGGTTCGTAACCATTTTCTACAAATCCTTTTACACCTTTTATACTTTTAGTACAATTTTAACATCATTTTAGCACAATTTTAACATCCTTTTACACCATTTTTCATTCTTGTTTTAACGGTGTTTGAAATTACTCAAAAAAACTCGAACTTTCTTTCAATTTTTCCTTAGTCTCAGTCAGTGGTCTCTAGAATTTCCTCATTTCATCGAATGAATCCTTTGGCCGGCACATTGAGTGCATCTCATTTCACTGGCACTTCCCTTGTCTCTCCTGCCCTTCATCCCTTCACTAACCGGCCATGTGTCCCTTTTCTCTGTATTCCCCTTTTCCCCCAATTCCCTCCGGGAATCGCCCCGTTCTCTCCATTTGTTGTGTTCACTTGTGTGGCTGGCTGCTGGGGAGGGGTGGAGAAAAGGGCTCTATATTGATCCCTTCCACTACACGGACTTGTTTACCACTCTTGCATTCCCCTCTCTCTCTCTTTCCGCTTTTAAATCATCCATCGATCAATGGAGTGGCCTTGTTAAAGGCTTACACTAGCCAGTCACCAATCGTTTTTTGAAAGATCTTTCTAATTGAAAAAACTTCGTAAATTTTTGAGTCTACTTCTTTTTACTGTTCTTATAGTTTATAGATTTTTAAAGTTATCCAAATCAAATCCAAATTTCAAACTAAATCAAATCTAAATCAAATCAAAATAAATCAAATTCAAATTTCAAACTAAATCAAATCCAAATTTTAAACTAAAACAAATCCAAATTTCTTCAAATCAAATCCAAATCAATTCAAACCTTTGAGCCCTTTAGTTGTAGAAACTTGTACTGAATTTACTTATCATTAAATCTATTAAGATGTATATTTTAAAATCATCTTTAAAATCTCTTTAAAATAATCTTTAACTTTCAAATTCTTTCCATTCAATACTCTCAGCTGTTTCACGTTATCTTACACTTTTTTTTGCTATTTTTTTTGCGGTGTCATTCAAATTTCGCAATCTCACCCACCTTTTTTCCCGCGTACTTGATTTGTATTGAATTTTACTGAAATATTTGAAATAGTATAAGACGATTCTGACTTTGAATACTTGTTTGCAATTGTTGAAACACTGCTTTACTCTAATTTTTGGGAGTAAAACAGTGTTTTTGGGAGTAAAGGAGTACTTTGTCCTGGGAGTACGTTGTTCTGGGAGTACTTTGTTCTGGGAGTACGTTGTTCTGGGAGTACGTTGTTCTGAGAGTACTTTGTTCTCAAAAAAAGTGGAAACGTATCTTTTTGGTGCACTAAATCCGCATCACAGCAATGCTCTGCAATCAAAAAATGAAAAAATTAGTACATCAGAAAGGGTACGCTTAGGATTTGAGTCAAAATACACACTCGAACTTGAGTTAGGTACTCGTACTGTACTGTACTCATACTGTACTGTACTCGTACTGTACTGTACTAGTACTCGTACTGTACTGTACTAGTACTCGTACTGTACTAGTACTCGTACTGTACTAGTACTCGTACTGTACTAGTACTCGTACTGTACTCGTACTATACTAAGTGCTGTTTTTCTGGAGACGAGCACAAGACCGTAACTTTTTCTGAATGGGATAAATGAGGATGATCAAAAAAAAAGTGCCCATCGACAAGCAGGAATGTTTTAAAAGCGATTTTCAGACGATGGCCTGGCCTGGCCTTACTCCTGAGTAGCCCGGCCTTACTCCTGACTAGCCTGGCCTTACTCCTGACTCAAGCTTAAAACATACGAAGCTAAAGCAATCAAGAAATGAACGAACCGACAAATAGATCTTGGTCAGACAATCCAGACATCTAAAGGATGACAATTAGAACCCTGATCGGTACAGATTCTTGCCTTTTTGAGCATCTCAAGTGTTGCCCATTCCCCCCTTTCCTTCACTCGGAATTTGTTCCTTTTTTGCTTATTTCTTTAGCTTTTGTTTGAAGGGGCTCTCAATCCGTTCTCTCATTTTTTTTCCTTTCCCTTTTTCGTTCCCCCTTCGGGCCCTCGCCTCTTTTTTCAGATGACAAACGGCTTTTCGATTTCACTCCAACCCCATCAAAACCTCATTCCTTTCATGGGTTTAAGCAATTTTTCAATTTTTCTTTTGAATATCGATTGATTGTTTGTTGTTATCGATTGTTATAGATTATTACTAAATTTGTTATCGATTGTCATTAAGTTTGTTATTGATTGTTATTAAGTATCGATTGTTATTAAGCTTTTAAATATGATCCTTTATTATATTTTCTTCATTAGCATTTAGATGAGCTAACAGATTTCTTATTTTTAGAGTTAGAGCTAGTTAGAGAGATTTCGAGATTTCTTAATATCAGCTTTTGCTTATTTCTTTGGCTTAGCGTAAATCTTGTAATGGTTAGATTGCTAATGGCAAAGGGACGGGATATCAAATGTCCGATAACGAATTTCAGAAATGTGTCAAAATGTCAGAAACGAATGTCCCCATAATGACAATGCAGCGTTTTGCGTGGTCTAGCTTTGAACACATTTTTCTGACACAATCATTTTCATAAAGGCCATTCTTCTTGTGAGAAAATGATTAACAAACAAGTATTGTGCTAGAAATTGTTTGCTAGGGCTCAAAGCAGAATGCTCAAAGCAGAATGCTCAAAGCAGAATGCTCAAAGCAGAATGCTCAAAGCAGAATGCTCAAAGCTGCTAGGGCTCAAAGCTGCTAGGGCTCAAAGCTGCTAGGGCTCAAAGCTGCTAGGGCTCAAAGCTGCTAGGGCTCAAAGCTGCTAGGGCTCAAAGCTGCTAGGGCTCAAAGCTGCTAGGGCTCAAAGCATGATATGCTCTTTTTCTTTTATGCAATCATTTTTATACTTAATTTTGGATAATTTCTATACGATTCTGTTTTACCTGGACATTTAAATATCCTTTTTTTTCAGAGATGGCTTTTCTTCCGGTGAGCGATCGCGAGAGTGCTTGGGTTTTCCTAACAGGTTTGCTAAAACAAAACAAAACAATCGTATAACAATAATAGCCAGCCTTTAATATGAAAATAATCTCAACATTTTTCTTTTCTAGACGGTGACACTGAGGCGGCCGTGCTCGATTTGAATGGGATTTATGTGATTCTCGATGGAGGAACACAGCCAATCGAGATGATCTCATTGTTTCGGTATGGGGGAAATTCAAGTATCAGACAGATAGACTCAAATATTGCGTTATTAACAAGTCTTAGACAAGTCTTAAACAAGTCTTAAACAAGTCTTAACAAGTCCTAAGCCTAAGCGATCTTAAAAGTGGGCCTTGTTATCGCATTTTGATTGTATCAATCCTGGTGTACTGTAGCGAAACGAAACTTTTTATGAACACTGTCTGTAGTCGAACAACATCAAGGAGCTTTAATTGTGCAGTCTGAAGATATGTGTCGTCTATAGGTACTATCTATATGTACTATCTATATGTACTATCTATATGTATAGTCTGAAGATCGATACAGTAAGCCCTGTACACTGCTAGAGTAAAGCGTTAGTATTCTCAGTATGACAATAGTATAGTTACAGTATGACTACAGTAAGCCTACAGTAAGCCTAATATATGCCTAAAGTCTCTTTTCAGAAATCCCGAGTTGGCCGTTTTGTCGACCGCCTCAAATAACACCCTTTCGAATGTGTTGGCGCTGAATGAGAGACAGGTATCGAAATTATTTTAACTACAAATCTGAACATAACTACAGTATGACTACAGTAAGCTCATGCAGTATATCCAAATTTTATAAATTGTGAGACAGTTGATACCCGTCCCGCCTCTTTGCCATTGGCAATCCAACTTTGAACTCAAATATCTTGGTGTTGAGCTGTCCAATCTAAACAGTTTTTGTACCAATCGATAGAGAAAGACTTGGCGAATCTAATGATACCAAAAATATTTGAATTGAACACCCCAACATCAAGATATCTGAGTTCAAAGTTGGATTGCCAATGGCAAAGGGACGGGATATCAAATGTCCGTACTTCTAGCGACATATCAAATGTCCGAATGTCATGTCCGTATATTTTCAGGGAAACGTACCAGTGTTGGGCCGTGTTCCGCGTGTTTCCTCAAATCATAAAGGCCAAACAGCCGATCTTCTTCAAAGGACTTTTGCCAACAAAACGCGAATCGTCCCCTCAAAACCCGTTGATGTCAAGAAGATTGAAGCGACCACCGTTTTTAAGGTTTGTGGTTTGCGAGGATCAATCGATTAGACTTCTAAAATTGCCTTGAATAACAAATCTAAGAATTTAAGAAAAGCTGTAAGTACTTGAAACAATAGATTATCACAGTGTCAATAAGAAAATCACACAATCGTTTCTTATTGCTAGCTCGTGAAACTTTGCTTACTGTATTGTAGCTGGCCTATACTGTAGCTGATCTATACTGTAACCGAGCTATACTGTAGCTGATCTATACTGTAGCTGGCCTATACTGTAGCTGATCTATACTGTAGCTGGCCTATACTGTAGCTGATCTATACTGTAGCTGGCCTATACTGTAACCGTGCTATAATGTAGCTGATCTATACTGTACCCGATCTATACTGTAGCTGATCTATACTGTAGCTGGCCTATACTGTAGCTGATCTATACTGTAGCTGATCTATACCGTAGCTGATCTATCTGTAGCCGATCTATATTGTAGCTCGCCTATACTATAGCCGATCTATACTGTAGCTGTTGTCTTTTAGAAAGCTTATCTAGGTCTAAGTACCTATCTATCCATTAAAATCTTTAAAGATACTTAGAAATTCCAATTTACAACAGATTACGGTAACAAATTTCCTTATAGAGCTACCGTACCGGCACCCTAGAAGTGTTCGTGTTGAGTGGAGAGCAAAAAGAGGTTGAGAATTTGCAAAAAGCTGTCGATGGAGGTGATGAGCAAAAGGTGGGATTAGAAATTTAGATATATTTAAATTTAGATATCAAATATATATATTGGAGTATATATATTGAATATCTGGATCTAAAATTAGCTATAAGTTTCTAGATTCTGGAGGCAGCTCGCGCGGCAACTCTCATCACGTTGATCGTTTATATCCCCGTGGAAAGTGATCGACTGGTGAAAAGGATTTTGCACACAGGTGGATAAAGATCTAATACATAGTACGAATTTGCAATTAGCATAGCTTTTCTAAGAGTACTGTACTGTTTTGTAACTGTTTTGCACTCGGAATTGAACCCTCAACCCTGCAATAGCCTTTAACTTGAATACAGTAGGCTTTAACTTCAAGTTCAAGCCTCTAGATTGAATATAGTAGCCTTTAACTTGGATATAGTAGCCTTTAACTTCAAGTTTAAGCCTTTAACTTGAATATAGTAGCCTTTAACTTCAAGTTCAAGCCTTTAACTTCAATACAGTAGCCTTTAACTTCAATATAGTAGCCTTTAACTTCAACTCCAAGCCTTTAACTTCAATACAGTAGCCTTTAACTTCAATATAGTAGCCTTTAACTTCAACTCCAAGCCTTTAACTTCAATATAGTAGCCTTTAACTTCAACTCCAAGCCTTTAACTTCAATATAGTAGCCTTTAACTTCAACTCCAAGCCTTTAACTTCAATATAGTAGCCTTTAACTTCAAGTTCAAGCCTCTGACTTCAAGTTCAAGCCTTTAACTTGGATATAGTAGCCTTTAACTTCAATATAGTAGCCTTTAACTTCAAGTTCAAGCCTTTAACTTCAACTCCAAGCCTTTAACTTCAATACAGTACTATTCCAAGTTGCATATTATCTATATTCAAATTTCTAGGCAATGCTGACTACGAGAAGATCGTGCAAGCGGTGGACAAATTGAAGACGCTTCCTCTTGTCACCGAGCCAACGATCACCGTTGAACAGTACAGAAAGGGTGGAGTGGCGAAACCAGCGCCAAAGTATGTTGAATACAACGAAATTGAAGAGTTTGAAGGCTAAAACGGAACAATACAGTATATTACAGAGCTCCTGCTCCACCAAAAGCCGCTGCACCCCCGAAGGCAGCCCCCACTCCAGCACGACCTGTCAGTAAACCTGCTCCCAAGACTGCTCCACCGCCAGTGGTCAGATTTTATACTCAAATATGATTCATTATTATGATAATTTTATGAATTTGAAGCGCCTAATGCTTTAAGGAACTATAGCTCAAGTTATTACCGTACTCCAGCGTGCTACCGTATCATAGCATATTTTATTACTGTACTAGTTATTCTTGCATGTTACTATCGTACTTCTAGCGTTCTAGCGTACTTCTGGCGTTCTAGCTTTCTAGCGTACTTCTAGTATTCTAGCGGACTTCTAGCATTCTAGCGTACTTCTGGCGCTCTAGCGTACTTCTAGCTTTCTAGCGGACTTCTAGCTTTCTAGCGTACTTCTACCGTACTTCTAGCATTCTAGTGTACTTCTAGCGTTCTAGCATTCTAGCGTACTTCTAGCATTCTAGCGTACTTCTAGCATTCTAGCGTACTTCTAGCTTTCTAGCCTACTTCTAGCGTTCTAGCGTACTTCTAGCGTTCTAGCCTACTTCTAGCGTTCTAGCGTACTTCTAGCGTTCTAGCCTACTTCTAGCGTTCTAGCGTACTTCTAGCGTTCTAGCATTCTAGCGTACTTCTAGCGTACTCTGAAATGGCACTAGCTATTTGTATTACCGTACAGATAGCCAAGAGTGGGCTTCCTGTTCTTCAGCGATTAGCCTGCAGACGCTCGAAAATTGAGGCTTTAAAAGCTTTGCAAATCATTTCAGTACTTTAGTTAGTTTCAGTACTTTCAGTGCTTTGCAAATCATGAAAGTTATCCATTGTCCTTTATATTTTTTTGCTTTTAGAAGCCAATCCGCGCCGCTCCTCCACCACCCACAAATCGGGCGCCACCCGCAGAACGGCAAAGAGCCGCACCAGGAGCCAGTAAGTTTATAACTCAATTATAAAGATATAGTTTTTGAGAATTACCGTATTTCCTGTAATTGAACCATGAACAATAGGCATCTTTCTAAAAATTCCTAAATCATTTTTCCTCAATAAAAAAGCCAAGAAGTTAAGATCGAACACACTTTCGATCAATGCTAAAATGTTCAGCCGACTCCTTGATCGAAACGTCCTTGTTCATTTTTGCAGCCGCCAGTTTTGTTTGTGTCTCGATAGCTTTCCTTTTCTTTTTATCCCTCTTCGGCGTGTTCATAGTTTCGCTATCATCTTCTCGTTTTTCTTTCGTATCGACGTTGAAATCCTTCCGACCTTTTTCAAAGCTCGTTGTCTCGTCGCGCTTCTCCATCAAGCTCGTTGTCTCGTCGAGCTTCTCCATCGAGCTTCTCCATCAAGCTCGTTGTCTCGTCGCGCTTCTCCATCAAGCTCGTTGTCTCGTCGCATTCCAAAACGGCTCTAACTCATCAACAACCTCACTCATCGTATCTAAAAATTCTAAAACTAGTAACTGCAAAAAGAAGCATAAAAAAAATGAAAAATGATAGCAAATAAAAAAAAATTCTAATTTCTAATTTCTAATTTGTAAACATAATTTGCATAAAAGTGATTTGTAATTTTTCGTTTGGGTGGGTTTCTATTAGAGAGATGGGGGGTTCAATTACAGCAAATACGGTAGAGATATATTTCGAAAATAATACCTTAATCTCATACTTTAGCCAAACCCAACGGAGTTCCTTCAGCCAGTCGAGCACCACCGAAAACCAGCGCTCCTCCGGCGAAACCAGCTCGAACCACAAATATCGAGCCGTCTGTGACAAAGAAAACTATGTGAGTTTTAAAAATATTCTATAAAAATTCTATAAAATAAGGTTTATTATCAAATAGTTTAAGCTGTAGCAACTGGCTGGCAAAATAGATGGCTGGCAAAGTAGATGGCTGGCAAAGTAGATGGCTGCAAAGAGATGGCCAAGGCGGCAGAGCGGCTGCAGAGAGGCTGGAAAGGGGCTGGCAGGGATAAGACTGGCAAAGTAGATGGCTGGCAAAGTAGATGGCTGGCAAAGTAGATGGCTGGCAAAGTAGATGGCTGGCAAAGTAGATGGCTTAAATTTTAAACGCCAACGTCTCCAATCAAGTAGAACTTTTGCAATAAATAACTTTTGGTTCCTATTTTTAAGGTTTAGGCTGTAGATTGTTTATCAAATTAATAATTAGCATTTAAAAACATGGGAAAGTCGCACAATTACGCGGTTGTGGGGGGAAATTGTGCGGTTCCCAGACCTCCCACACAATCCCCTTTTTTAAGAATTGCTTGCATTTCATATTGGCGTTTGAAAAGTATGATCCATTCTTAACCGAAACCACTGGGCAACCCCCGAAACTAAAATGGCTTCGGGAGACACAGTCGAAATCCACAACATCCACTCACATAGAGAAAGCCTCTCGTTTGTGCCGTGGCCACTTCAGGGGGCCGACATTGAGCGAAATCACACAGAATTCCTCGTGATCTCAACAAAACCACGAAACTTTCAAAAGACCACGATTCCGGGAAAGATCCGGTTCCAATACGGTTCCTATTTTGATCTAATACAGTTCCAATACGGTTCCTATTTTGATCTAATACAGTTCCAATACGGTTCCAATACGGTTCCAATTTGATCCCTTCCGAAACCACCGAGCAATCTTGCGTTTTGTTTTTTCGGCAGCGCCACTGTAGCTTCCACCAACATGTTGATGCAGTCGATCTCAGATTTCATCAACATGTTGATGCAGTCGAGTTCGGTCTTAAGCGCCGCTTCAACATCAGCCACTGAGCGTAGAGTTGTCAACGCCATCGCTAAATAAAAATTTAAAGATGATTCACATTTAAAAACAAATTTAACAATTAACAAACAAAAACAAAAAAAGGTGTTTTATGTGTGGTGGTGATACAATAAAAAGAATGAAAAGAAAATGAAAAAGCGCAAAAAATTCGGTTTAGAGGGTCTTTTGTAAAGTCGCGTAGGGGCTCAACGTCGCGGGGGGGTAATTTTAAAGTCCTTTAAAGTGGGGGTAATTGTTTTCCCCAAAATCCTTATCCTGTTATCCCGAAAACAGCATAAATAACACAATAAACATAAAAATTAACTACTAATTGATATTTGAAAATTTCAGTGCCCCATCCCGAGGCGCGGCCGCATCGAAGCCAGCCGCCCCACCGCCTAAAGGATCCGCCGGAAAGGTGAATAACTTTAGCGCTTTAGAACTTTAGTTTAGATAAAGTTTAGATAAAGTTTTACTGTGCCAAAGTAGAAGATAAATGTTTATCTTAAGTTTATTTTAAGTTTATCATTCTCATTATTTTGACATCATTTAGCAACCAACCCCGATTCCCCGACAACCAGCTGCACCAAAACCGGTCGAGCCCCAAGCGCCCGCTAAACCCGAACAGGTTCAATAATCCGCTTATTATCCAATAATCAAAACATTATGCAAAATAGAATTACAGTAAAATTTATATTTATTTCAAACTTTTTTACAATCTTTTTAATCTTTTTAATCTTTTTACAGCTCTATTTCTTATTTTTCCAATTTTTATTTAATTTCTTGTACTTGTGGTTAGTATCAATCAGTTATTTCAATCAAAAGCGATCCAATTTAGAAACTAGAATCTAGAAATTAGCTTATAAGTTTTCTTGTCTTTTTTATAGCTATTACTTTACAACCTTTTTCGGACGGCGATCGAGTAGACGCTTTGACTTTGACGCTTTAACTCGGTAACCAGTTTGTAGCTACTGTAATCCGCCAATCAGTTTGTGGTTACCGTAATCCAAGTAGTTTCTGCTGTAGTCATAGGCAATCATAGATTCATAGATTCATAGATTCATAGATTCATAGATTACTAGAGTCATAGATTACTGTGACATTAACGGAAACTAGCAGTGGCTGGCTAAGCGGGCTCGTTTAGAGCAAAAAGGTCAAGGGTTCAGTCCCGGAAATCTTTCTTGACCATTCCTTACTTTACAGCCACTTATAACATCGCTTTGGATTCATTTATGACATTAAGAGATGAGAGATTAAGAGACATTTATTCACTAGATGTCAAAAACTCCTATAAATGAGTGAACTTTGTTCTTCTTGCTCACCTGAAGAGCTCCATAGCTTCATTGGTCGGATCTAGAGATCGAGAGCTCAACCCCCTCTCCGGAAATCTTTTTTTGTTCCTTACTTTACTATGTTATAAGTAAGATTTCTGTCAAGATCAAGGCGATTCAGGTTGGGTTACGGTAGCTACTCTAACCATTGAGCTGTTAGAGTAGCTGGGGTCTATCTCTATCCGGTAGCTTGGACATGATCTAAACAGGATTACGGTAACTACTTGGATTACGGTCAGGTCTAGTCCGAGTTACTGTAGTTAAGGCATGATTGTAACCGGGCTACAGTTGCTGTAGCAGAGTCTAAATCGAGTTACAATAGCTGGGACAGGTTACCGTCTATGCCTCAGCTAGGTTACCGTCTATGCCTCAGCTAGGTTACCGTCTATGCCTCAGCTAGGTTACCGTCTATGCCTCAGCTAGGTTACCGTCTATGTCTCAGCGATCGTAGCTCGTAATCCGACGATGATTGGATTACGGTAGCTAGGTTGGATTACGGTAGTTAGGGCATGGTTTAAAGAACCACTGAAGTCAGCGTTCGGAAAAAGATCGCCAGTTAGCATTTCTCCAACTTGTGCACTCGTGGTTTGTACTCTCTTTTCAGCCTTCCACCGACGTCCATCCACCGATCTCTTCGTCCCATCCGGATCCCACAATCCCCACTCCACCATCACCCAAATTCGATCTATTGCCAGACATTGGAGAAAAACTCGGAGATCACAATGACCATCCACAAAGCGATGATATCGAGCCACCAATTCCCACTCCATCTCCACCACCAATCATCGCTCCACCCGAGCCCGTTCACCCTGTCGAACCGTCAGCTCCTCAATTGCCTGATCGCCCGAAAAGTCCCGAGATTTTACCTGAGTTTAAGGTGAGAGTTGAAAGTGAGCTTGGTTTTTGCATGTTTTCTAACTTCTGTATTGGATTTTTGTGCTCATCAAAATAGCATTTGTAGACTCTTATAACCTTTAAAGTACTCAGCGGGGGTTTAACAATCGCTCAAGTTAGTGCCAAAGAGGACTTACCTATTGTAATCCGTTTTCTATTCTCCACATCTAGTATAAGTCTAGTACAAGATACACAAGTACAAGTACAAATCTAGTACAAGTACACATCTAGTACAAGTACAAGTAGAAATCTAGTACAAGTAGAAATCTAGTACAAGTACAAATCTAGTACAAGTACAAAGCTAGGAAATCTAGTACAAGTAGAGATCTAGTACAAGTACAAGTAGAGATCTAGTACAAGTACAAGTACAAATCTAGTACAAGTACAATTCTAGTACAAGACAAGTACAATTCTAGTACAAGTACAAGCAGAAATCTAGTACAAGTACAAATCTAGTACAAGTAGAAACCTAGTACAAGTATACATCTAGTACAAGTACAAGACAAACGAGCTAAGGTTTACTTGCTTTACTTGGTTTACTTGGTTTACTTGCTTTACTTGGTTTACTTGGTTTACTTGGTTACTTGGTTTACTTGGTTTACTCGGTTTACTTGGTTACTTGGTTTACTTGGTTTACTTGATTTGTTGGTTTACTCATCAGTGGGTTTACTTGATTTCGTATCTAACTGTAAGAAAAGTAGATTTTGGTTTGATCTTTCTCCTTGCCAAAGCATCGTGCCAACTATCTAAGCACGATACTAAGCAGAACTGGACTGAAGTCACAGTAGCTTTGGACTAAAACTTGGCCACTATCCCTATCCCAAACTTGGCCACTAAAGCTGATTACGACAGTACACTCCAGTCAACTCATAAACCCATAAATGTAAAGATTGCTATACTTCGCATCCATAAATTCGCATCCATCTAACAACTTTGCATCCATCATTTTTTTCCATCATTTTTTGTTTGATGTGTCATTGTTCTTTCTGTGATTGTGATACTTTTCAGTTATTCTGTTCGGAGCTCATCATTCACAGTCTTGTCGTTCTCCCCTCGGTATTTCCCAGGCTTCCCAGGCTTCCCAGGCTTCCCAGGCTTTCCCTGCTCTCAATTTCCCTTTTCTTCTATCAAACTTCTATCAAACTTCTATCAATTCTATCATTAACATTCAAAAACATATCACAAAGCTAATTCAAATCACAAGAAAAACATTATTAACATATTTTAACATATTTTTAATCTAAAAATTGAATATTTGATCAATTTCAGAGTCCACATCAACCCGAAGTGCTCACCGATGAGGGACTGTTGGAGGTGAGATTTGAAATCGTCTAACTGTGAATGTAATGACTGTGAATGTAATGACTGTGAATGTAATGACTGTGAATTCCTATTATAAGTATTATGATAGTTTAAAATTTAAGCTATTACGCTAGTTGAATTCAATCCATTCAATTCAAAAGTTTATCCATTTTACTATTCGATTTCGGCTTTCTGTGGGGCAACTTTTTTTGGTTTTTGAGCTCTGATAGGCTCAAATTCAAGCTCACCGATAATACGCTAGTCCTTTTAGGGGGCATAGCTAGGGGCTAGAGTTTCATTCTCAGTCAAACAACCATTTTTTTTTGCTTTTTTTGCCTTTTTTTGCTATTTCTTAACTTTGTGGTCGTTCTTTTCAGGTAGGAGAACCACCAATGCGAATGCGGAAAATCTCGATGGATACCGAGGATGAAAATGCGAAGAAAATCCTTGACGAGATTAGGGGAGACGTGACAAATGCGGTACAAGAATGCGAGAAAACGGTGAGGGGAAATGAAGGGGGGATTTGAGAGGGATCAAGAGATCAAGAGATCAAGATTGATCAAGAGATCAAGATTGATCAAGAGATCAAGATTGATCAAGAGATCAAGAGATCAAGAGATCAAGAGTGATCGAGCGTAAACGCACCGGCGCTAGTGCATTCGATTTGTCGCTTTTCTCGTGCTTCTATGAGAAAATCGAAGAATCGAATGAATCTGCTGATCGTGTTGTGTTTTGCAGATCGAGCGAACGCTTTCACAAGCCGCCGATCAATCTCCATTAGATGATGATCATCAAGACGATCACTTCACCCATCAACCAATCGATCACTTCACCCAACAATCGCAAAATGTTGTCAGTTGTCGTAAAAATGTTGTAGAGGGTTTAAATCAAAGAAAATTTGATCTGTGAAAGGCATTTTGACTCCTTCTCCTTCTCCCAAAGAAGATCTCCTTTTCCAGGTCACCGAGAGTGCCCATTCACTCATCGACACCACCCCGGCCCACCACCCCGGCACAAACGACACACATGTAAGGAATGATATGAATAAAGTTTAAGTAAGATAGAAATCTTAGCTATAAGCTCTAGATATAGATTTTGTCGGGCCAGGTCTGGCTCACCAGATCTGGGAGTTGGAAAAATTGAGTTTGTCATAAACTCTTGTCATAAACTCTTGTCACAAATCGTTTTGAACAATTGAGAATCAAATTTTCAGGGTATCTGGGTGTCACGAAGAGCTTTGAAAGCTTTTCAGGGTATCTGGGTGTCACGAAGAGCAGTTCAGATAATTTTTTGAAATTTTGGCAGATAATTCGAAGCCCAAATTTGACTATCCGCAAAAATTCGCATATATTTTAATTAAAATAAAATTTACATATATTTTTGCGCTAACTGGATGTCACGGAAAACTTTGAGAAAATAGTTATGCTAGATTTTTGGGTTTGACAGAATTGAGCTATTGGGTGGAAAATTGTACACTCCAAAAATTTGCATTTTTCGTCGAATCTAAATTTTCTAATGCAAATTTTCGTGCAATCTGGAATGCACGTGGGCCGAATTTCCATTTTGGACGAGCCGGGGTTCGAATTGACAAGCCGGGGTTCGAATTGACAAGCCTGGGTTCGAATTGACAAGTCGGGGGTTACGGTAGCCCGGCTTGCGTTAAGCTTTCTCGGAAGAATGGAAGAAATACGCTAAAATAGATGGAAATTCTCTTTTCCAGGATCCATTCGGTCTGGACGCTCCATCGCCTTTCGCGTCAGGGCTCGCCTCGACCATTGTTGATGGGGCAACGCTGGAAAGTGCGACACAGGTCAATAGAATTCTTAATTTTAATAAGCATAAGCATCAGCAAATAAGCAATAAGCAATTTTTTCTATATCTATATCAATTTAGTATTGTTTATCCATCTAATTAAAAACTAAAATCGGTTTTATTTCAAAAAAACCTCGAATACAAATTGTCAGTCTTAAGAATAAGCTAATATAATAAGCTAATAAGCTAATAAGCTAATAATAAGTTAATAATAAGCTAATAATAAGTTAATAATAAGCTAATAAGCTAATAATAAGCTAATAATAAGCTAATAAGCTAATAATAAGCTTTGAATGTGTTCTCTAAAGATCACTTTATTACATTCAAAGTCTAGTAGTGCTAATAAAGGTAAACTGTTTGATATTCTAGAAGTAAACTGTTTGATATTCTAGATATCTAACAGATAAAAGTATAGTGTACCAATCTATGTTACTAAAAGAACCCACTAATCTCATTCATTATAAAATGATCAATGATTGGTGACAACTTGATGAGTGAAGAGAGAAAGAGAAGAGAGAAAGAGAAGAGAACAATTCTCCAATTCTCCATTTTACTCCGAAGATCTTTTCCCCTATATATCAATCTCTATATCAATCTCTATATCAATCTCTTTTCTTTATCTTAATCTCTTTTCAGAATGCTCGTTCTCTTTTGGACGGTTTTGTCGATACGGTGCAACACGCGGCTGATGTAGTGGCTGATAAGGTGGTCGATATGGCCGACAATGTTGGAGCGAGAGTGAGTGGGATTCAGGGGAAGATAAATAAGATGAGAATAAGATCTAAAGATAAATAAATTTGGAAAGATACAAATGTATAAAAACTACCATCATCAGAAAGTAGACTATGGCAAAAACTGGTCTAAACAGTGGCTTCGACTTCGACTTCGACAATTTGGAAAGCTTCGACCAGATTTTCGATTTTCGATTTTCGATCAGATCACAGAGACTTTTCCCCTCAATATTTTCCTTGTCAGGTTTTCATTAAACTTAAAAATTTCTAGGTAGAAGATCTCGTTGATTTTGGTGAGAAAAAGCCTGAAACTCCAACTGATCTTCATCGAAAAGCCAGTCAAGATGTGAGTTTGGGGAATGGAGATTTCTTTTTAAACATTTAGCTTTAATCATTTCTTTTTAATCATTTCCTTTTAATCATTTCTTTTTAATCATTTCTTTTTAAACATTTCGTTTTAACTCCGCTCACTCTTTGATAAGCAACAACACAGTGTCTTTGATAACAAGTGTACTTTGTGCTCAAATCCTTTCTAGTTCAATAGGATCTTTATTTTTCCTTGTAGCAAAATCTTAGAGCAAAAGAAAAATGGAGAATTCAATGCATTAAGGGTGTGTTTACAGATTTGAGCTTAAAGTCCACTGAAAAGTGTCTACCATTTGCTCATTTTCACATTTGTATCGGAACCATATTGGGACCATATTGGAACCATATTGGAACCATGTTGGGACCATGTTGGGACCATATTGGAACTGTATCCGATCCATATTGGAACCATATTGGAACCGTATCCGACCCACATTAGAACCATATTGGAACTGTATCCGACCCACATTGGAACCATATTGGAACCATATTGGAACCGTATCCGACCCACATTAGAACCATATTGGAACTGTATCCGACCCACATTGGAACCATATTGGAACCATATTGGAACCGTATCCGACCCACATTAGAACCATATTGGAACTGTATCCGACCCACATTGGAACCATATTGGAACCATATTGGAACCGTATCCGACCCACATTAGAACCATATTGGAACTGTATCCGATCCATATTGGAACCATATTGGAACCGTATCCGACCCACATTAGAACCATATTGGAACTGTATCCGACCCACATTGGAACCATATTGGAACCGTATCTTTGAAACAAACATTTCTTTTTAAACATTTCGTTTTTAACTCCGCTCACTCTTTGATAAGCAACAACACAGTGTCTTTGGCAACAGTGTACTTTGTGCTCAAATCCTTTCTAGTTCAATAGGATCTTTATTTTTCCTTGTAGCAAAATCTTAGAGCAAAAGAAAAATGAAGAACTCAATGCATTAAGGGTGTGTTTACAGATTTGAGCTTAAAGTCCACTGAAAATTTGCTAAATATCATTTGCTCATTTTCACACCGAGAGTAGGCATATCTTTGAAACAAACATTTCTTTTTTACTAATCAAGATTATAAAGTGCTTCTCGAGAGGAGTTTTTGATTTCCGTCGAGAAGATGTCGAGAAGAATGCGTTCTCTAAAAAGTGTCCATTTTCTCGACTACCGTAATCTTGTCTTTATTTTATCGAATCTCTACTAATTTTGTCTGATTCGATGAGGGTTCAGAAAGGATATTGAAAGATGAAAAGTGAATAGATTGAATGAAAATAGAGAAGAAGAATTAGAGAGAAGAATACGGTAGTCAAGAAACACGTTTTAGGAAACGCATTGCTTGAGAAGAGCACAATTTAATCATCGATTTGTCGGTACTTTCCCGTTATACTTCCCCATTTTCTTTCAAAGCTCCGTTCTTTCAAAGCATCGATCCCGTTATACCATCGCATTTTATGGTGATATCTTTGAGCTAAATAGTTAGTAATAATGGCCTGAATTAAAACATATAGAAAAACCCTTAATCTTGAGCTTTACATGATAGGATTCTTGCGAAGAACTTGCAATTTGTTCATTTTGTATGTTTGAGTCAAATGAGTTCCAGATTTCAATAGGATTTAGAGGTAGAACATGACGATATTGAGCAATGACCGATATAACTTTCTTGAAAAAGATGTAGAGAGCTAAAATGAACATAATCCAATAAAAAAACCTCATACCTGTCAACTGATTAGAGCGCGTTGGTATTGAATTTAGGCCTTCATTGGAATGAAACTAGCTTTCACACCAATAGAGCTCAAAAACGTTAGAGCCATTAAGATAGAGCTATTAAGATAGAGCTATTAAGATAGAGCCATTGAGATAGAGCCATTAAGATAGTCATTAAGATAGAACCATTAAGACAGAGCTACTAAGATAGAGCTACTAAGATAGAGCTATTAAGATAGAGCTATTAAGATAGCCATTATGATAGCCATTAAGATAGCCATTAAGATAGAGCTATTAAGATAGAGCTATTAAGATAGAGCCATTAAGATAGCCATTAAGATAGCCATTAAGATAAAGCCATTAAGATAAAGCCATTAAGATAGCCATTATGATAGCCATTAATATAGAGTCATTGATGATAAAGCCATTAAGATAGCCATTATGATAGCCATTAATATAGCCATTAAGATAGTCATTAAGAATGTAAGTCTTTTATGTAAACCTTGAATGAATGATCGTTGTAAACGTCTAAAAGATTTTCCTTCTTACCATTGTTAAAAGGTTGATTGGAGAGGGATAGCGGTTTCGATGCATAGGAAAAAAAGGGGAGCCATTAATCCGCTTAGTTACACCGGTAAAGTACCGATTAGTCTAAAATTTGACTATTTTCACATGAATAGAGCTCAAAAAACTAGTCAAAATATGCCCACTCTCTGTGTTTAGATGAGTCGACACCGGAATTCTCTCATTGAAGTGGGTGAGGGTGGGGAAGAAAGATTGGTGACTGTATGGCAACAAACTGACAAACAATTGGACAAGGTGGGTAAATGGGAAAAGGGACTACGGTAGTTGGGTACTTTGAGCTTTGGCCTTCTAGCCCTTTGGCCTTCTAGCCCTTTGGCCTTCTAGCCCTTTGGCCTTCTAGCCCTTTGGCCTTCTAGCCCTTTGGCCTTCTAGCCCTTTGGCCTTCTAGCCCTTTGGCCTTCTGGTGACCTCCGGGGGCACTGATTTTTTTTTCCTTCAGTCATTTTTCATTTTTCTTCTGTCACCATGCTATTACGAGGAAAGTTGAAGACTTAAGTGCACTAGAAAGGGTGTGTGTACTCAAAGCACACCTAGAGAATATAGGTATTTTATTGATTCGTCCTATAACTCTTACACATTATCCCTATCATCATTTCCCATCTCTTAGAGCACGAGTGTATTCTAACTAATCAAAATCAAAAATCCAACACCTAACAATTCTAGTGTGATATCCAGATAGAAGAAAAACGCAATTAAAATCAAATTGCTCTTATCAATTTTTTGGAATCATCGAGAACTCTTTGCAGTTCACTCTCTGCAGTCCAACGACAACTTTGAAGAGCTCAACAGGTTAACACGGGTTAAACCCAAAAGAAAACAAGAATTCAGGCTGTCAAAACTTGCTAATATCTGTTTATTGCTACTGTTTTGATCAATCAAGGTCAATCAAGATCAAGGCCAGCCTAAAAATTTGTTATTAGCAATGAACGGATGTTAGCCAAAAAGTTTTCATAGCCTGTTTTTCTTTGGGTTTAACTTGTGCTAACCTGTGCTAACCTGTGCTAACCTGTGCTAACCTGTTGAGCTCTTTATAGTTGTCGTTGAACTGCAGAGAGTGGACTGCAAAGAGTTCGTGATTATTCCAAAAAATTGATAAGAGCAATTTGATTTTAATCGCGTTTTTTCTTCTATCTGGATATCACACTAGAATTGTTAGGTGTCGGATTTTTGATTTTCAGTAAAATAGATTTATACTCGATTTGTCCATCTAAGAGGACACGAGAGGCCACGTCTATAAGGGCCACGTCTATAACCGGGCCACGCAGGGCCACGCGGGCCCGCGGGCCACGCAGGGCCACGCAGGGCCACGTCAAGGGCCACGCTATAGGGCCACGTCTAAAGGGCCCGTCTAAGGGCCGTCAGGGCCGTCTATAGGGCCACGCCTATAGGGCCCACGCCAAAGGGAAGAAAAACAGCGGTGGTCTAAGGGTAGTTCGTTAGGCTACTAATCTAGTGCTACTTTTCCTCCCAATTTCAATTCCTCGGCCGCTTCCTTGTGAAGCTTCAGGACAATTAGAAAAAATCTTTTAGAGTTTTTAAAGTGTTTACTGAGTGTCTACTCAGCTTCGAATAAACTTTGTTTAAGTAATAAAAGCCTTATTAAAAGCCTTATTAAAATCTTCCGTCATTTCTTTTAATCCAAAACCAAAACTTCCTTCAGTTCCCATCACAAAGATCGGTGCATTTTGGGGGAGTTGTGAAAATGTTTCTTTTCAAAAAGAAAAACCCACCACGGAAACAAACGGGCACTATTTGGGTGGTCATTTCATTTTTATTTGGCACTATTTCATTTTTTCAAATCATTTACTTTCTAAAAGGCATCTATTTTCGAAAAATATGGTAGTCAAGCGTTCAGTTTTTCATTCGATTTTGAATTTTTGCATTCACAAGGCTCACAATCAGTCAATGAAATCAAAATTGGGCAATCGAATCGAAAAAAAAACTACCGTAATCAGTTCGCCAGTTTATTCTTACGAATCTAGCCTGAATACCCTAATCTAGACTAAATACCGTAATCCAGACAATCTAGACTGAATACCCTAACATAGACTGAATACTCTATATCGACTGAATACCCTAATCTAGCCTGAATACCGTAATCCAGCTAATCTAGACTGAATACGCTAATCTAGACTAAATACGCTAATCTAGACTAAATACCCTAATCTAGACTAAATACCCTAATCTAGACTAAATACCCCAATCTAGACTAAATACCCTAATCTAGACTATCTATATCGACTGAATACCCCAATCTAGTCTGAATACCGTAATCCAGCTAATCTAGACTGAATACCCTAATCTAGACTAGATACCGTAATCGTGCTTGTTTTTGTCTTACGAAAAATGTCTTACGAATAAACTGGCGAACTGTTTACGGTAGGTTTCTATTAGGTTGGCGACATTGAAATTTCGTTTTTGAAGCAACAACAAAAATTTATTCGTAAAAATAAACTAAAAACAATTAATCAACAACCTATTCCCCACAGCTATCAATAAAATTTTTCCATCTTTGACGCAAATTATGGACACTCTCTTGAAAGAATTGTGCTGGTTTTGATTGAAAGAAAGCAGAGACCCATTTTTTGATGTCGTCAATGTTCTGAAACTTGTGGCTTTCGAGTGAATGCCGCATACTTCGAAAGAAATGGTAGTAAGAATGACATATCTCGCAATATCTGGACTATAAGGCGGATGAAAGCAGAGACCCATTTTTTGATTTTGATGAATAAAATTGATGCCTTTTAGAATAATTGAAAGGAAAATACGGTAAATAATCTAATAAAACGGCCTTCTATAGGAGCGTCGTTTAGGCTAAGTTTACTCTCAAACAAACGCTTATATCTTGACAGCAGTACGTCTCTTTCTGCGCGCTTTGGTATCAAATTAAAGTAGAGAGAATGGGTATTTTTTTGAGATATAACACTAATTTTTAGCATTAACCAGCGCTTAGAAAAAAATGATTGAAAAGTGGCAAAAAAAGTCTGAAGAGAAAAGACTGAAAAATTCTTCGTGGCGGGGTCGTTTTATGGCGTCGGGTTACGGTAGTTTCCGACGTTTGGCGCGGAAACGTCTGGAAAAAGAAAAGTGGTAAAAAAGAGCCGATTATTCATCATTTTTCAATCATTTTTTTCTAAGCGCTGGTTAATGCTAAAAATTTGTGTTATATCTCAAAAAATCACCCATTCTCTCTAATTTAATTTGATATCTAAACGCATAGAAACAAACGTACTGCTGTCAAGATATAAGCGTTTGTTTGAGAGTAAACTTGGCCTAGACGACGCTCCTATAGGCGGCTGTTCTATTAGAATTTTTATGGTACTCTAGTCGCATCTCTGTCAACCTTTCCCCCCTTGACCCTTGTCACTTCGGTTTAGAATGTTTTTGGTTACAAAATCGAGATCAACCTCAATCATTTAGGTATTGGACAGTTTGAGTGAAGAATCGTCGGTGATTGATCGAAAAATGAGTGAACCGGGTGATCCACACAATCATCATGAGCATCACGATCAAAATGGAGCTCATCAAACAACATTGGTGAATATAAATGATATATCTTCCATAATGGATTCCATATATTCAAATAAGCCAGTGCTTAACGCGCCAGTGCTTAACGCGCCAGTGCTTAACGCGCCAGTGCTTAACGCGCCAGTGCTTAACGCGCCAGTGGTTAACGCGCCAGTGGTTAACGCGCCAGTGGTTAACGCGCCAGTGGTTAACGCGCCAGTGGTTAACGCGCCAGTGGTTAACGCGCCAGTGGTTAACGCGCCAGTGGTTAACGCGCCAGTGGTTAACGCGCCAGTGGTTAACGCGCCAGTGGTTAACGCGCCAGTGGTTAACGCGCCAGTGGTTAACGCGCCAGTGGTTAACGCGCCAGTGGTTAACGCGCCAGTGGTTAACGCGCCAGTGGTTAACGCGCCAGTGGTTAACGCGCCAGTGGTTAACGCGCCAGTGGTTAACGCGCCAGTGGTTAACGCGCGCCTTTCTCAAACGAACGGAAGGATGGTTCGACTCCTCTCGCCGCCAATTCTTTGCTTTATTTTTGCTGCGGAGGAGGTTTTACAATAATTTACAAAAACGAGGGAACAAGATTGAAATTATTCATGAGAAATTAAGGTATCCGACTTCGCCGAACATCCACAGGGACTTGGACCCGTTAAAAGAAGTATTGGGAAAGAAGCACAGGTGAGGAAAAGAAATCTTTTGGTTACAATTTGCTTCTTTTGCTTACAGCCAAGTTTAAGGCAAAAATTGATCTCAAAAGTTTGGGCATAATGATGCAGAAAACATTGGATATTGGAGATATTCATTTTATTGCTTTGGCTTGGCTTGGCTTGGCTTTAAATTTCTCATAATCCAAAAAACCAAGCCAATTCAAGCTTTATACCAAAAAAAGCCTTGCATTCTTGGCTACATGATGGGTGAAACAGTTTTTAAAAAATGATAATATTTAATAGATAAAATTAGCGTTGAAAATGGGTCTCTAAAGGTATTCAGTTAACCAACTGACAAGGGAAAGTTAACTGGCTGAGCCAAAATCTAGGCGACCTATACCATTTGAGGCAGAATTTTCTGCTGATTCCAAATATGTATTCCGTTTTTGCTAAATGACAATCTGCTAGGAGTTATAAGCGTCTAAAGTTTTGTTAGGATTGTTAGGTTAAAAATGTAGTTATTTGAATTTTATGGGCTGGATTTGGGCGGGATTTAGCCGGCCTCCTGGCAGACCGGTCCAGCCCTGGCCCAGTGGTACAGCGTTCGTTTCCAGAACGAGACCTAACAGAGCAGTTCGGGTCCCACCTTGGATTTTCCTTTCTTTTTTTTTTCTGTTGACTGTTGACTAGACCGTTGACTGTTGACTAGACCGTTGACTCTTGACTAGACCGTTGACTCTTGACTAGACCGTTGACTGTTGACTAGACCGTTGACTGTCGACTAGACCGTTGACTCTTGACTAGACCGTTGACTCTTGACTAGACCGTTGCACACGCACAAAGAACACTATTCAGTAGACGTGCTTATCGATCCGTTATCGATGTCGATCGAAGCAAACCGAAGCGAATCGAGTATCGATACTAATGATATCAAGTATATGATCAAGTATATGATCAAGCATATGTTAATATGCGAAATGAGTTATCGATAGCTTATCGATCGTCATCGATATCGAGTATCGATAAGGTTCGTTTAGCTTAAGGCTTATCGAGTATCGATATCGATAAGGTTCGCTTGGCTTAAGGCTTATCGAGTATCGATATCGATAAGATCGATAAGGATCCTTATCGAGTATCGATAAGCATATCTACTATTTAGTACTTCTTGAAAAACAAAAACAAAATCCAAGTCGGGGACCGAACTCCCGTGGTCTCGCTCTGGAAACGAACCCCTTACCACTCGACCACGGCTGCACTGAGACCCGTCCGCCAGGAGGCCGCTAGAAGGTCCAAGGAGGCTGCTAACACCCAAATGACCATATTTTCAGACCGGTTTTGAAGGCTTTAGATAAATTTAGAAACTTATTAGCCTATTTTGGAAATCAACAATATCAAGGTGACCGATTACTTTGCGGGAAGTCAACGATTGGGTGCAGCTGGAAAGAAACCCGTCCCTTCACTTTCTCGTCCATTCTACTTCGAGCTAGCCTGGACTCCGAGAAATGGCTCAAAATGTGCATTGAGTGACGAAGCGTTGGCTGATTCGTTCTTCTCGAAATTCAGGTAGAAGAAAACTTGAAAGTTTGAAAGAAAACAAAGTCCTTTCAGATCCTCTGTGATCGTTTTCCAATCAGAAGACGTGCCGACATTCATTTTGGAGTCATGGCTGCGTGCAAAGCAAACAGCTTTGGATTGGAGTAGGCTTTGGCAAGAAAAGAAAAGAAAAATGCAAATTTTTAGAAGCTCCACAAGCCTTATTGCCAACTAGAGAGGGAACAGCCCTTCAAGCATTCCGAACGATGAAAGCTGATGATCTACAAGCTGTACACGCTACCCTCCGAACGGCGCTTGATCATTGCACAACAAAGGTGAAAAGATTTGACAAAGACAAAGATCTGACAAAGACAAAGATTTGCAAAGACAAAGATTTGACAATACTGGCTTTACCAGGTCAAATCTAGATAACTAGATATGGGCCTTTTTGTAGAAAATGAATTAGTTTCACGTTTTCGAAAACAGCTATTGCTTTCTAAAGCTTGAATACAATGCTATTTCAAGAATACAATGCTATTTTAAAACAAGAACTGTTTGCTAAAACTAAAAACTGTTTGCTAGCAAATAGTTCTTGTGGGACTGACCTTTCTACAAAAGTTTTCTACAAAAGTTTCCTGCAAAAGGCCCATGTACAGATAAACCAGGCCAGATCAGATCTTGAATCAGTTCAGGCAAGCCAAGCAAGGCCAGAGCCTGAACAGAAGTTAGTTTCTAGAGAACAGAAGGTTAGCTTCTAGAGAACTTCTAGCAGGCTGACTTCAGAGCCTTTTTGTGACTCCAGAGCCTAAGCCTAAGCCTGAGCCTAAGCCTGAGTCTGAGCAAAGACCGTCTAGACAGACAAGAGATCTGCAAGCCTTGATCTTGATCAGGTTAGGGCATTAGTTGTTTAGTTGGTCTTGATTTTGTCACTCTTAAAGCTCAGAGCTGGTTGACAGAAACGAAAGTAGGACCTGGCCAGAAAACAGGCTTGTCTCTGCGAGTTTTCTGGGATGGGGAATACGAATCTGTTAGTTTTTAAAGAAGTCCCATGGGGTGCTATTTTTCCCTTCCCCTCTAGGGTGGGGTCCAATTACAGTATTTACGGTAAGTTAAAATCAAGCTTCATTGTGACCCTTCTTGCCGCGAGCAGTTATTAGGTCGCTTGTCTCGAAGGCTACCAACAGATCGTCATGGCCGAGTGGTTAGCGCGGCCGTCTCTAAGACCGTCCCGAGAGTGAAGGGCTCGGGTTGGATTCTCGGGAGGTCTTGATTTCACGTTTCCTGATTTTTTTTTTGTGGAAACACATCAACATTGGGCTGGGTAGAAGGCCTTGGGTGATAAACCAACGCTGAGCGGTTGATAAGAACCGCCATTAGGTGGTTGTTATTAGCAAAATAGGCAATAAAAGCTTATTATCAGCTCTAAAAGCTTATTATCAGCTCGAAAAGCTGTTTGTCAGCCATAAAAGCTTATTATCAGCTTTAAAAGCTTAGTATCATCTTAGTATCAGCTTATCACCTTGTAAAAGATCATTAAATATCCGTTGACTAACAGTTCGTTTAACAGCTGACTGGATCCATGCATTGGGTTTGTTTCAATAGATTTTCTAAAGCTTTTAACCAAAAAACTAACACAAAATTTGAGCTTAATATAGAAAAGAAAGAGGAAAATAAGCAAAATAGGCGTTTATCTTTCAAATGGTATTTGTAAGAACCGAAAGAAATTGCAGGTTGAAGTGAACGGTGGAGAGAAAGCGTTCAACACGGTGAAGATCGAGTTATGAAGGAGCTTTTCATTTTAGAAGATATAATTTGAACAAATTTGAACAATTTGATTACGGTAAGTCTACTGTAGCCTGTAGCTAAGATTATTGAGCTATGTTGACTTGAATAAGTTTCTCTATCTTCATCTATCTTCATCTATTGGGTTGATGGAAAAGTCCTTTCCGATTTTTTGGGAGAGTACCTTTGCCCAGTTGTCCATTTGTCCAATTTAGACGTTTTCTAGCTCATCTTAAAGCTGAATTCAAGACGGATCGATTGGTAAAAACCGTTTTGAGATATCTCTTTTCTAAAAGTTTTTACAGCTATTTTAGTAAAGGGCGGCGATTTTTTGGCTTAAAGAGCCAAAAATGGCTGTTTTCACGCTGTTTTGTCAGTTTTCCGTGCAGAAACCTAGGCTAAAAACATGTGTTTCGTGATCAGCGTCAAAAATAACCCCTAGACACGCATTTTCAGAATCTTAGCAAAAAATTCTTGAAAAATATTGTCACCGGTGGGAGTCGAACCAGCGACCCTCAGATCAATAGCCTTTCCGCCGCTCACACTCACGCCTCACGCTCAAGATTCTGAAAATTTGTGTCTAGGGGTTATTTTTGACGCTGAACACGAAACACATGTTTTTAGCCTAGGTTTCTGCACGGAAAACTAACAAAACAGCGTGAAAACAGCCATTTTTTACTCCGCCCTTTACTAAAATAGTTGTAAAAACTTTTCGAAAAGAGATATCTCAAAACGGTTTTTACCAATCGATCCGTCTTGAATTCAGCTTTAAGATGAGCTATAAAACGTCTAAATTGGACAAATGGACAACTGGACAAAGGTACTCTCCCAAAAAATCGGAAAGGACTTTTCCATCAACCCAATAACTTCATCAATTTTCTCCTCTCTAAAACCAAATCTCTCTAAATTTCCCTTTGGCCAGCAGCTTATTCAATTTTTCCTTTGAGATTTCGTATTTATTTATATTGATTTTCGTTTTTCTAATTATTCAATTCAATTTTCTTGGTTATTTCTTTTCATTTTCAGTCGGGAAGCGATCGCTTTTGCCTTCTTTTTGCCCAATCGGTTTCATTTTATTTTATTTCTTTTAGCTTTTCTTTACTTTTGTCTTTTCTTTTGTCCTTTCTTTTCTTTAGCTGTTCCTTTTCGATTTCGCTGCCCCTTTTTAGATGAACTATGGTGTACTTTGTGCTAAAATGTGTAAACACATCATTTCTGGTGCACTAAAGTTTTCTTTTTCTAGCTGATATCGACTTTGATATGTGCTGAGTATAGAAATCTTACTATTAATACTGGTTTACTGTAGTCTGGGTTACTGTAATTTGGTTTCTGTAGGCTAGGTTACTGTAGTCTGGTTTACAGTAGTCTGGGCTACTGTAGGCTAGGTTACTGTAGTCTGGGTTACTGTAGTCTGGTTTACTGCAGTCTGGGTTACTGTAGCTCTTTACTGTTGACTAACTACAGTAGAAATAACAAGGGTATGGTCAAAAGTGATCAAAAATGGTCTAAATTTGTCCAAAGTGGTCAGTCCGAGAGATTTCGGCACCAAAATGAGATGTAAACACCTATCGAGTACGGCGAATACGATGGTGCTTTCGGGTTTTGCTGAAGAGCGATAGTATTCGAGAAAAGTCATCGTATAGTTTTTCCGAAAATAAACGAAAGCCGTTCATTAAACACCTTTACAATCATGTTTTATCTCATCAATCTGCTTTTCATTCAAAGCTTCTGGATTTATGGACAAAACCAGGCCTAAGCCTAAGCCTAAACTGACTTAGGTCCAGAAAATGGGGGTAGAGCCCAAACCCAAATAGACTTAAAGCGAGGCGCTAGCCACTAGCCCTAAGCCTAAGAATAAGCCTAAGACTAAGACTAAGCCTAAGAATAAGACTAAGAATAAGACTAAGACTAAGCCTAAGACTAAACCTAAGCCTGAGTCCAAGCCTAAGTCCAAGCCTAAGTCCAAGCCTAAGCCTAAGCCTAAGCCTAAGCCTAAGCCTCGCCCTAAGCCTAAGCCTAGGTCCAAGCCTAAGTCCAAGCCTAAGTCCAAGCCTAAGCCTAAGCCTAAGCCTAAGCTTAAGCCTAAGCCTAAGCCATGCCTAAGCCTAAGCCTAAGTCCACGCAATCTAATCCCCACCCATTTTTGCCAATAACTGCGCACAGACGGAAGGACTACTTCTGCTTTTTTAAATAGTAGATTGTTGAACAATGAACAATGAAACAATGTTGAACAAATTTTTGAGCAACTGAGGCAAAAGATTGCTCTAAAATGCTTTAAAATCTTTAGCAATCAAAGAAAACAGTGTACCAGATGCGAGCGTTTACCCATTTCTCTAAAAAACTTCACCTTCTTCACTATCGATCAATTTTTTGTATACTTTTCATTTGCCCCCTTCTCTCCAAATGTGCAGTAATTTCTTTTCATTTCTCCTTTTTTTTGTTTTGCAAACTGTTGATCTTCACAAAAATGTGCCCATTTTTCAATTTTCAGTTCTTTTATCGTTTGAGGAATAAATTTTCGAGAAAAACAACGAGAAACAGGTTTTTATTCTTCATTCATCTTCTTCTTTGATTCCAGCTGCTTGCATGTAACTGAAATTTGATTTTACACAGAGAATAACATACGATAACATACGGTAAATCATAGGATAACATAGAGTTCGGCAAACAAAACCAAAACAGACCAAAACCAAAACAGACCAAAACCAAAACAAACCAAAACAGACCAAAACAAACCAAAACCAAAACAGACCAAAACAAACCAAAACCAAAACAGACCAAAACAGACCAAAACCAAAACAGACCAAAACAAACCAAAACCAAAACAGACCAAAACCAAAACAGACCAAAACCAAAACAGACCAAAACCAAAACAGACCAAAACCAAAACAAACCAAAACAGACCAAAACCAAAACAGACCAAAACAGACCAAAACCAAAACAGACCAAAACAGACCAAAACCAAAACAGACCAAAACAGACCAAAACCAAAACCAAAACAGACCAAAACAGACCAAAACCAAAACAGACCAAAACCAAAACAGACCAAAACAAACCAAAACCAAAACAGACCAAAACAGACCAAAACCAAAACAGACCAAAACAGACCAAAACCAAAACCAAAACAGACCAAAACCAAAACAGACCAAAACAGACCAAAACCAAAACAGACCAAAACAGACCAAAACCAAAACAGACCAAAACAGACCAAAACCAAAACAGACCAAAACAGACCAAAACCAAAACCAAAACAGACCAAAACCAAAACAGACCAAAACAGACCAAAACCAAAACAGACCAAAACAGACCAAAACCAAAACCAAAACAGACCAAAACAAACCAAAACCAAAACAGACCAAAACAGACCAAAACCAAAACAGACCAAAACAGACCAAAACCAAAACCAAAACAGACCAAAACCAAAACAGACCAAAACAGACCAAAACCAAAACAGACCAAAACAGACCAAAACCAAAACAGACCAAAACAGACCAAAAACCAAAACAGACCAAAACAGACCAAAACCAAAACCAAAACAGACCAAAACCAAAACAGACCAAAACAGACCAAAACCAAAACAGACCAAAACAGACCAAAACCAAAACCAAAACAGACCAAAACAAACCAAAACCAAAACAGACCAAAACAGACCAAAACCAAAACAGACCAAAACAGACCAAAACCAAAACAGACCAAAACAGACCAAAACCAAAACAGACCAAAACAGACCAAAACCAAAACAGACCAAAACAGACCAAAACCAAAACAGACCAAAACAGACCAAAACCAAAACCAAAACAGACCAAAACCAAAACAGACCAAAACAGACCAAAACCAAAACAGACCAAAACAGACCAAAACCAAAACCAAAACAGACCAAAACAAACCAAAACCAAAACAGACCAAAACAGACCAAAACCAAAACAGACCAAAACAGACCAAAACCAAAACCAAAACAGACCAAAACCAAAACAGACCAAAACAGACCAAAACCAAAACAGACCAAAACAGACCAAAACCAAAACAGACCAAAACAGACCAAAACCAAAACAGACCAAAACAGACCAAAACCAAAACCAAAACAGACCAAAACCAAAACAGACCAAAACAGACCAAAACCAAAACAGACCAAAACAGACCAAAACCAAAACCAAAACAGACCAAAACAAACCAAAACCAAAACAGACCAAAACAGACCAAAACCAAAACAGACCAAAACAGACCAAAACCAAAACAGACCAAAACAGACCAAAACCAAAACAGACCAAAACAGACCAAAACCAAAACCAAAACAGACCAAAACCAAAACAGACCAAAACAGACCAAAACCAAAACAGACCAAAACAGACCAAAACCAAAACAGACCAAAACAGACCAAAACCAAAACAGACCAAAACAGACCAAAACCAAAACAGACCAAAACAGACCAAAACCAAAACAGACCAAAACAAACCAAAACCAAAACAGACCAAAACAAACCAAAACCAAAACAGACCAAAACAGACCAAAACCAAAACAGACCAAAACAAACCAAAACCAAAACAGACCAAAACAGACCAAAACCAAAACAAACCAAAACTCAATTTGCATATAAATTAACATGCAAATTTCAAATTGTAAAATGCGAATTTTAATGTAAAATGCAAATTTGCCTTTCACTTTTTCTCACTCCACAAAATCTCGCGACCGAAAAAAGGACCAAAACACGACCTCGAGATTTCGAAACAAAAAATAGCCTATGGGATAGATTTTTGGATGCTGATTTCAAATCTGCAAACAGATTTTTGCTAGCTCCTCCCAGTCGCGAGATATTGGCGAGTTTTGGTTTGTTTTGGTTTGTTTTGGTTTTGGTTTGTTTTGGCTTTGGTTAAGTTTTGGTTTTGGTTTTGGTAGTTTTGGTTTTGGTTTTGGTAGTTTTGGTTTTGGTTAAGTTTTGTTTTCCGGAGTTTAGGATAACATACGGTAAATCTAAATCTAAATCTAATCTAATCTAATCTAATCTAATCTAATCTAATCTAAATCTAAATCTAAACATAGAACACCTAAATCTCATTTTAAAGTTGATTATAGTATAAAATCGTATATGAAGTCAGCTTGGCCTTGTCTTAGAACGATCTAGCTTAGCTTTGTCCTAGAAGGATCTAGCTTAGCTTTGTTCTAGAAGGATCTAGCTTAGCTTTGTTCTAGAAGGATCTAGCTTAGCTTTGTTCTAGAACGATCTAGCTTGGCTTATTGAAATCGAAATTTTACCGTTCTTTCATCCGTTGCACGTGGTTCATCTCGATTTTCGTCGATTTCACATACCAATTTTGGGCCGTTTTGAGAATGTCCCCACTCTGAATCGCTGATTTTACATTTTACAAAATCAGAAACGTTTTCAAGATTTATATATAGGCTGTAGCTTGGCTTTGTCCTAGAAGGATCTAGCTTGGCTTTAAGGGAGAAAGCTTCTAGGGAGAAGGATCTAGCTTGGCTTTGTCCTAGAAGGATCTAGCTTGGCTTTAGGCCCTAGAAGGATCAAGCTTGGCGTTGTCCTAGAAGGATCTAGCTTTGCTTTGTCCTAGAAGGATCTAGCTTTGCTTTGTCCTAGAAGGATCTAGCTTTGCTTTAAGCCCTAGAAGGATCTAGCTTGGCGTTGTCCTAGAAGGATCTAGCTTTACTTTGTCCTAGAAGGATCTAGCTTTCTAGATCGATTTAAGATCGATTTTTGCTAGTTAAAGCCTTTTTTAAGATGCTTTACTTACTGGTGAAAGTATTTGAACATTTGAGACGATATCCGGCTCGGGTGCCTTCACTTTTTCTTCTTCGCGTACCGTCTGGACAATGGAAAAGCTTTTATTGCTTTTTAATGGTTTTTTATCGTTTTTTAATGCTTTTTTAATGCTTTTTAATGCTTTTTTATTGTTTTATTCTATTTTTTATTGGATTAAGCTTTTCAGAAAGTCTTTCTTTTCATAATTCTATTCAAAAAAGGACAAATTCACCAATTTTCTCTAAACCAAAAAGTACCAAATACTGTTCAATATCTGGTTTTTTGTTCAATTTTTATCTTTCTAAGTGTTTAATAAGATAAGCTGACTGCACCAGATTCTGCAAGGTAAAATGAACTGTTCGAACGGGGGGCTCTGGGTGAATTTCCGGGTATTCTTTCACATCCTTCAATTCCCCAAGTGTTTCCTGTCTCGAGGCGATCAATGTTTGCTCCAATTTCCCCACATCGCTTCTGAAACAGGTCAGCTTTAGATATTTGGTTTTAGATATTTGGCTTTAGATATTTGGATTTAGATATTCAGCTATCCAGCCATCCAGCCAACCAGCTATCCAGCTATCCAGCTATCCAGCTATCCAGCTATCCAGCTATCCAGCTATCCAGCTATCCAGCTATCCAGCTATCCAGCTATCCAGCTATCCAGCTATCCAGCTATCCAGCTATCCAGCAATCCAGCTATCCAGCTATCCAGCCAACCAGCTATCCAGCTATCCAGCTATCCAGCTATCCAGCCAACCAGCTATCCAACCATCCAGCCATCCACCATTTCACTCACATTTCTGTTAAAGTTGATGGATATGGATTGTAATGTCCATCCTCTGTCGTCGTTAAAACCTGAAGTTTGACCGATTACGGTTACTGTGACCATTTTGACTTACTGTAGATCTAAATCTGGCAAAAATTTCTCATTTACCGAATCTTTTTAAAAACCCAATCATTACCACTGTTTTAGTGACAGCTCCTGTTTCGAGAAGCGTACGAAATGGCTCCAATTTCTCGTCGATCATTTTCTCAATCGGCTCGATCGGGACTAAAACTAGCAACGAGATTCAAGCTGTTTATGATGTAATTGTTGCTCAAAAATGATGTAATATGATGTAATATGATGCTCAAATATAATATGATGCTCAAAAATCGTAATCTTTCTCTGCTGCACTCAATTTTCAGTATCGTTTGATATAAGTTTAATAGGTACAATCTAATTTGCTCGTTACACCCCACAACTTCAGAGCTACGTTCAGTTCAGTTCCAAGTACAGTTCAGTTCCAAGTACAGCTCAGTTCCAAGTCCAGTTCAAACAGGTTCTAGTTCAAGCTTTTAGTTCAATGCCAGCGATTCAACGATGATGCTAAGAAGCTTTCAAAAGAACCGAATGAGCTTTCAAACGAACCGAAGAAGAAGGTGATATTTTGATGTTGAAACAAAGCTGAAAGCGATTAAGGGAATGAAAGATAAGTCGGTTGCGGTACTTCGGCGTTGCTCTTCGGCTCTCGGCGTTGCTCTTCGGCATCCAACAATGGTGCAAGGAAAAGGATGAGCTTGAGAAATAGGCTGGAACAAAAGGATGTAAAGAAAAAGAAAAGGATGTAAAGAATTGGCGGCAGTAGACGGAATCTCAAGGGTTTCGATTTCGATAACTAAGGATGGATCAATTCAGGAGTCAGGTGGATCAATTCGTGAAGAACGATCGAAGAAAGGATCACGATCAAAACAAGGATCACGCGATGGTTGCTTGAACACGTTGTGCTTGTGCTTGACAAGCACAACGTGATTTGAAAGGAGAAGATGCTTCTCCTGCATCAAATGAATGGCTAGAAAAGTTCCGAAACAGCTTCTCAACTCGCCCCTTGACAATAGTTTGCCTAAAAGTTCTGAAAGAGGACAAATTCTGAGTAAAGCGACTGTTGTCAAAGTAAAGCGATTGTTGTCACCAAGGCTAATATCAAGAATCAGCTCAGCTGTTCGACATCAGCTACGCTTGAAAGCCACTCGTTCGCAGGCCAGAATGGAAAAGATTATTGGGATTTCCTGAACTTCTATGAGCTGTATTGTCAAAAGTTGTCAAATCGCTGATCGACTAGATTCTCTACATGGAGAAGATGCACAAGGAGGGCAATTACGTGTCGATCTTTGCTTGTGACGAGATGAGAATCTTTCTTGGACAGTTTAACGATTGTTTAATGCTTCGAACAGTTTAACGACTCCAGAAAAAGAATCCAACGAGGTTTCTCTTCTTGCAACAGCCACGACAAATTGGAATCTCGGTGATGCTAACCGCTTGTGATGGTTTCAAATGGAAGCCTTTTGTTTTGCTAAATCGAGTTTGTTCTGATCGAAAAGTTGTCACCAAGTTCCACAACAAAGTCGAGTTTCATTCAGACTTTAATCTCAATAATATTTGCTTTAAAATAGTACAATATGTGAAAGAACAGTTGTGGGGTATAATGAAAAGCTGATGAATAGAACAGAACAGACGAGCAGCTGATGAATAGAACAGAACAGACGAGCAGCTGATGAATAGAACAGAACAGACGAGCAGCTGATGAATAGAACAGAACAGACGAGCAGCTGATGAATAGAACAGAACAGACGAGCAGCTGATGAATAGAACAGAACAGACGAGCAGCTGATGAACAGAACAGAACAGACGAACAGTGCGGTTCAAGTGAAGTTTTGTATTGAAAGGATTTCAATTCACAATGTTGCTTTGTAATAAAGCTTTTAAAAAAAAGCTTTTAAGCAAGGAAACAATATTTTATTATAAATAGTATCAATGTTTTCCGAGTGATCTACCTTGCTTTTCAGTTGGCGGTTGGGGAGAAGGATTACGATGTGAATGGATGGGTGATGGCGATGGAGTGACTTCGATTGGTCTCAAATGGGGAAGTGGATCAGGTTGTACTAAAAATAAGACGGAATTTATAGGTTTACAGCTGGTGGGAAGTCTGTACTCTGTACTCTGTACTTTGTACTTTGTAAATGGTGTACTTTGAGGCCAATAAGTGGCCTCTTCTTCATCACTCTCGAGCTGGTGGAAAGTCTGTACTCTGCACTTTGTACTTTGTACTCTGTACTTTGTAAATGGTGTACTTTGAGGCCAATAAGTGTGAATACACTCTTCTTCATCACTCTCGAGCATTTTCTCGTGCAACGCTGAGACGCTGAGACGCTGAGACGAGAAAAAACGAGATTCTAGTACGTCCAGCGTACTAGAAAGCGTGCGTTTCCAAGATTTAGACCCAAAGTACACTTTAATAAAGCTATCTATTTCTACAAAGCTATCCACAAAGCTATCTATTTCAAATGCTCACATGGTGGTCCAATATATTTTGTCGGAGCCACCGTTTGAAGGGGATTATCGATAAGTGCTGTCATTGAATCGTACACATCACCCTAGGATTTAGATAGATAATTATCTTTGAATTATGACGTTCAAGAGATCATTATCTTTAATTTCTGACGTTCAAAAAGATCATTATCTTTAAATTCTAACTTACACAAAGATCATTGTCTTTAAATTCTAACTTAAACTCACCCTAACATTTATCGGTTCATAGAGTCGATCACTTTCCGGCATCGTGATCAAGAAATGCTGACCGTGAGGGAATTTCTAAAATGTTTAAATTGATTGCTTCTGAAAGTTTACAATTCTACAAATGTTCACTGCTCCTTACTGTTTTGGAACAGTAAGGAGCAGTGGAGCAGTTAAAAAACAGCCTAGAGTAGTTGAAGGTTATTAACCTATTCAAAAAGTCTTTTCATTCCTTTTCGTACTTCCGCTTAAAACCAAGAAATGCACCAATTAAACTACTGTTTGTTTGACTAGAAAGGTCATTATTTTCTTCCAAAATAACATTAAAGCTGGTTTAAAAACGTCTGATGTCTAGATTTTTTGAGAGAATGAAGCATAGTCAAAAAAGGCGACGGTTCGATGATGCGGTTTAGACTAGAGATGGGGAATCGGGCCCGATCTAAACAGTTAAGGTTTTGGGGTAGAAAGGAGCTGGCCGATCCAAACAGTTAAGGTTTTGGGGTAGAAAGGAGCTGGCCGATCAAAACAGTTAAGGTTTTGGGGTAGAAAGGAGCTGGCCGATCCAAACAGTTAAGGTTTTGGGGTAGAAAGGAGCTGGCCGATCCAAACAGTTAAGGTTTTGGGATGGAAAGGAGTGAAAGGAGCTAGTTTATTGTAAACTACATTAAAAAAACTTTATTTTCTCGTAAAATGAGCTTACCTCAATGAGCTCGACGCAGAAATCTCGCAGCTTGTCCGAATGCAAGCGATCCTCCGGATTCCCAGCCATACATCTACATCATTATTTTTTAATATATTATTAGTTATTTATTAGTTTTGTTATTTGTTAGTTTAGTTGTTTATTAATTTAGTAATTTATTAGTTTAGTTATTTATTAGTTTAGTTATTTATTAGTTTAGTTATCGACTAAACTCGAGGCTTTTGGCGACTAGGCGTGGCTCTTTTATCTTGCATCCCGAATCTGCTTTCTCTAAATCCTCTAGAGCTTTTTTCGTAAATCGTGTGACTAAATGCCCTTCCCGACAGTTTGGAATGCCCTTCCCAACAAGTTGCGTTTGATCTCCACCGTGTCTGATTTTAAAAGGACTATTTCGTTGCATTTTAAGTGATTTTAAGTGACTTTGTGATCTTTTATCTAGTACATTTTTCATGTCGTTTTCGCACTTTATTTCTTTCTGAATAAAGTATTTATATATATTAGGTTGATGCAAAAGTTTTTTTCATTTCCTATTTTGCACTCTACGAAAACAATTAACGGCAGAGTCAATTATCTGTCAATGTGGTCAATTACTAGTAAACATCTGCTCTACAGATCATACTTCATCATCCTCCTATCAGTTATTATTTACAGCAAAAATGACGACTCAACATCACCTAATTCGAGCTGCTTTACTCTATGACTACAAACAAGGCAAGTCCGCTGCGGAATCTCATCGGATCATTCTGCAAGTATTCAAAGATGAAAGCTATACACTTGCCAATTGTGAAAAATGGTTTCGACGTTTCCGAGAAGGCAATGAGGATCTTGAGGATGAGCCCCGATCCGGACGCCCCCCTACAGGAATCGACGACGAACTCTTGGATGCCATTGCCCGGGATCCAACGCTGACAACTCGAGAATTGGGAGAAATATTTGACGTAGATCAATCTACAATTGTACGCCATCTTCATGCTTTGGGCAAAAAGAATCGATCCGGGAAATGGGTCCCTCATCAATTGTCTCAGTCAGACAAGCTTTCGAGGATGAACATCTGCACTATTCTTATTCAGCTATCGAAAGGACGGGATTTTTGGAAGTCTCTTCTGACTTGCGATGAAACTTGGATTCTATGCGATGATCCAAAACTAAAAAAACAGTGGCTTTCACCCGGACAATCGCCGATTCCAACACCCAAACCGGATATTCATGGACGGAAGATCATGCTCTCGATGTGGTGGACCTACCAAGGCTTGATCTATTACGAGTTGATAAATCCACAGAGGACTATTACTGCATCACTTTACAAACAACAACTGGATCGAGTCAATCAAGCCCTGCAAAAATTGGATCGAAACACGCCCAAGGTCAGATTCATTCACGACAACGCCCGACCTCATACGGCAAACATTTCGCTTGACAAAATTGATGAAATTGGCTGGAAGCTTCTCCCTCATCCACCTTATAGCCCTGATCTTTCACTATCTGATTACCACTTATTCCGGTCGCTGAAGCCATTTCTGGGCGAGCGACTGTTCGACAATCATGCCGACATCATCAAAAAGATCGACGAGTATTTTGCTTCCAAAAATCCCGCGTTCTTCATGGATGGCCTCAAGGATCTAAGCAGAAGATGGCAGAAGGTCCTCGATTACAATGGAGATTATTTTGAAGATTGATTATTATTATTGTGTACTTTTTTTGAATAAAGAAGTTTTACCAAAAATGAAAAAGACTTTTGCATCAACCTAATATTTATTTATTAGTTTAATTATTTATTAGTTTAGTTATTTATTAGTTTAATTATTTATTAGTTTAGTTATTTATTAGTTTAATTATTTGGTCGCGTCCGTTTCCTTCCAATTTGCGTTGCTATTTTGCAATTATTCACGTCGCATTTTTCGTCCTTTTCTCCCTTCCCGAAATTATTTTTTTTTGGTCTGCGGGTTGCTTTTGCCTTCTTTCTGGGGGGACTTGATTGTTTCTTTTGATGCGCATGCTGTTTTTGTAATGGGTATTGTTGCATTTTGGTTTTGTACTAATAAACAGTAAAATTATAAATTCAACTTACTTTCTGCTACCCTTCAGGTTTTAAATCCTGTTTAGATAACTGGTTTAACATTGTAGAGAGAGCTTACTAACATTTGTGTCGCCACCGACGAGTATTAATCTTGTGTTGGATGCTGCGCGTTCTTGTTATGTTGTAAGCGCTTTGGGGAAACCCATTTAACCTTCTTTGTGCAATTCGGCTATTCTGAAGCAAAATCATCCTCGATGATAAGGTTAAAGCGGGTCGCACCCCAAACTATTAGTTTATTTATTTATTAATTTAGTTATTTATTGGCTCTCGACGGGGCGCCTCCAGAAGAAGGCCTTTTCTCATACGCCAACCTTCCGTTTCCTCTAAAAGCTCCCACAGTTTCTTTTTTAATCGAGTTATTAAATTCTGAAACATTTTACCCCCTGATGTTCGTGATATTTCCACCTTGGCTAGATTTAAAGCCGCAATTTCGGCAATTGATTTCTGCAATTGATTTGACTGCTCTGTGATTCTTTCTTGAGGTATCCATTTATCTTTTGGGTGTGTTTTGAGTGGTGTCCCGGGTAATTATTGTGATTTTGTCTTGTCGCTATTCAACTCAATAAAGCATATATATAGTTATTGATTAGTTTAGTTCTTTATTAGTTTAGTTCTTTATTAGTTTAGTTCTTTATTAGTTTAGTTCTTTATTAGTTTAGTTATTTATTAATTTAGTTATTTATTAGTTTAGTTATTTATTACACCATTTAATTAGCATCAGGCTTAGGCTTAGGCTTAGGCTCAGGCTCAGGCTTAGGCTCAGGCTCAGGCTTAGGCTCAGACTCAGGCTCAGGCTCAGGCTTAGGCTTAGGCTTAGGCTCAGGCTTAGGCTCAGGCTTAGGCTCAGGCTCAGGCTCAGGCTTAGGCTTAGGCTTAGTTTAATTTAAGTTTAACAATCCTCACGTTTGAATGAGATCATTGAATACTTTCAGAATTGGCAATTCTGATGGTCGTTCTCCATTTTGAATCCCAACAATGAATGCCACCGGAGTCTTGTATTTTTGGATGAAAGTCGGCAATCTAAAATCATGAAATTGATAGTTGAATAGATTAAAAAAAGATTGAATTGTTTTCAAAGATCCAATTGAATTGTTTCTTTTAAAATAATTGTTTTAAAAGAATTGTTTAAGAAACCTTCTCGCAAACATCATCCAGAACACCATTCCCAAGCTGAACACATCGACACGACTATCGTATTGATGGCTTGTCATTACCTAAATAATTTAATGTTTAAAATGCAAACTTGGCTAGAGATAAGTGCTGTTATAGTAGTGGATCTAACTGTTATCGCCCGAGGCTTACTTTGCGCTCAAATAAACACACCAAACTCAATCCCTCATCTTTTATTTTTCTTTTTTCAATGATTAGTACCACCAGGTTTTGAGCAGAGTTCGTCATTTTCGATCTAATTGTCAATAAGTGTCAATAAGTGTACGGAAAGACGAGATTTGACCATTTTAATGGCTATTTTTTCACCTCCGCCCCTTTTGCCATTGGCAATCTAACTTTAAGCTCAAATATCTTGGCTTTGGGTCGTTCAATTTGAATAATTTTTCTACCAATCAATAGAGAAAGACTTGGCGCGTCGAATGATATCACTAATATTGAAATTGGACAGCTCTGCACCAAGATATTGAAGTTCAAAGTTAGATTGCCAATGGCAAAGGGGGTGGGGCTGAAAAAGTAGCAATGAAAGTGGCCAAATCTCGTCTTTCCGATGAAACTAGACCTGTATTTCTGCCTGCATAGAGATCTTTTGAAAAAGAAATAGTTTTTCTTATTTAATATATCTAAAAAAATGCAGCTATATCAGCTTCTAGACAAGCCTCAGCTTCTAGACAAGCGTCAGCTTCTAGACAAGCGTCAGCTTCTAGACAAGCGTCAGCTTCTAGACAAGCGTCAGCTTCTAGACAAGCGTCAGCTTCTAGACAAGCGTCAGCTTCTAGACAAGCGTCAGCTTCTAGACAAGCGTCAGCTTCTAGACAAGCGTCAGCTTCAGACAAGCGCAGCTTCTAGACAAGCTTCAGCTTCTAGACAAGCGTCGCTTCTAGACAAGCGTCAGCTTCTAGACAAGCGTCAGCTTCTAGACAAGCTCAGCTTCTAGACAAGCGTCAGCTTCTAGACAAGCGTCAGCTTCTAGACAAGCTTCAGCTTCTAGACAAGCTTCAGCTTCTAAACAAAGCTTCAGACGAAGCAGAGCAATCAGCCAAAAAACGAGCGAGAAAACGATGGTGGAATTAGGTTGGTGTTGGAATTCTCTCATTTCTAGTACCTCTGGCGCCATAAAGAGATAACTGCCGACTCTTGTTGTCATATCTTCACCATTTGAGGCCAAAACTCGTGACTCGCCGAGGTCACAGATTTTCACGGTTGTGTACAATTCGTTCATTAGAATGCTGAAAAAGATTTAGAGTTGTTTTGAAAAATTTTTGAAAACAATAACTTTGAGATGATGATTTTAAAAGGGCTTAGAGTACTGTAGCCAAATTTCTTACTTATCCGGCTTTAAATCCCTGTGCAAAACGTTGCATTTGTGCATGTGAGCCACTGCACTCGTTACCTAAAGATTTATATAAGATTTATATAAGATTTATATAAGATTATATAAGATTTGTAAATATTAGGGTGGTGCAAAAGGAAATGACGATGGGTATCAGCTCTGCCGATGGGCAACAGCTCTGCCGATGGGCAACAGCTCTGCCGATGGGTATCAGCTCTGCCGATGGGCATCAGCTCTGCCGATGGGCATCAGCTCTGCCGATGGGTATCAGCTCTGCCGATGGGTATCAGCTCTGCTGATGGGTATCATTTATCAGAAACGCATCCCGCATTTCCATCACTGGCATTCTCCTGAATCGTGCAAAGAATAGCGGATTTCTTGATTCTATCGTGACATCGGATGAGAAATGGATTGCATACGACAACTTTACGCGAGAACGACAGTGGCTGAGCGCCGTCGAACGTGCTGTTCCAACCCCAAGGCCCGAAATCCACGGGAAGAAGATCTTATTGTCTGTATGGTGGAACAGCAAGGGTTTGGTGTACTTTCAATTACTGGAACATGGAAAAACGGTCACTGCGGAGCTCATCAGCTGAATATTTTTTATTTAGATCATTGTCGAGCAAAAGTTTCTGCTACGAGCAGCATTACTGTTTAACTTCAAAATTGGAAAGCTGCCGAATCTGCTGCCGAATCGCATCGTTCTCTCTGCGCTGCTCGTTCTCTCTGTCTTTCGGTGATGGCAGTTTGTCTCTCAGGCAGTGTCAGACTTGGTTTCAACAATTCCGAGAGGGAGACGAGGCTTTGGAAGAGCTTAGGCTTAGGCTCAGGCACGGTTCGAGGCCAGAAGTCGTGAACGAAGCCAATCTGCTTGAGTGACAGCCAAAGAGTGACGTTAGACAGGCCGTTCCATGCCAATCTGCTCGAAATCTTGCGAAAATATTCCATTGTGATCATGTCACCATCAAATGCCGTATTGGAACCGTATTGGAACCGTATTGGATTTAAGAAGAACCGTATTGGAACCTTAAAAGGAACCGTATTGGATCTAAGAAGAACCGTATTGGAACCGTATTGGATCTAAAAAGAACCGTATTGGAACCTTAAAAAGAACCGTATGAACCGTATTGGATCTAAGAAGAACCGTATTGGAACCTTAAAAGGAACCGTATTGGATCTAAGAAGAACCGTATTGGAACCTTAAAAGGAACCGTATTGGATCTAAGAAGAACCGTATTGGAACCGTATTGGATCTAAAAAGAACCGTATTGGAACCTTAAAAAGAACCGTATTGGAACCGTATTGGATCTAAGAAGAACCGTATTGGAACCTTAAAAAGAACCGTATTGGAACCGTATTGGATCTAAAAAGAACCGTATTGGAACCGTATTGGATCTAAAAAGAACCGTATTGGAACCTTAAAAAGAACCGTATTGGAACCGTATTGCCATCTTTTTTTTTTGAATTTACCGTCAAATCGCAGTTTCTTTTGCACCACTCTAATAGATCTGATAATTAGATATAAAACGTAAATCTTATTCCTTACTTGATACATCCAACTGACAATATGATCTACATAATAGATCAAATCCTTCCGCTTGCAGGCAACTGAAAATTATGATTAAATCAATGTACAGGGTGGGCCAAAATTACCGTTACATATGTCTCTTTCTCTGTATAAAAAGCAACTCAAAAAGGTCAAAGATTTCTCTTAAAAATAACTTTCATTGTCTCATAACAATTCATAGAAACTATTCCTTTTCAAAGAGATCTCCAATAGCTTTTACACAGGCGTCCAAACGTCATAGAAAAGCGTCGATCGTGGCGAGATGGTATAGGAGATCCAGCTCTTCCCAAGCCTTTTCGAGCGCTTTTTTCAAACTAGCAACAGTTTTGTGTCATTGATAGCGTCAACTGATAGCATTTGTGATTTATTTTTCTTGTAGGCCTAAGAGCTGCCATGAAACGGAGAGTTACAAGTTTTTGAACTCGTAAAGCGGAGAAGGTTTTAACTAAGTCCAACATCCAATATTGAATAAATTTTATAAATTGATAGTGATATTTGAAAGCTTGATGGATATTAGATAAATATATTAACAGTTTTCTTTTCACAAACCATCTTGCAGCGATCCACCGGACATGTACTCGAGCACCAACGAGAGACCGTAACGCGGGTCATCGAAGTACCCAAAAACCTAGAAAAGAAATAAGTACTGATCTGAGATTTGAGTTAAAGAAAGATCTGAGTTAATTAAAGTCCATTAATTGATTAAATTCTCGAACTTGTGACTCTTTCGCCGCGCAATTACTTTTTCCAGTATAATTTGGCATTTATATACGCCAATTTCTATTCAAAAGAGAATTTTCATTGATTAGACTGTCTAGAAAATCTATTCGTTCCTTTTCATAGTTGAAAAAATCCAAATCTATAGTAAAAGCTATAGCAAAACCTATAGCAAAACCTATAGCAAATAACAGAACCTAAAGCCAGGAGAGCGCTCAACTCCAGCCCAAACCCCACCCAAATCCCGTCCGAATCCAGCCCAAATCCAGCCCAAATCCAGCCCATAAAATTCAAATGATCACATTTTCAGAGTCCTAACAAAACTTTAGACGCTTATAACTCCTACCAGATTGTCATTTAGCAAAAACCCAATACATATTTGGAATCAGCAGAAAATTCTGCCTCAAATGGTATAAGTCGCATAGCCAGTTTAACCAGTTTCACCGGCTCAGCCAGTTGGCCTTTCCCAGTTGGCCAGTTGGCCTTTCCCAGTTGGCCAGTTGGCCAAAGTTTAAAAGTATAAAAGTGAAATTTAGGCTAATTAAAGCCAAGTTTTTGATAGAATAAATAACATAAAATGAATATTAGGCAAAACTCTCGAACTAAACCACGCTCGATAATAATTTCATTTTTAGAGAATCCCTTCAATGATTTATTATCGAGCGTCGACTGTATTTGTTTGCAAAATGAGGGATTAGATGCAAAATTGCCTGCGCAAGAGTCACGTTTCCTCTAGCGTACTTATGACTCTTGTGATTGGCTACCAGGCCTCTAGAATTTGGGGCCGGGTCCAAGGCCTCTAGAATTTGTATTAGAACCCTATTTGGATCTATTTTATTTAGTAATCTCTATAATTATATAACTATACGAAAAACCATGCCAACCTTGACAATATTTGGATGAGCTGCTCCATAGCGAAGCGTGCGAATCACTTCCTGGACGAGCTTCTTCTGATCCTCCATCCCGCAAACCTTGATCGCTACATTTCTGGAATCAAAATCTATTTATTATTAAATCAAATCTTTATTATTCAAATATAGCTTATAAAATAGGGTTTAAATTAAATTAAAAATTAAAAACTATTAAAAAAAATTAATTAATTAAAAACAAACCCTACTGCATGCGAGAAACCTTGATAAACTTTTCCAAAAGTGCCCGCGCCAAGCTCGCGAAGTTTTCGAACCTAGAAATTGAGGTGTAGTTAAAGGGGTACAAGATTTGGATGGATATTTGGATGAGCTGCTCCATATTTGGATGGACTGCTCTGCTCCATATTTGGATGAGCTGCTCTGCTCCATATTTGGATGGACTGCTCTGCTCCATATTTGGATGGACTGCTCTGCTCCATATTTGGATGAGACTGCTCTGCTCCATATTTGGATGAGCTGCTCGAATCACTCCCTGGATGAGCTTCTTCTGGTACTTTTAGGCAAAAGTTAGCTTTCAAGGTCATCACCGTCATTTATATATTATTCGATACGTTTTCCTCCTTCGATAGTCTCCTCTGCAACTATTTCCTATACGAAAAGCAAGGTTTTCAATTGAGAAATGAAGAAAAACGAGGGTTTTTCTTCTATTCCCATAAAACGTGGATATTTGAGCAAAAATTATATAAAAGTTTTGTCAAATTGCATTTTAGCACTTGCGTCTTTTTCTTTTCCAAAACAGTGTCTTCATTTTCTCGCAGCCGACAATCTGTCAGCCTCAAAAAACCGTCAATACGCGAGGAGTTATAAGCTTTATATATGCAAAGCGATATGCCAGATGGAATGCGATTGTGCGCGCGCAGAAAGAACACAGCACTTCTTGAAAGAAAGCAAAAGAAAAGTCCAAAGCGAGGGTCGAACTTGTGAGGCCCCGCTCTGGAGATAAACGCTGTACCACTCGGCCACGTTTGCAGGTCCGCCAGGAGGTCGCTCAAATCCTGCCCAAATCCCGCCTAAATCCAGCCCAAATCCCCGCCCAAACCCCGCCTAAATCCGGCCCAAAGCCCGCACAAATCCTGTCCAAATCCCGCCCGAATCCAGCCCAAATCCCGCCTGAACCCAGCCTAAACCCCGCCCCAACCCCGCCCCAATCCCGCCCAAATCCAGCCCATAAAATTCAAATAACCACATTTTCAGAGTCCTAACAAAACTTTAGACGCTGATAACTCTTGACAGATTGTCATTTAGCAAAAACCGAATACATATTTGGAATCAGCATAAAATTCTGCATGGTATAGGTGGCATAGATTTTGGCTCAGCCAGTTAACTTTCCCCTTGTCAGTTGGTTAACCTTTAGAAACCCATTTTCAACGCTAATTTTATCTATTAAATATTATCTTTTTTAAAAAACTGTTTCACCCATCATGTAGCCAAGAATGCAAGGCTTTTTTTGGTATAAAATTTGAATTGGCTTGGTTTTTTGGATTATGAGAAATTTGAGAGATTTTGAACGTTCTCTATTCGGCGTTATCTAAATCCGTTGTTTTCTAAATCCCTAGAAATTTGATTTTCAAAACAGTTCAATCTTTTCTATGAGTTATTAAGCTGAGTTTTATCGGCAATAAGAATTTCTAAGTAATAAATTTAGAGAATTGAAGCTGCCCTGGCCAGTGGCCAATGGCCAAGCCGTTCTGACACGGAAACAAGGAGCCGGTTTGGTTCTGCTGGCTTTGCCTCGGTTCTCCTGGCTTGGCCCGGGTTCGGTTAGCTTGGCCTGGGTTCTGCTGGCTTGGCCTGGGTTCTGCTGGCTTGGCCAGGATTCTGCTAGCTTGGCCTGGGTTCGGCTAGCTTGGCCAGGGTTCTGCTGGCTTGGCCCGGATTCGTCTAGCTTGGCCCAGGTTCTGCTGGCTTTGCCTTTGCCTTGACTCTGCCTGGGTTCTGCTGGCTTGGCTTGGGTTCTGCTTGGCCTGATTTGACGAAGGTGTATTTTGTGCTCAAACACATCCTTTCTGGCACACTTAATTCTGCAATCGTTAAAGAAATCAGTGCGCCAGAAAGGGTGAGTTTAGAGATTCGAATGCAAAGACGTCAACAACGTTAAAGACGTCAACAAATCCCACCTCAGAATGTCGAATGATCGGAAACACAACATCATACGTTTGCAATCCTTGACTCTGCAAGGCGGACATCAGGGCAATATTTGTTCTGCGTTTTTTCTCCTAGCCAAAAAGAAATCGTTTGCGCTTGAAATGTTATCAGTTTGATCGGGAAAAGACTTTATATGCACAATCTTGAAAAGGGGAAAAGAAAGAAATTTTGTGAAAGAGTCGAAATTTCCAGCTCACCTGGTGAATCATCGTTTATGGACATTTATGGGCATTAAAATTGATCATTTTTTAGCCTAATTGAAGTGAATTTTCTTGAGAAAATGGTTAAGGAGAATTTTGAGATCTTTTTTATTAGTCTTGATCACTTGTATTTCTGTTTACAAATAACCTACTACAGTAGGTTATTTTTCTAATACATCATTTACAAATGATGTATTAGAACGACACTTTTTAATAGAATGGAACTCTCTAATAGAACCTCTAATAGAATGGAGCTCTCTAATAGAATAGAACTCTCTAATAGAACCTCTAATAGAACCTCTAATAGAATGGAGCTCTCTAATAGAATGGAGCTCTCTAATAGAACCTCTAATAGAACCTCTAATAGAACCTCTAATAGAACCTCTAATAGAACCTCTAATAGAACCTCTAATAGAACCTCTAATAGAACCTCTATAGAACCTCTAATAGAACCTCTAATAGAACCTCTAATAGAACCTCTAATAGAACCTCTATAGAACCTCTAATAGAGCCTCTAATAGAACCTCTAATAGAACCTCTAATAGAACCTCTAATAGAACCTCTAATAGAACCTCTAATAGAACCTCTAATAGAACCTCTAATAGAACCTCTAATAGAACCTCTAATAGAACCTCTAATAGAACCTCTAATAGAACCTCTAATAGAATGGAGCCTCTAATAGAACCTCTAATAGAACCTCTAATAGAACCTCTAATAGAACCTCTAATAGAATGGAGCTCTCTAATAGAACCTCTAATAGAACCTCTAATAGAACCTCTAATAGAATGGAACTCTTTAATAGAATGGAAAAAAGAATTTCGAGCTCAACGGGAAAATGATGAACGAGAAGAATTCTTTAAGAACAAGGATGATAAACAACTTGAGAAAGAAACAGCCGAGAAGGACTGAACAGAGGCAATAAGTGAAAATGAGAACGTGAAATCACGTTCGTCAACCATTTATTGGAAAGTTATCATATTCAAATCATATTTTCTTCTTCTTTTCTTCCTTTCTTCCTTTCTTCTTCCCCCTTATCTTCCCTTTTTCTCTTGGCAAGTTGGCAGAATAGCTTCGTGATTAGAGGAATTGATCGAGGTTCAATTCGGTTTTGATCTGACCCAGAAAAATCTTTAAGCCGCCAGAAGTCAGGCTTTGCGTTGAACCAGCGCCAGAAATGTGAACCTGATTTCTTTCTTCCTTTCTTCCTTCTTTCTCCTTTCCTCCTTCCTTCTTCTTTCTTTCTTCCTTTCTTCCTTCTTTCTCTTGGCAAGTTAAGGTACTGGATAGGTCAGTGGTTAGAGGATTGGTCAAGGTTCAAGGCGAAAAGTAAAAGGTCAAAAGTTCAATCCTCTCTCCGTAAATCCCGAAATTTAAGGAAATCTTGTCAATTTCTTTACTTCTTTATTTCAATCAGTATAAAGGTAAAAGATCGAAGAAAGAGGATGAAATATTGCAGTAATTTATTGTAATCAAAAGTTCAAACAAGATTTGAGCATTAAATTCACCTGTTTGGAACCAAATCTGTGCATAAATGGAACTAAATCTGTAGAGAAAAGGAATCAAATCTGTACCGAAAAGGAACCAAATCTGTAACTAAATGGAACCAAATCTGTACCCAAATGGAACCAAATCTGTACCCAAATGGAACCAAATCTGTACCCAAATGGAACCAAATCTGTACCCAAATGGAACCAAATCTGTAACTAAATGGAACCAAATCTGTACCCAAATGGAACCAAATCTGTACCCAAATGGAACCAAATCTGTACCCAAATGGAACCAAATCTGTACCCAAATGGAACCAAATCTGTACCCAAATGGAACCAAATCTGTACCCAAATGGAACCAAATCTGTACCCAAATGGAACCAAATCTGTAACTAAATGGAACCAAATCTGTACCAAATGGAACCAAATCTGTAACTAAATGGAACCAAATCTGTACCTAAATGGAACCAAATCTGTACCTAAATGGGACCAAATCTGTAACTAAATGGAACCAAATCTGTACCTAAATGGAACCAAATCTGTACCTAAATGGAACCAAATCTATACCTAAATGAAACCAAGTCTGTAGAGAAAAGGAATCAAATCTGCACCTTAATGGAACCAAATCTATACCTTAATGGAACCAAATCTGTACCTACAGTACTGGACAATGAAATATGATATTTGAAAAACGATCGTCACTTTCGCACGTCTGTAACTTCCTTGTCTTTGAGTTTAAACTATTAGTGTTATACATTTTCTAAAAGCTCTTTTTAAGGGCTACACAATGGTAATACTAATATTTAGAAATACGGCAAAGACAAGGGAGTTACAGACGCGCGAAAGTGACGATCGTTTTTCAAATATCATATTTCATTGTCCAGTACTGTAAATGGAAACAAATCTATACCTAAATGGATCTGTCTTTTTCTGTCTTTTCTGTCTTTTTCTCTTCAACGTTTTTGATTTTTCAATAGCTTTATTAGCAAAAAAAGAACAGCTTCAAAAGAATAAATAACTCTGCGAAAAAAAGGTGAAAAATTACTTCAAAAATGGGATAGTTTGAGAGGAAAAAAGGAAAAAATAAAAAAACTTCAAAGCAAATTTTTTTTGTCAAAATTTTTACCAGCATTTCAGTCAATCGCGGGGAAAAAAAGGGGGAAAAAGGGGAAAAAATCGCCAAAAAAGTCAACTTTTAAAAACAAATACATAAAATAGAAGATATTCTAATAAAGATTTAGCTTTTTTTTAATGAAAATTATGAAATTTATATGTCGTAAGCGATTATGAATTTCAGCCGATTATGAATGAGTGGATCTAGGAGCGTCCAACCATCAAGTATTTGGTATCATTCAACGCAGAATCATTAATAATTATGTTAAATTTTTTAAATTAGAAAGATTTGATAAAAAGAAAAAAAATTAGAGCAAAAAACTGTTTGTTCAAGAGAAAATTTTGAGGCCCCATAACTTTTTTTCTTTTTATCCAATCTTTCTAATTTTAAAAATTTAACATAATTATTAATGATTCTGCGTTGAATGATACTAAATACTTGATGGTTGGACGCGTCTAGACCTAGACCTAGACCTAGACCTAGACCTAGTCCTAGACCTAGACCTAGACCTAGACCTAGTCCTAGACCTAGACCTAGACCTAGACCTAGACCTAGACCTAGACCTAGACCTAGACCTAGACCTTGACCTGGACCTAGACCTAGACCTAGACCTAGACCCAGACCTAGACCTAGACCTGGACCTAGACCCAGACCTAGACCTAGACTTGGACCTAGACCTAGACCTAGACCTAGACCTGGACCTGGACCTAGACCTAGAACTAGACCTAGACCTAGACCTAGACCTAGACCTAGACCTGGACCTAGACCTAGACCTGGACCTAGACCTAGACCTGGACCTAGACCTAGACCTGGACCTAGACCTAGACCTGGACCTAGACCTAGACCTGGACCTAGACCTAGACCTAGACCCACTCATTCATTATCGGCTACGACATATATATAATCTTACAAAAATTTGGCAATATTTGAAAAAAAAAGAAACAAAAAACAATCTCGAAACATTTTCTCAAGGGAAAGCCCGTAAAATAAGAAAATTCGCAAGAAAAATGGAAAAATAATGGATCAATTGAAACAAATTTTGTTAGAATTTCAAGAAATTATTAGATTTTTGTGGAAAATAAAGATATTCAGCTGAAAATCTGAAAATTTTCACTTTGACAGGAAATCGAGTGGTTGCCGAGCTTTAAAGGCTCATAACTTTGCTTCAGTGTATTATTATTTTAAACTATTTATATGGTTTTGTAGAGAAGATTTCAGGCTTTCGAATGATACCAAAAAGAGTTTGATTGGATTGACGAAGGCTGAGAAAACAGCAGCCAAACTGAGAGAGCTAAATCAAGAGGTTGAAAAAACTCAACCATTTTCTCCGTCGATTTTCTCAGCCTTTGCCAATCCAATCAAACTCTTTTTGGTATCATTCGAAAGCCCGAAATCTCCTCTACAAAACTGGCCAAGGCTTGGCCAAGGCTGAGAAAATCGACGGAGAAAATGGTTGAGTTTTCTCAACCTCATGATTTAGCTCTCTCAGTTTAGCTCTCTCAGTTTAGCTGCTGTTTTCTCAGAATTGCCTGATCGAATCAAGCTCTATTTGGTGTCATTTGAAAGCCCGAAATCTCCTCTACAAAACTATACACACCGTAGTACTGTAATTATGGGTATTGTTGCGTAGTCGTTACTTTAAAGCTCCATTCTCTGTAAAGGTTTCAGTTAAAATGGGCTTTAGTATAAAACGATGCTAAAAGTATAGTCAAAAAGGATTCTTGAGAAAAATGACGACTACACGACAATTGCTTGCTTTAGCTTTTACTTTAGCTTTTACTTTAGCTTGCTTTAGCTTTTGACGCCTACACGACGACTACACGACTACACGACAATACTCTTAGGGAATACAGTAATCTGCTTAGTAATCTGTTTAGTAATCTGCTTGAATTAAGCTTCTTAAACATAAAAAACTCATTCAAAGTGTTGAAAGATGACTGTCAAAAAAGAATTTTCAAGAAAAGCGATAATTCAAAACGTTAAAAAACCGAATAAAAGCTTAAAAAGCTATAAAAAACCATAAAAAGCTATAAAAAGCTATAAAAACCATAAAAAAGCTATAGAAATCTAATTTAAAAGATAGAAAATCAAATTTCTATCAATTTCCATCAATTTCCATCAATTTCCATCAATTTCCATCAATTTCCATCAAATTTCCATCAATTTCCATCAAATTCCATCAAAAAAAGGCGAAATTTATATGAAAAAATGAAGATTTTAAGGGAAATTGGGCTACGGTTGAAATGATATAAAAAAAAGCTAAAAAATAATGAAGAAAATGAAGAAAAAGCAATCATTTCACTGAATATCTTTAAAACAAAGGAATAAAATGGATTTAAATGGAAATAAAATAGATTTAAATGAAGGAAAAACCAATGCGATTCGTTGTTTGTTGAACGGTGTTTTTTGACTAGAAATTGTACCATTTTTTCTTCTCGTATTTCTCGACGAGTTTCCCCGTTCGTGAGGAGAGACTCTGAAATAAAAATATTAGATTAGATTAGATTTGATTTGATATAGATACTTCTATTTATTAGGTTTATTAGGTTTATTAGCTTTGATTAGCTTTATAAGCTTTATTAGCTATTAGCTTTATTAGCTATTAGCTAATTGAATAGCTTTAACTTTAACCTTAGCTTTAGCTTGCTTCAGCTTGCTTTAGCTTTAGCTTCAGCTTGCTTTAGCCTGCTTTAGCTTGCCTTAGCTTGCTTTAGCTTGCTTCAGCTTGCTTTAGCTTGTTTCAGCTTGCTTCAGCTTGCTTCAGCTTGCTTTAGCCTGCTTTAGCTTGCCTTAGCTTGCTTTAGCTGGTTTCAGCTTGCTTTAGCTTGTTTCAGCTTGCTTTAGCCTGCTTCAGCTTGCTCCAGCTTGCTTTAGCCTGCTTCAGCTTGCTTTAGCTTGCTCCAGCTTGCTCCAGCCTGCTCCAGCTTGCTCCAGCTTGCTTCAGTTTGCTTTAGCTTTAGCTTGCTTTAGCCTCCTTCAGCCTGCTTCAGCTTGCTTTAGCCTGCTTCAGCTTGCTTTAGCTTCCTTTAGCTTGCTTTAGCATTGCCCCTGAACTTTTCTTACTAGGGATGCAGACAAACTTTTAAAATAATTTTGTAAAATGATCAAAAACTATTTTCAAGATCAACAGGGCTTTCATTTGCAACAGCTAAAAGTCTATTTGCTCAAAAAAGACTTTTAGCTGTTGCATAAAGTCATAAAATAATTTAAAAAGTTTAAAATTAACCTAAATCTACTTTTAGCTGTCTAACATTCATCGATATCAGTTTTCTATCATTTGGAAATTTATGAAAATGTTGAAAACCGCATTTCTTATGCATTAATAGATGCTTTGTGCTCGAATCTGTAAACGTTCCCTTTTAGTGCACTCATTCTGCATTTTTCTTACAGAAACACGATAAAAGTGAACGAATTGAGTGCGCTAGAAAGGGTGCGTTTATATTTTCAAGGTCAAAATACACCTAGGCTCTGAGCTGAGAATAGGCTCTGAGCTGAGCCTGAGCTCTGAGCTGAGAATAGGCTCTGAGCTGAGAATAGGCTCTGAGCTGGGCCTGAGCTCTGAGCTGAGAATAGGCTCTGAGCTGAGCCTAAGCTCTGAGCTGAGCCTTAGCTCTGAGCTGAGGCTCTGAGAACAAAGATAGTTAAAGATAGTTAGATAGTTGTGATAACTATTATCTACTCCTACACATTATCTTCATCATTATTTGCCAGAGCATTCGATTTTACTTATTTTGAAAAGAAAAACTTCTCTATAACCAAGTGAGAAAGATGAAATTTTCCAAAAACTAAACCTGTGCTGAATTCTTGAGATTCTCCGTCGTGTCCACCACCTGATTCAACCGTTCGCCACGCTCGGATAGATTCTGAAAGTAAAAGATTTCCTCAGGATCAGTCTCACTCAAGATTCACTCAAAATTTAATGATAAAAGTCAGCTGATCAATGCATCAATCTTCTAGATCAATGCCTTAACCTGTACTGCAATAATGGAGCACTTACTGCAAAGCTATTGTACAAAGCTACCGTCCTACAGCTACCGTAGTGTCCAGCTGACTCTTTACTATCGTAGAGGGTGGGTCAAAATTACAGCTTAGCGACAGTATCTTCACAGTACAATCAACAGATAGTCTATTAGTTTATCAAGGGAATCCTCTAACCTGCATAGCCATTTGTGCAGCCATCCCAGCCGAAACTCCTCCTTGATGTGCTCGATCCATTGAGATTGACGGTCCAGGGATCATTTTTGCCACACTTCGCATCGATGTCGCCGCTGATGGAGGTTTATCACGATCGCTGACTAAAGATTTCTCTTTATAAGTACAAGATTTTGCTCTATACTGATAACAGGCTAAAATCTTGTTTCCAGCTTTTTGTGAATCTTAGAATTTTGGTCTAATGAGAAGGTCAATGGGACATTGGATTGGAGATTTGATTGGAGATTTGATTGAACTTGGATTGAACTTGGATTGGACATTGGATTGAACTTGGATCGGAGATTGGATTGGAGATTTGATTGGACTTGGATTGAACTTGGATTGGACGTTTGATTGGACTTAGATTGGAGATTGGATTGAACTTGGATTGAACTCGGATTGGCCATTGGATTGGACATTGGATTCCAATAGTTCTCTATAGAATAGCCAGTATTTCCTAGCATTTGTAGACGATGGTGAAGACTATTGTGCTAGAGTAGTACCCTAAGCTTTCACTACCACATTTAGTGTTTACGGGCACAGAAAACAGGGAAACATAACGATTTAATGGAGAATGGAGCTAATGGAGCTAATGGAGCTAATGGAGCTAATGGACTAATGGAGCAATGAGCTATGGAGCTAATGGCTATGGCTAATGGAGCTAATGAGCTAAATTGATCTAATGGAGCAATGAGTCCAAAGCTAATGGAGCTAATGGAGCTAATGGAGCTAATGGAGCTAATGGAGCTAATGGAGCTAATGGAGCTAATGGAGCTAATGGAGCTAATGGAGCTAATGGAGCTAATGGAGCTAATGGAGCTAATGGAGCTAATGGATCTAATGGAGCCAATGGAGCCAATGGAGCTAATGGAGCCAATGGAGCTAATGGAGCCAATGGAGCTAATGGAGCTAATGGAGCTAATGGAGCTAATGGAGCCAATCTAATAGATCTAATAGATCTAATAGATCTAATAGATCTAATAGATCCAATGGATCTAATAGATCTATAGAAGTAAAGCTAAGTTTAAACTTCAAGAACTGCTTCAATCTTGACATGAGTCCGTTCATTTCTGTTATTTCTGCTTCTGCTGACATGAGTCCGTTTCTTATCAGTTTAGGTATCAGTATAAAGCAAAAGATTCATATTTGAATCAAAAAATGAATTGAATCTAAAAATTAGTTGAATCTAATTTAAAATCTTACAAAGTGTATCCAAATCGACGGTCTCTTGTCGTGAATTGGCCGAGAAAAGCGCTGAGAGTCCGCCTGAAAAAAAGAATCATTGATAATCATTGATATACTTTGTGCTTAATCCTGTAAACGCGGCCCGTCTAGTGCACTGATTTACCTCACAACAACGCTTCGAGAGAAGTTAGTTATCGAGCGAAACTTCTAGCGCACTGGACATCCCGTTCAGGGCGCTAGAAGCGCTACGTTTGGGCACAAAGCACACAGGGTTTTCAGCCCAAACGGGACTGAAAGCCACCCCCAAATCTCTTCAAACAGACGCTTTATATACGAGGAGAATGTTTCGCGCGAGGTTTTCGATGTGAAGCAGTCGGGAGCGCTCTCGTCTACGGTCGGCTCCAAGCCTGAGCCTGAGTTCGACCCCCCTAGTCTTCACTCAAATTTGATTTTTCAAATTTTAATTTTAAATTGCATAGTTATATTATTTTAAAACTTTTTAAACAAAATTTCAGCTTTTTTTGGCCTAAAGACGGCTGAGAAAAAGCCTGTGCAGACAAACGGACAGAAAACGCTCTTTTATATGTCAAAATAACAAAATTGCGAATTTTTCTTGTGTAAATTTTGGCTATTTTCACCTTTTCAACTTTAGCGCAATGAGTAACGCGCTTGTCTACGGGTTACACGACCCGGGTTCGACTCCCGGCTTTGTCATGACATTGGCTTTTTAAAAAACGAAATATAAGATGCAGAACTACATAGAATTCTAGGTCTAAGAAACTAAAAATGGTGTACAGACAGACGGACGGACAGACAGACGGACAGACAGACGGACAGAGAGACGGACGGACAGACAGACAGACGGACAGGCAGACGATCAGACAGACAGACGGACAGACAGCCGGTCAGACAGACAGACAGACAGACAGACGGCCAGACAGACAGACGGACAGACAGACGGCCAGACAGACAGACGGACAGACGGATGGACAGACAGACAGACAGACACTTCCCTTTTATATAGTAGATAGGATATTACCTTTTAGTAACGAAGTCTGTTTTGGTGGTTCGGGCATGTCGACGGGCACGAAGAGTTCCCCCAAAGCCTCATCGACTTGCTCGCCCAGCTCGGCGCATACCGTGAACTTCTCGATCTAAAAAGGATGATAGATACCGTAAGAAAACATGATAACAAGTATCAGTGATGATTCAAAGTACGTCTCGAACCTAATTCCGTCTTCGTTCTCTGGCCGATTGTTTGGAAGTTACGGCCCTAACTATTATGGAGAAATAAGAGTTATGGAGAAAGTTCTTGCCGATTTTTTGGAAAAGATTCTTAAAGTTATCGAATTTGATCGTTTAATAGCTCATTCAAAAGCTAATTATCTAGCGGATTGAATGGAAAAGACCGTTTGTCGATTCATCGACTTTCAAAGTTTTTGCAACCGTTTTACTGAGGTGCAAATAAAAAGAAAATATCAAATAAGCTTTTCAGGTAGTAGAAAAAGCAAAAAAGCAAATAGCAAAATGTAAATTGGTAAATGCAAAATGGTAAATAGTTTGTTGAAAATGGGCCAAAGTCTGGCTAGATATTGACCGAGCCTGACTTTTAGCGGATAGGAACCTGATGTTTAGCGGATAGAAACTTTTCTAGGCTAGCAAAGTCAAGATCTGACTTTTGTCCTGATTCGGAAAAGGTTTTGAGACGTACTTTAAATCATTTCTATTAGAAAAACCAATATTATCCAACCGATAAACCAATATTATCCGAAATCGAAAGCTTTCTTACCTCACTAGGACTCGCCATGTAGACGCCCAAGCCGTGCTCGGAGAAAACCGTCTTTTGAACGATTCTAGAAAGAAAATGACTTCTATTGGTAATCTTTACTGTAATCTCCACTTTCTAATCTCTAATAGAGTCGTCTCATTAAAACGAATTGAAATAACGCCCCGCCCACTTTGCCATTGGCAAACCAACTTTGCGCTCAAATTTCTTGATGTTGCGCTGTCCAATTCAAATAGTTTTCCTACCAACCGATAGAGAAAGACTTGACGCATCGAATGATATCAAGAATATTGAAATCGAACACCCCAAAGCCAAGATATTTGAGTTCAAAGTTGGATTGCCAATGGCAAAGGTGGTTGGGCGTTTCAGAATTGCAAATTTTAACTGAAAAGATCATTGGAAAAGGTAAGTGAGAATGGAAAATTTGAAAAAGATGGAGATTTCCTTTTGTTAGATTATCGCTCAACTCACGGATCATCGATCTCAAGCGAATGCGGGATGAGTTGATGTGAGAGAAGTGGTCGGAGTGATGGAAGGGAGAGCACTTGGATTTGTCCGGCCGCCGAGAGACAAATCAAAACGGGTTGACCGATCACATGCGTGGATAAAGCCTGAAATTCGTAGTGCTAATTATGGAGTGCTATTTATCGAATTCTGATTATTGAATGCTGATTATCAAATTCTGATTATCGAATGCTGATTATCGAATGCTGATTATCGAATTCTGATTATCGAATTCTGATTATCGAATTCTGATTATCGAATTCTGATTATCGAATGCTATTTATCGAATTCTGATTATCGAATGCTATTTATCGAATTCTGATTATCGAATTCTATTTATCGAATTCTGATTATCGAATTCTGATTATCGAATGCTATTTATCGAATTCTGATTATCGAATTCTGATTATCGAATGCTGATTATCGAATTCTGATTATCGAATGCTATTTATCGAATTCTGATTATCGAATTCTGATTATCGAATGCTGATTATCGAATGCTGATTATCGAATGCTGATTATCGAATGCTGATTATCATATGCCAATTACCATATGCTAATCAAGCTACAGTAGCCCAGCTTTCAGTAATGCTAGTCACTTTTTGTACTTTGGGTTTAAAGGTTGTGTAAATTTGGCTCAGAAAATATGCAACTGGTTACAGTAAGAAAGACTGAGTAGTTTTTAGTCAATAGTTAGCCAATAGTCAATAGTTAGCCAATAGTCAATAGCTAAGTGTCAAATAGCTAGAATATGCGCTCTAAAAGTCGCTCTAAAAGTAGCTCTAAAAGTAGCTCTATAAGTCGCTCTAAGTCCTCTAGTTACCGTATGCTTAAAGCTACAGTATCCTAGGCTCATTTCCTATTTTTTCGCATTTAAATCCATTGATTCATGATCCATGATTCATCATCAAGATAATGAAACTATTTGTCACAATAATGGAACGATTTTCGACAATAATCCATTACTATTCTTCTCGGAAAGTACTGTAAACTTTGAAATTAACTCAAAACTCTTTCTAAAGCTAAAGCAGTATCTACAGTTCCCTAAAAAGCTAAAAAACTTAAGCTACAAAGCTTAAGCTACAAAGTTCCCTAAAAAGCTTCCTGATTAAGCTTTTTTATGCTGATTTCGAATCTGTTTTTAGTCTCTCTAGTGAGGCCCTGTAACGCGAGAGATTTATGCAAAAATTCACCCTGATTCCCCTATGTTTAAAAGCTTTCCTTATGAGCCAAATTTAAGCTCATAGCGTAGTGGATAGTAGGCGCTAGTCGATTTGTTTATCTTAGATTCAAATCCCCATAATGATACCTGACCGCCCGACCTACAGAAACCGGTCAACTTTAACGGCTTAGATCTCGACGTACAAGTATCGGATCGACTAACAATTGGTTTTAAAAGAATCCTCATCAAATTTGGCTAGAAAAAAGTGCCGTTTGTTTTGCATACTCATCGTTAAGAACATAGAGGAAAACGGTGTCAAAGTAGACCGACTTTTTGCGGCTTTTTCATAGGAAAAACCTGAAGAAATCGGTCAAATTTGACAAATTTGTTTTAGAAATAGTAGAAATACAATAGAAAATCAACAGACTTTACCTTTACAATGGGTATCTCATCGCATTTGTGATGAAAGATTAGACTGAATGAGGGTAAAGCCAAGACGCGAATTTCCCATTCAGCCACCACGATTACCACCTGAAATTTTTTGAAATTAAGATTTTAACCACCAAAGCTTTTAAAAACTCATTCAGCGATTTCAAATTTTCTCACGGCAAGCCTAAAGTGCATGCTAAAAGATCGGCATTTTCTTTGGGATTGTCTTTGGGATTGTCTTTTGGATGTACTTTGTGCTAAAGTTTAAAAACGCATCCCTTCTAGTGCACTCAATTCACAAGAATAGCCGGGTATCGAAGAAGAATTCAATGCAACAGAAGCAAAGCATTTGTAAAACTCTAGTAAGTACAGTTAAAGACTTGAAGTCTGTACTAGAGCTGTTCTTTGAGGCAAATCTGTGAACACATCCTTTCTGGGGCAGTGAATTCTCTAGGAAAGGACAAAATAGAGACTCCAGAGTCAAAATAGAGACTTCAAAGTCTAAATAGAGACTTCAGAGTTGAAATAGAGACTTCAATGCACCAGAAAGAGTAAATTCTAGCACAAAGTGTACCCCCAAAGAACAGCTGGTGGTTTTAGGGATCAAGAAAAGAAATGGCACACAATATAAGTCTTGCAAAAAAATGTTTTCAATGGGGGTTTGCTTTCAAAAAACGATTGTGAAAGTGTGCGTAAAAATGAGGGATTTCTTGATGATTTTCTCTCGCAAATAATCACTAACAGTTCGCAGTTTTGTCATCGCTTTTCGGGCGATCTGAAGCATTTATAAAACCTTAGATCTAGCAAAGCAAAGCTAAGCAAAGCTAAGCAAAGCTAAGCAAAGCTAAGCAAAGCAAAGCAAAGCTAAGCAAAGCAAAGCAAAGCTAAGCAAAGCTAAGCAAAGCTAAGCAAAGCTAAGCAAAGCTAAGCAAAGCTAAACAAAGCAAAGCAAAGCAAAGCAAAGCTAAGCAAAGCTAAGCAAAGCTAAACAAAGCAAAGCAAAGCTAAGCAAAGCTAAGCAAAGCTAAGCAAAGCAAAGCAAAGCTAAGCATAAAGTTCTATATTCTTAAAGTACTTGAGAGATATCGGAAGTGGATCCATTCGTCGATCCCTCTAAATCGACACTGTTTGAGACAGTTGGTGAGACGGTCGTTTTCGTTCGAACCCGATTTACAACCTGAATTCGAGATTGACTTTTCTTCATGCTATTCACAGTTTATTTTTAGCTTATTTTAAGCGTACCAATGTGAAACGTAACACCCTGACAGTCAGGAGTTGAACAAAGCCCCGGCTTTCAAGCCAAGTCAATGCCAGGCTCGGGAAGGATTGTTCCAGAGACAATTTCTCCCGGTTAGGCCAGACCAGGCAAGACCAGGGCTGTCAGAAGCAAGCCATGTCCTCTAATCTTGCCTGGCCTAACTTGGCTCAGTCACTGGTTCTTGCTTACAGGCGGCCAGTAGCTAGGCTTGGATTTGGCCTCGATCTGGCTTTGGTCCGGTTCGGGGTTGTTCCAGAAACAATTTCTTCGAATTAGGCTAAAAAGCCAAGCCTTGACTTCACTGCAAAGTCAAAACAAAGTCTTTGGGTTCACCTGAGGCATAAATCTGGGCCCGGTTTCACTAAAAAATTTAGTAAAGTTTAGATCTATAGGAACCGAACGGGAACATAATGGGGACCGAATTAAAACCGAATGGGGACACAAGATGAACCGAATGGGGACTTAATAGGGACCGAATGGGGGCTTAATAAGGACCGAATGGGGACTTAATAGGGACCGAATGCGGCCCTAATAGGAAACGAATGGGGAGCTAATAGGGACCGAATAGGGACCGAATGGGGACTGAATGGAAATCGAATGGGTCCTAATGGGAACCGAATTAAAACCGTATGGGGACCCAAGAGGAACCGAATTAAAACCGAATGGGGACCCAAAAGGAACCGAATGGGGACCTAATCGGGACCAAATGGGAACCAAATAGGGACCGAATGTGGCCCTAATAGGGACCCAATGGGGAGGTAATAGGGACCGAATGGGGCCCTAATAGGGACCGAATGGGGAGCAAATAGGGACCGAATGTGGCCCTAATAGGGACCCAATGGGGGGCTAATAGGGACCGAATGTGGCCCTAATAGGGACCCAATGGGGAGCTAATAGGGACCGAATGTGGCCCTAATAGGGACCGAATGGGGAGCTAATAGGGACCGAATAGGGACCGAATGGGGTCCTAATGGGAACCGAATTAAAGCCGAATGGGGACCCAAGAGGAAACCGAATAGGAACCCAATAGGAATCGAATGGGACAGAATGGGTACCGAATTAAACGATCGCGACTATGTCGAGTACGATCCATTGACTACAAACCACTGTAACTTTCTTTAGCACTCTTATTTTTAAATGTGCTTTAGTTCATTCAAAAGCTCTTGAGATTCTCTACTTTTTGAGCTATAGCTTATGTCAATCCGACAGTGATGAAGAAAGTTAGAAGCATTTGTAGTTTGAGAGTTCGTTTTTATAATTTACAGTGCCTTTTCTAGTGCAAAGAGCAAAGAGCAAAGAACTTTATGATTGCGAGAAGAAGTTTGGATATTGCTTGAGAGTTGTCTTTCTTTTTCTTTCTAATCTTTTCTATATTTTTTTCTATACTTTCGCGTACCTGTTGTATCGAATCAGGACTATCTCTAGACGCATCTCTGAAAGGTTCAGCTGCAGGTGCCAGCAAACAGAAGGCTCCATCCATGAAACTCGTATGCAATACTTGACCTCGATTTCGTACAACCGTACCTAGATAATGGGTTTTTATTATTTGATTTCGATTCATTTAATCGTTAGTTTCTACTTGAACTAAGATTATTTAGACACGTTTTTTTTAGATTTTTTAGATTCAAATCAAATTTTCACTGTTTGAAATGATTAGCAAACACACTTGCTTACAAGCTTTTAAAAGGCCTTTGAGCTTTTAAAAGGCACTTTTTTCATTTACTTTTACAGTTTATACGGTCTATAAAGTTTATAAAGTTTATAAAGTACTTTTCTTAAACTATTGGGCTGGTGAATTGAAAACTGCCGGACTTTCAACTAAAATTTATTGAACATAAAACGATGAATTCATTCGAAATAATTTCCATTATTATTGACGACTTCTGCCTATTTTACAGGCAATTTGCGGGGCTACAAGCATCCTCTTTCGTAGTTGGATTTTGGTTTGTGTGTGAGAGTCAAAAATGGAGGACTGGAGGGTCAAAAATGAAGGAATGTCCCAGTTTGAGCACTTTCTTCAAAAGAAACCCATTTTGGTGTCAATGGAAAAGTTGTAGAGAATCAAAAATTAGGCTTATAGCCAAATTTCCAAAAAGATACACTTGGTAGTTTCGCTTAAAATGCAAGTTTTGTTGCAAGTTTTGTGAAAATTCGTAAATTTGACATTTCTTGAAAACCAAAATGAAAAATGAAATATTGGTCAAAATACGGCTGGAAAAATGCCCGTACAGTAAGGCAGACAGAAAGACAGACAGATACCGTAACCCCCCTCCCCCCTCCCCCTCCTTTTCCGTCATTTCATTTGTGAAAATTCGTACATTTCGCATTTCTTGAAAACCAAAATGGGGGTAAGCTAATTTCCGCAATTTTTTTTGCGCAACAAGGTCATTTGCGCAACTGGGTCGTTTGCGCAACTCGCCATAACTTTCTTCTACGTGGGCCAATCTTTATGATTTTGATTTCATTTTGTTGCACTTATTGAGATCTACAAAATGAAATCAAAATCACAAAGATTGGTTCACTTAGAAGAAGGTTATGGCAAGTTACGCAAAAGACCCAGTTGCGCAAATGAACCTGTTGCGCAAAAAAATTTGCGGAAATTGGCCTACGCCCCAAAATGAAAAATGAAATATTGGCCAAAATACGGCTGGAAAAATGCCCGTACAGTAAGGCAGACAGAAAGACAGACAGAAAGACAGACAGATACCGTACCCCCGCCCTCCCCCCTCCCCTCCTTTTCCGTCATTTCATTTGTGAAAATTCGTAAATTTCGCATTTCTTGAAAACCAGTTTTTGAATCGTTCTGAAAATTTGCATATAAGCTTGATTTTTGATTCTCTACAACTTTTCCATTGACACCAAAATGGATTTCTCTTGAAGAAAGTGCTCAAACTCTGACATATCACAATAGTCGGCAGTTTTCAATTCATCAACCCAACAGAATATGCTAAAATTTGTTAACATTCGAACGAAATCTACTTATGGACGCCAGATTTTCGAGTTTTCTTTTTGTAAAGTTCAAAACATTCTTTGTCTTATTTGGTTTTTGTGGCTTGAATTGAGCTGAATTGAGCTGAATTAGCTTTTTGAATGAGTTACAATGATGTAGATTGTAGATTGGTTGAGTTTAAGAAACTCTTCCAAAAAAAAAAAACAAACAGAACTATTGAAAAGAATTTTTTAATCGTTTAGTGCAAAAACTTATGCACCAATCAAAAATCTGTTTGATTTTGCAACTAAAAATGAGGGTTAGCTATAAAAAAAGGTTATTGTTTTTGTTAAAACTTTGTTAAAACCTTGTTATTTCTTGTTTTTATCGATTTTTTTTTAAATCTAAGGGCACAGCAAGGCACAAATTGAAGAAAAACGAAACGCTAAACTTTTGGATAACATTGAAAATCACGTTTTCTAGTAAAGAAAGGCACGAATCACGAAATCATAAACAAATCGACACGAAAATCGGCTACGAATTTCACTTTTTTAAAAATCATTTTCTCTTACCTGCACCACCAGCTTGAATCCGAGCTGCAAAGCAAAAATTATTTTCGAATTTTGAAAATTAGACGAAAATCAAAATTCGACGACGAGCGGAAGCGAACCCGAGCCAACCGGCCCGCGAGCTCGCCTCGTAACGGCGCCGCTTACCAATTAGCTATGAGTAGATTCAGAACTCCCTCACACACATGCTATTTAAGCCGAGGTTAGGGCTTTTTATTTCAAACTCACTTGAATCTTCGTCTAGAGATTTGAAAAATTTGAACAATGATTTGAAGGATTTCAAAAATGATTGGAAGGACAAATGAAAGGATTTAAGCATAGGATTTTAAGCATAGGATTTATTAAGCATTGTCAGCATGTCGATTTTTATTGTATTCGGTAAATGAACCGGATAACCAACCAGATGGAGCGACGACCACAGTGGAAGCGAGTCGATCTTGCGGAAGAAGAAGTGAAAGACCGCCACAAGCACCATTTGAGGTACCCACCCATAATGAGGCGCCTGCTTTTGCATCTAAATCAACTCCATTGTCAGCTTGTTTTAAGCTTGCTTTATGCTAGATTGTTTGATGATTGCAAATAAATAATGATGGATATGGGCATTCAAATATCTTTCAATTTTGGCTCAAAGAAAAGGCGAGAAAAAGCTTTCCTGGCGAGAAAAAGATATTTGAAGATAGAAGACTAGATATGTTTATCGGATCAGATCGGGCTTTATCGGATCGGATCGGATCAGATCAGGACTGATCCGATAGGTTCGACCGATTGAGCTAGCCCGATTCGATCCATCCAACCGATCGAGCTAGCTCCATCCTAGCCGATCCTTCCAACCGATCGTGCTAGCCCGATCCGATCCTTCCAACCAATCGTGCTAGCTCGATCCGATCCGTCAAACCGATCCGTCAAACCGTCGGCTGTTCCATTAAAGTTTTTACGGTATTCTTGTAGTAGAAAAGGAGCCGAATCGAATGCTTTTTTTAATGTTTAGGCTTTTTATGGCTTCCGTTTGGTTCAGAAAGCGTGAAAGTGCTAAAAGCTGGCCGTACCGTTTTTCCGTGTCGATGCATGGATGAATGACAGTGATGAGACGAATTCCCCGTCATAGTCCTGAAATTGAGCCTACTCTAGCTATTTCCAAAACGTTCATCTAGGATTTGAGAGAAAAGTTGTATATTTTGATGTATATGTTATGTCCGAATCCGACCCGGCGATCAGATCGGACGTCCGAATCCGACTTTAAACTGCCGTCCGGATTGGATCCGACTTTAAAAGATTAGATCGAAGTCGGATATCTGAATTAGATCGAAGTCGGATATGTGGATTGGATCGAACTCGGCAATCCGGATTTAATCGGACTCGGACATCCGGATTGATTCCGACCTTAAAAGACTGGATCCGACTCGGACATCAGGATTGGATTGGATCCGACTCAGACATCCGAATTAGATCCGACTGGGCATCCGATTGGATCCGACTGGGCATCCGGATTAGATCCGACTCGGCATCCGGATTAGATCCGACTCGGCATCCGGATTAGATCCGACTGGACATCCGGATTAGATCCGACTGGACATCCGATTGGATCCGACTGGGCATCCGGATTAGATCCGACTCGGCATCCGGATTAGATCCGACTCGGCATCCGGATTAGATCCGACTCGGCATCCGGATTAGATCCGACTGGACATCCGGATTAGATCCGACTGGACATCCGATTGGATCCGACTGGGCATCCGGATTAGATCCGACTCGGCATCCGGATTAGATCCGACTGAACATCCGATTGGATCCGACTAGGCATCCGATTAGATCCGACTCGGCATCCGGATTAGATCCTAGTTCAAACCGAATTCGGACGTCAGAATAGGATCCGATCTAATCGCTGGCTCGGACTTGAACGTAACATATGCATCAAATCAGTTCAAATAGCCACTCACCGCTCTCACATTACTCGACGATCTTTCAAAAGAATGCTGTGATGAAGTGGGTGAGGGGACGGGTCCAGTTGAAGGAATTGGACGAGATGGTTCTCGTGGGGATTCTCGAGATGAATCACCTGGAGATCAAGTTTAGGCACAGGAAAATGTTACGACAATGGATTCATCTCATTTTCCTTTTTAAACAATTCACATCACAATATTGTGACTAACTGATTTTAGTGTCTAACTAAATAACTAATTGTCTCTTCTAAAAACTGCTTTAGGAAAAGGTATCGTAATCTTGATAAAGGTTTATTTGATTTATTTGATTCATTTGATTCATTTGATTCATTTGGTTCATTTGGTTTATTTGATTTATTTGGTTCATTTGATTCATTGATTCATTTGATTCATTTGATTCAATTGATTCATTTGGTTCATTTGATTCATTTGATTCATTTGATTCATTGATTCATTTGATTCATTTGATTCAATTGATTCATTTGGTTCATTTGATTCATTTGGTTCATTTGATTCATTTGATTCAATTGATTCAATTGATTCATTTGGTTCATTTGATTCATTTGATTCATTGATTCATTTGGTTCATTTGATTCATTTGATTCATTTGGTCCATTTAAATCATTTGATTCATTGATTCATTTGATTCATTTGATTCATTTGATTCATTTAAATCATTTGGTCCATTTGGTCCATTTGGTCCATTTGGTCCATTTGATTCATTTAAATCATTTTAAGGCTCATTTTTTCAAATTCAATAAGTACTAGGTTCATTTTTAAAAACAGATTACGATAGCTTTTCCCAAATTTCACAATTTTAGCGCAAAACATTACCACAAACTAATCATTTTCTGATCTCAAAAAAAGTTTAGGAATTTCTGAAAGTGGCTTGGTTGAAATGTGTGAAGTGAAAGAAAGCGGAAGTCATCGAAAAAAGATTAGAGATTAGTACAACAATTGGATATAAAGTTATTCTACAATATAAAGCTATTTTTACAAAGCTTTTCACAAAAGCAGGCAAATTTTTGAATGAATTGAAAAGTTTAATGTTGAAAATGTTGGAAAATGTTGGAAAATGTTGTTTCATTTTGATTTGAAATAAAGTTTTAACTGAACTTGTAGCTTGTAAGGTATTTGTAATCTGCCGTAAGTACTTTAATAGTACGCCAACCCTATAATGATGGTGCGGAGTGTTGTGTAGTCTAGCTAGCTAGCTAGCTAGCTTTGAACGAGTTTTTCTCGACACTGGTTTATGCTACAATGTTCGTTTTGATATCAAAAAATAGCCCTGAATTTCAGCTATTTTTTGATACCAAAACGAACATTGTAGCATAAACCAGTGTCGAGAAAAACTCGTTCAAAGCTAGACTACACAACACTCCGCACCGTTCTTATGGGGCTGGGGTACTATTACAGTATTTACGGTAGGTATAGTCGGGTTATACGTATAACCCAGATTTATATCCATACATCCGATAGCCAACGCAATTGTACTAATACAAGTACAATCTTGGGGCACACCCATACTTCCGAGACTAACAGCAGTACTATTTTGTACTATTTTGAACCTTTTTTTACAATAAAAGATTCAAAAGAAAGGAATTTAAAGGGATTTAAATTAGCATAAAACTTTTCGTGATTCATTTCTGATCATTTTCGATCAATTCTGATCATTTCTGATCAATTTTGATCATTTTCGATCATTTTCGATCATTTTCTATCATTTCTGATCATTTCTGATCATTTTCGATCATTTTCGATCAATTCTGATCATTTCTGATCAATTTTGATCATTTCTGATCATTTTCGATCAATTCTGATCATTTCTGATCATTTTCGATCATTTTCGATCATTTCTGATCAATTCTGATCATTTCTGATCATTTCTGATCATTTCTGATCATTTCTGATCATTTCTGATCATTTTCGATCAATTCTGATCATTTCTGATCAATTTTGATCATTTCTGATCATTTTCGATCAATTCTGATCATTTCTGATCATTTTCGATCATTTTCGATCATTTCTGATCAATTCTGATCATTTCTGATCATTTCTGATCATTTCTGATCATTTCTGATCATTTCTGATCATTTCTGATCATTTCTGATCATTTTCGATCAATTCTGATCATTTCTGATCAATTTTGATCATTTCTGATCATTTTCGATCAATTCTGATCATTTCTGATCATTTTCAATCATTTTCGATCATTTCTGATCAATTCTGATCATTTCTGATCATTTTCGATCATTTTCGATCATTTCTGATCATTTCTGATCAATTCTGATCAATTCTGATCATTTCTGATTAAAAATCACGTGCTTATTAGACTTTTTTCTAAAAAATGTACACGACAGAGTGGCGAACAATTAGCCTCAGTCCAAACCCTGTTCAAACTCTGTTCAAATTCATATTTTAAACTTTGATTTCTAATCAAAATTCATTGTTTTCTAGTAAAAATGAGCTAGATTTTGAAAATTAAAAAAAAGGAATAAATGAAGCTGGTTTTTATTTGATTTTAAAGCATTGAAACTATCGTATTCTCTCTAATAGTAGTGCACCCAGCCGAGCCGAGTTGATGACTATTTTACGGTTTCGAAGTTTTCACAGAAGCTCAACACTCAAATCCCTCACTAGATCTCATCGTCAGCTACATTTTCCGACCGCACATCGATAGGCTCTGATAAGCGCTTTTCGAGATTTCGAGGAATTTAGGCCGTAAAATAGTCATCAACTCAGCTCCGCTGGGTGCACTACTATTAGAGAGAATACGGTGCGCCAACGAGGGCGACAAGCGATTTTTTTGATGGATATTCGATTTCTTTTTAAAACCAGTTTCCAAATTTTCGGTACACCATTGGGAAAACGACTAAACTTGTAAGAAAAACATTTTGTCAATCCTTTTTTCCCGTTGTCAATCCAATCTAATGTTTTTCATGTTTTTCTCAGCGTTAGTCCTTCGATTTTTGTCTATTTTGATTATCATTCGATGCAGAATAAAATTGCGCATCGATTGATACCAAAATCAACTCAAAGTGTAATATCCATGCAAAGTTGTTGGCTAAAAGCCTAAGCGGCGACCATTATGGGCGGGGCTTAGCCTTTTGCCGTTGGCAATTTAAGGTTTTTGTGTTTTTCTCAGTAGAAATCTTTTGATTTTGTCTATTTTGATTATCATTTGATGCAGAATAAAATTGCGAATCGAATGATACCAAAATCGGCTCAAAATATAATATCCACGCAAAGTTATGAGGCAAAAGGCTGAGGGGCCTTAAGTTAAGCCCCGCCCAGAGTGGTCGGAGCTTAGGTCAAGCCCTGCCCAGAGTGGTCGGCGGACTTAGGTCAAGCTCTGCCCAGAGTGGTCGGAGCTTAGGTCAAGCCCTGCCCAGAGTGGTCGGCGGACTTAGGTCAAGCTCTGCCCAGAGTGGTCGGAGCTTAGGTCAAGCCCTGCCCAGAGTGGTCGGAGCTTAGGTCAAGCCCTGCCCAGAGTGGTCGGAGCTTAGGTCAAGCTCTGCCCAGAGTGGTCGGAGCTTAGGTCAAGCCCTGCCCAGAGTGGTCGGCGGACTTAGGTCAAGCTCTGCCCAGAGTGGTCGGAGCTTAGGTCAAGCCCTGCCCAGAGTGGTCGGCGGACTTAGGTCAAGCTCTGCCCAGAGTGGTCGGAGCTTAGGTCAAGCCCCGTCCATAATAGCCTCCTTGCCAACCTTTTGCTTCATAACTTTGCGTAGATATTAGATTTTAAGTTGTTTTTGGTCTCATTCGATTCGCAATTTTATTCTGCATCGAATGATAATCAAAATAGTCAAAAAGGAACAGTTGGTGCTGAGAAAAACACGAAAAACCAACTGCTTTTGCCTAAATTGCCAACGGCAAAGAAAGAATCGACAAATATTTTCGTTACAAGCCTAATAAAGACAATGGAAGTAACAACGAGCGTACAGCGGGTGACGGCTTTGAGCGACGACGAAAATGAGGCTGATGAGTGCTGTGAGATGAGCTGTTGCTGACCATTCTGTTGCTGGGGTTCCATTAACGATTGAGCTTTCGCGAGCAATGGTCTTTGTGAGTTTTTCGACGAATTCATTCCATCTTGGGTCCGAGAACGACCAACTGGAGCCGGCGAGGCGCCGCCTTGCGAACGCACATCTTGCGCTGAGCCACACTGGAAATTAGAACCAATATTTTTCTATTTCTAGTTTTTTCTTCAACAAAAACTCTCTAATCAACTCAATGTTATGTGTTTTGAGAAAAGAAAAAGATGAGAACTGGCTTTTGGATGTAATTCGTAACACTGTAGCTTTCGAATAAATAACCCAAGCCTTTAGCCCCAACCCAAGCCTAAAGCCCAACCCAAGCCCAAAGCCCCAACCTTACTGTACGCTTTAAATAAGCCTAGAGTATTCTAAAGTTGTCACTCAGGGTTGTAATGATTATTAGAATGGCTTTTCTAAAGCCATTTATGGAAAAAAGAGGCTATGGAAAAAAACCAATTGCCGGAACCAACTGCCGGAATCTTGAGCAAAATTATCGAGCCAAGATTCGATAACTTGCTGAATTAACTTTTAGATGACTGATCTGGAGGGCACTGTACTAGAAGAATACTTTAAAAACGATTGATAGGATGTTTTAGTTTTATTGCGTGGCAGCCCTTCTTTTCTCTACTGTTATTAGTAGTCAAGGGTTGAACTTCTGCCTAGAGCGCTTTTTAGATCTTCAATCTGGAGCTCACAGCGTTTGATCAGCACTCAAAAATTAGATATAACACTATTTTGACACTGCGTGGCAGCCCTTTTCTTCTCTACTGTTATTAGTAGTCAAGAGTTGAACTTCTGGCTAGAGCGCTTTTTAGATCTTCAATCTGGAGCTCACAGCGTCAGATGAATACTTAATAAGTTGATTATAATATTATTTTGACATTGCGTGGCAGCCCATTAGTTACATTATCATTGGGAAAAGACTACGGAATGCTACACAAGCTATTTATTTGTAGATCTTCAATCTGGAGCTCACAGCGCTTGGTGCGCACTCGAAAATTAGATATAACATTATTTTGTCATTGCGTGGCAGCCCTTTTCTTCTCTACTGTTATTAGTAGTCAAGAGTTGAACTTCTGGCTAGAGCGCTTTTTAGATCTTCAATCTGGAGCTCACAGCGCTTGGTGCGCACTCGAAAATTAGATATAACATTATTTTGTCATTGCGTGGCAGCCCTTCTTGGGGAAACTTCAAGAAAGATCAAGAATCAAGTGCAGCAGAGAGGCAGCGTGCAGCTTTTTTGCAAGTTTTTCTCCACAGGGTTTAAAACTAAAGCTGCTACAGTGTCTACGTCAATTTTAAGTCAATATCTTTTAAGTCAATTTTAAGTCAAAAAGTTTCCTTTTTCCCTTTAAAAACCAGTTCCATCTTTTTCTAACCAAAAAAAACACAAGAAAAGCGTAAAAAATATTATTTTATTCGAGAAGCTTTAAAAGATTTCTTGGGATACAAAAAGGGACCCAAATATAGGATATTATAGGATAAAATTTTGTTTAAAATTAAACCCAATTAAGGATTACTAAGGGGTATTTCTGAGAGCTAAAGGGTAAAAAAAAATAAAGGACAAAGTTACAAGAAGCCGATCGAAAAAAAAAATGGACAAAGCGGGGATGAGTGATCGGCCAAAACGTGGAAAAAACGAGAAAAACGAGAAAAAACGAGAAAAACGAGGACAAAAACGATGAAAATGCAGGGAGAAACATGACAAATTTGGAAAACTTGTGTTCTTTAAGGGTTTAAATGTTGAATTTTGGGGCTCTGCTTTTTTTAGCATGGTCAGACAAGGTCAAGCCTGGTCCTGGAACATCCTGGACCTGGAACAAAGCTCGGCTCCCTACTTTCAACCCACTAAACCCTCAACCAAAGAGATATCTAGATTTCGAACTTCTTAAGAAGCTATATTTACTTTTAGGTTACTTTAGCCTCAGTAGTCTAGTGGATAATCTGATAGACTACCGAACCTATTGTTAGATTCAGCCCCTGTAGGGATACAGGCTGAAGCCTATAGGGATAAGCCTATAGGGATAAGCCTGTAGGGATAAGGCTGTAGGGATAAGGCTGTAGGGATAAGCTAGTTCTATATTGGTTTTAAAGCTTAAAAGTAGTTCCAGATTGGGTTTAGAAGTTTAAAAGTAGTTTTAGATTGGTTTTAGAGGCTTGAAACTAGTTTTATTTTGATTTTAGAAGTTTAAAAGTAGTTCTATATTGGTTTTAGATGCTTAAAAATTGTTTTATATCGGTTTTAGACGCCTAAAAGTTGTTTTATATTGATCTTAGAAGTTTAAAAGTGGTTTTATATTGGTTTTAGATGCTTAAATGTAGTTTTATATTGGTTTTAGAAGTTTAAAAATTGTTCTATATTGGTTTTAGATGCTTAAATATAGTTTTATATTGGTTTTAGATGTTTAAAAATTGTTCTATATCGGTTTTAGATGCTTAAAAATTGTTTTATATCGGTTTTAAACGCCTAAAAGTTGTTTTATATTGATCTTAGAAGTTTAAAAGTGCTTTTATATCGGTTTTAGAAGTTTAAATATAGTTTTATATTGGTTTTAAAAGCTTAAAACTAGTTTATATTGGTTTTAGAAGTTTAAAAGTGCTTTTATATCAGTTTTAGACGCTTAAAATGTTTATAGTTTAGTTTAGTTTAGTTTAGTTTAGTTTATATTGGTTTAAAAAGGTTTTATATAGGTTTTAGGCGCTTAAAATGCTCGATTAAACCCAAAAAGAACACTTTTTTCGCATGTAAAAGGGGGAAAACTTTTCTTGATTCACAAAAAACAAACACTGAATCAAAAAAGAAAACATTAAAAAGCGCGAAAAAAAAACGAGAGACGGGAGAAGCGAAATTGGAAAAAACTTTTAAAAATTCGCTATTCTAAAGAAATGAAAACGGTGGGGGTGAGACAAATGCGAGCTTTTTTTTGCGCACCTGGACATTTGCGCACCTTTTTTTTTGCTGGAAAAGGCAAGGCTTAGGCAAGGCAAGGCTTAGGCAAGGTCGTAGAGCTTCAAAAACGTTTCCATATAGGCAATCGTATGCGTAGATTCCGAATTTCGACAAATCAGACCTCGCTGACACGTCAAATTTGGGTTAAAAGGCAAAAACTACGCAACTTAACGTTTTTCCGCAGTTTTTGCCTTTTAGCCCAAATTTGACGTGTCAGCGAGGTTTGATTTGTCGAAATTCGGAATCTACGCATACGATTCCCTTCTATGAATAGTTTTTGAAGCTCTACGGCCTTGCCTAAGCCTTGCCTTGCCTAAGCCTTGCCTTGCCTTTTCCAGCAAAAAAAAAGGTGCGCAAATGTCCAGGTGCGCAAAAACAAGGTCGCATTTGTCCCACGCCCAAAACGGTTTTTTTTCACACAGCCACCATGCCACCATTCACTTTTTCACAGAAAAATTAAAAATTGCAAAATTTTGCAAAGCTTTTTGTGATTTGCTTTTTGAATATTTCAGTTATAAAGTTGGTTATAGTTTAGATTTTTGGCTAAAATTTTAAATTGAAACTCTTTATGGCTTATTTAAGTTTAAATTTTAAGGCTTAATTTAATGGTTTATTGTTAAGGAACAAGATAAAACTGTTAAAGATAAAACTTACCAGATTTTTAAATACTTTTGTCTTATTTATTTTCTGATTTATTAGGTAAATGCATAAGAAATGCGGATTTCAATATTTTCAGAAATTTCTAACGATAGAAACGATAGAAATCTAACGCTAGAAACGATAGAAACGATAGAAACGATAGAAATCAATGAATGTTATAAACTCGATGAATGTTACTATTTGAATGTTACTATTTGAAAGTTCTAAATCTCCTCTACAAAATAGGCTAAAACGTGTTTCAATTGATCGAGGCATTGAAGAAATTTCGAGGCCGAAATGCGAGTGACCAAAAAAGGAATCGAGTCACTTTAGGGACAAGTTTAGTGTTGTCAAAATAGAGTTAGCTGTGCCCTGCTCGAAAGCCCCACTTTTACAAGAGTTCGGTTTTGACTATATAGTGAAAAATGACCTACCAACTCTGAACCAAATCTGAGCCGAACGCGAACCTACTCTTTATGAATCAAATCTGAATCAAATCTGAACCAAATCTAATCGAGTCGAGTCAAGAATCGAGTCGAGTCAGGAATCGAGGCACTTTAGGGACAAGTTTAGTGTGTTCAGAATAGAGTTAAGCTTCCCAAAATTGAAGATTTAAAAAAGGAAAAGGATAACTATATATGTATTCATTAAAAAAGTCTAACGGAAGTCTTTTTAAAAAAGTCTTTACAGAAATTTAGATAGAGCGTAAGTTTATTTTAGATTAGAGCGTATTTTGTAAATATAGATAGATATAGATAGATTTATAAATATAGATAGCGTAGATAAGTTTAGCATTTTCAGATTTGGTTCAGGTTTGATTCAGATTTGATTCATAAAGAGTAGGTTCGCGTTCGGCTCAGATTTGGTTCAGAGTTGGTAGGTCATTTTTCACTATATAGTTAAAACCGAACTCTTGTAAAAGTGGGGCTTTCGAGCAGGGCACAGCTAACTCTATTTTGACAACACTAAACTTGTCCCTAAAGTGACTCGATTCCTTTTTTGGTCACTCGCATTTCGGCCTCGAAATTTCTTCAATGATTCGATCAATTGAAACACTTTTTAGCCTATTTTGTAGAGGAGATTTACAACTTTCAAATAGTAACATTCAAATAGTAACATTCAAATAGTAACATTCAAATAGTAACATTCAAATAGTAACATTCAAATAGTAACATTCATCGAGTTTATAACATTCATCGATATCAGGTTTCTATCGTTGAAAAATATCAGGTTTCTATCGTTATGAAAATGTTAAAATCCGCATTTTTTATGCATGTACCTAATAGATCAGAGATTAGTTTGAGAAAACGAATTGAATAACAATCTAGAAAGCAATACTTTGTGCGAAACACACCTTTTCTAACGCATGAAATCTTTAATTTTCTCGTATCATCAAGAAAAGAAAAGAATTCCACGCTTTGGAAAAGTTTTGTTTACAAATTTAAGTACAAAGCACAACGTACAAAGTACAAAGCACAAAGCACAAAGTACAAAGCACAAAGATCGTTGTACTTGTGCTTGTGCTTGATCATTGTACTTGTGCTTTCTTCTCGAGCCTTTGAAATCACCTGTCGTCGCTTCATCGATTCCATCAGGTCCCTCATGAAATGAGTGTGATCGTTGTACTTGTGCTTTCTTCTTATTCGTCAATCTTCTCATTATTGCACCCGGTCCTCCGCCCGTTTTCACTGATTGACTCCGATTTGCATTCACGGGTCTTTCCAATTCCTCTTTGTGCCCATTCTCTTCTTCATGATTTTCCCCTAGACCCAATCGGTAACTTATTTTTCTTTTTTTAACTCGTAAAGAATGGGAATCTGACTGAATAAACTAATCATTTCATCATTTTATAAAGCTTACAGTACAGCTTACAGTACAGCTTACAGTACAGCTTAGAGTACAGCTTACAGTACAGCTTACAGTACAGCTTACAGTACAGCTTAGAGTACAGCTTACAGTACAGCTTAGAGTACAGCTTACAGTACAGCTTAGAGTACAGCTTACAGTACAGCTTAGAGTACAGCTTACAGTACAGCTTAGAGTACAGCTTACAGTACAGTGCGCCAAAAGTTTTGTCACCGTCTGTCTGTCTGTCTGTCTATCTATCTGTCTGCCTGCCTGCCTGCCTGCCTGTCTATCTGTCTGTCTTTAAGCCTTCGACCATCTTAGGGAGGTGATAGAACTTTTGGTGCACCTATATCATTTTAGATTAGCACTAGTTCTCCTATAAAGTGACTATTGCTATAAAGCGACTATTGCCACCGTATCCAATTATGTCTCAACTCCTCAGTTTTCTAAAAGACACCAGTTTTTCAAAACTACCAATAATCCACTAGTTTTCATTCAATTAGCTTGTTTTCATTCAATTCAAAAATTTGAGTGCTAAGGCCGAGCCAATGACGCCAAAATTGCGCTAATCGAATGGAAACTGGCAGACAAATCGATTACGGTAATAGATGGCTTTTAGAACATCAGATCCCATTCATTTCCGAGTTCCTCTACATTGCTTTAGCTATCGTACCCCCTCGTCCTTTATATTTCTCCCTGGTGTTCGTGGCTGCAGTAGGTGACATCTCTGAGGTGTTTCTCCGAAATATCGATCCAATTCCACCGCGACTTTTCCCCGTGAATGTCTTTGCTCTTTGTGGTGTTCGGGAGGCGGGAAGGATGTCGATTCCCGTTTGTGATGAGGCTCCTTTTAGACTGGGTGAGGTGGGCGGTGAGCTTACACTTGGCTAAAATTTTTAGCTCTAGATTTAGCTCTAGAACTTCGCTTGATTGTGGCTAGATTGTAGCTAGATTTTAGCTAGATTGTAGCTAGATTTTAGCTAGATTTTAGCTAGATACTAGCTCTAGATTTAGCTCTAGATTTAGCTCTAGAACTTCGCTTGATTGTGGCTAGAACTTAGCTTAATCGTAGCTAGATTTTAGCTTGATTTTAGCTAGATTTTCCTTTAGATTTTCTGTTTACTAAAACTACACTACTAAACTAAACTTTCAAAACAAAGTAAAACTCTAAAACTACACTTTAAAACAAAGTAAAGCTTTAAAACTTTAAAATTACACTTTAAAAGACACTAGAACTTTAAAATTTCACTTTAAGAGAGACTAGAACTTTAAAACTACACTTTAAAAGATACTAAAGCTTTAAAACTACACTTTAAGAGAGACTAGAACTTTAAAACTTTAACGGTAATGTTTTTTATTTAGTTTATCTAGTTTATCTAGTTTATCTAGTTTATTTAGTTTATCTAGTTTATTTAGTTTATCTAGTTTATCTAGTTTATCTAGTTTATTTAGTTTATTCAGTTTATTCAGTTTATTCTACTTTATTTACTTTATTTACTTTATTTACTTTATTTACTTTATTTACTTTATTTACTTTATTTACTTTATTTACTTTATTTATTTTATTTACTTTATTTAGTTTGTTTAGTTTAAGCGACACACTTTATTGCTGCAATTATTGCTGATTGCTTATGCAAATTTGAGCTTTTTTTCAGCTTAAATTGCAAATCACTTTGTGCAAGTCATGCCAAAGAAAAAAAAATAAAAAAAACACACGAAAAACCATGCGAAAAATCAAAAAAATCACGGTACCAATTGTACAAAAAAAACTCAAAACTCAAAACTCAAAAAACTCAAATTTCACCACCGTTCCACATAGAACAAAAATTTTCCAAAGGCAAATTCCTCTTTTCCCCTTTCCCAACTCAAAAATTAAAAAAAAACACTTTTTTCTCATTTCTCACTTACAGGAAGGACGATCTGAATTAGTTTTATCGAATTTTTTTGCAAATTTTTTGCAAATTTTTTTGATTAAATGCTTTAAATGCAAATTATTACAAATTTCACTGCACAAACGAAACGACTAAGGAAAAAAGCTACCGTAAATACTGTAATAGTACCCCACCGCCCTCGTACAGTCGCGTAGTCGCGTAGTCGCGTAGTCGCAAAGTCGCAAAGTCGCGTAGTCGTTTTTTAGTATTTCATTTTTTTCAAAGCGCTCGTACTTTCAAAAAATGCGTCTTTGGTATCAAAAAATAGCTGAAATTCAGGGCTATTTTTTGAAACCAAAACGAACCTTGTAGCATAAATCAGTGTCGAGAAAACCAGTGAACCAGTTCGCACAAACCAGTGAACCAGTTTGAACGAGTTTTTCTCGAGACTGATTTATGCTACAATGTTCGTTTTGGTTTCAAATAATGGCCCTGAATTTCAGCTATTTTTTTGATACCAAAACGAACATTGTAGCATAAACCAGTGTCGAGAAAAACTCGTTCAAAGCTAGCTAGCTAGACTACGCGACACTCCGCACCGTCATTATGGGGAGCAGGGTACTATTACAGTATTTATGGTATCTAAAAAAATTAGTGATCTTTCGTGCTACCCTTTTCAACTAAAATGCCCTTGTTAATGGTTTTCTATTGCAAGGAATCATTGTTTTAAATCAAAATTTACTTTCAGCCATCATTTAGAGATATTGTAGATTAGATTTGTAATGAAAAAAACTATTCCTCTATTTTGCCGTTGGCAATCTAATGTTTTTCATGTTTTTCTCAGCGTCAGTCCTTCGATTTTTGTCTATTTTGACTATAATTCGATACAGAATAAAATTGCGAATCGAATGACACCAAAATCAACTCAAAATATAATATCCACGCAAATTTATTGGCTAAAAACCTAAACCCCGCCTATTAGGAGCGGGGCTTAACCTTTATGCTTCATACCTTTGCATGGATATTACATTTTGAGTTGATTTTGGTATCATTCGATGCGCAATTTCATTCTGCATCGAATGATGGTTTGACCATGGTCTTCTTCTTGTTGTTGTTGGCTAAAAACCTAAACCCCGCCTATTATAGGCGGGGCTTAACCTTTTGCCTCATAACTTTGCATGTATATTAAATTTTAAGTTGATTTTGGCACCATTCGATTCGCAATTTAATTCTGCATCGAATAATAGTCGAAATAGTCCAAATAGAAGGGTTTATGCTGAGAAAAACACAAGAAACCTGAGATTGCCAACGGCAAAAAGGAAAAGACAGATTTTTTTAACTGTAGATAATACAGATTAGAGTCTGTTGACTAATAAGTTTTCTAAAAAACGCCTATTTTTAATGCCATAACCCTCCTGTCAATTTCCATTCAAAGTTTATAAACAAACTCTACTAATTACTTACTTAATAACTGTTTAATAACTGTTTGATAACTATTTAATTACTTAGTTAATTACTTATTTAATTACTTATTTGAACTGGAAGAGACTAGATATTTGGTCCTTGAAGAAACTTTAGCCAGAGCTAGAGCCTAATAACTATCTAACAACTACTTAATAACTATTTAATAACTATTTAATAACTCTACTAATTTCCTACTTAACTATCATTATAATAAGCCTAGTACTTTGTGCTCAAATCTATCTCAAACGCATCCTTTCTAGTGCAATTCTTCCGTTTTCTTGACACCAAATCTTTACTGAGTCTGCGGAATTGCCAGAAACAATGTGTTTACAAAAATCGAGCACAAAGAACACACAAAGATTTAAAACACTGATCCCTCGCCGCAAAACCAAAAGCCAAAAAAAGCGCGATGAGATTTTCCAAAGAAATCGGAATCTCAAATTCTCTCTTTTCTCTAAAGAGAGAGTGCTTATTTGACTCACTTGTCGTAAAGTCTCCGCCGCTTGGAATAGAGCCATCTGTGGGATTTTTTAGCCTTTAGTTTTCACCACCGGATTTCACCACCTCTAACCCCCAAACAATTCTTTTCACCAACCTCAGCCGAGAATGGGGGACTTGTTGAGTCTTGAGCGTTCAGCTGAACATTTGGAGTCGGCTCAGCTCCATAGAGTTCACTCGTCGCCCAGGCGTAAATCAAAGCACACTGAAAACACGAGGAATTAGAGCTTGAGCTTCAGTGAAACATTTAGTGCAATTGTTTATCATTTGCAGTAAGTCTAGTAGCTCTTACAGGTTACAGGAAGTCTAATAGCTCTTACAGGTTACAAGAAGTCTAGTAGCTCTTACAGTAAGTTACAGGAAGTCTAGTAGCTCTTACAGGTTACAGGAAGTCTAATAGCTCTTACAGTAAGTTACAGGAAGTCTAGTAGCTCTTACAGTAAGTTACAGGAAGTCTAGTAGCTCTTACAGGTTACAGGAAGTCTAGTAGCTCTTACAGGTTACAGGAAGTCTAATAGCTCTTACAGTAAGTTACAGGAAGTCTAACAGCTCTTACAGTAAGCTACAGGAAGTCTAGTAACTCTTACAGGTTACAGGAAGTCTAGTAGACTCGCCAGCTCTTTTATGATCTCCCCAACCTGTGCAATATCAACAAGTGCTAATCCTCCTTGACTCGCAATAGCAATCACTCCATACGCTGAATTGAGTGCCGCACATTGGATTGGTGGAGCGCGAGAAGAAGAAGGCCAAGGCAACATGCAGATGAGTTCTGGCTGAAATGGAAGATCTTTTCATATCAAGAATTAAAAACTCAATAATTGCAACTCCAATTTCAACTCCAATAACATTATTATTGTTGGATATAGCTTTCTCTCTTCTCTTTCTCTTTCTCTTTCTCTTTCTCTCTTCTCTTTTCTCTTTCTCTCTTCTCTTTCCCTCTTCTCTTTCCTTCTCTTTCTATCTTCTCTGTCTCTCTTCTCTTTCCCATCTCTTCACATACCTGAAATCCGGGGCTTCTCTTCACAGCCGCTCCTCTAACTTTAAATGGAAATATTCTTGCATTATCCTCTTCCTCATCCGTATCTGTCGAGACATCGGTTTCACGAGAATCAAACTAAAAAAAGGTTTTTGATTCAATTGATTCAATTGATCTTGATTCAATTGATCTTGATTCAATTGATTCAATTGATCTTGATTCAATTGATCTTGATTCAATTGATCAATTGATCTTGATTCAATTGATCTTGATTCAATTGATCTTGATTCAATTGATTCAATTGATCTTGATTCAATTGATCTTGATTCAATTGATCTTGATTCAATTGATCTTGATTCAATTGATCTTGATTCAATGATCTTGATTCAATTGATCTTGATTCAATTGATCTTGATTCAATTGATCTTGATTCAATTGATCTTGATTCAATTGATTCAATTGATTTAGATTCAATTGATTTAGATTCAATTGATTTAGATTCAATTGATTCAATTGATTCAATTGATTCAAAATTCAAGACAAATCACTCAAAAAAAATTGTTTTTGCAAATCTTGCAAATCATCATGCTTAACTCTTGAGAATTGAGAATTTAATAGTCAAATTTTTGGGTTTACTTTGTGCTTACAAAAACGCTTCCCTCTCTGCCACTCGTTTCATCATTTTCTCTTGATTTTATGTCGGAAAAAAGTGCCTTTATTTGGCCAATTTCTCTGTTGTTTAAAATGAAAACCCACAGCGCTAGAGAGCGCTAGAGAGGATGGGTTTATGTGAGTACAAAGAACACACGAATGCACAAGCATTTTTGTTTTTTCACGATCGCTTTTCTCTTTTTTTTTTCTTACCTTCCGTTGTCTGATTATTCGTCGAAATGATGATCGATCAAACTGTTTTGTAAATGAAAAAGTAATAAAGACTAGAGAATTTACAAGATTTCAAGATTCTTTTAATGCCTACAATACTGCCTACAATACTGCGTTTAATATCTTTTCATTCATTTTCATTTCCCAACCTTTTTCTGTCTTCTCATCTCCCGACAAGTGCTTGGTCCAGGTCGATCATCTGATGAATGTTGACCATTAAAAGATGTCATTGTGCAAACAGATGGAAGTGAAACAACTGCTAAAAAAGAAGAGCTGATATATAACAGACCTTATATATCAGCATATAACAGAGCTTGATATAACAGAGCTTGATATATAACAGAGCTTGATATATAACAGAGCTTGATATATAACAGAGCTTGATATATAACAGAGCTTGATATCAAGTCACCTGAGCGATTGGAAGAACCTGTTGTCATCCTGGGGGAGGTTTTATGCGCCATGAACCCAAATATCACCAGATAACCCGGACCTTAATATCAAGGTCTGATATACATCAAGCAGAGTTTGTGCGTACTTTGCGGTTGATATATATCAGACGTTGATATCAAGGTTTGGGTTATCTGGTGATATCTGGGTTCATGGCATAAGACCTTCCCCAAGATGACAACAGGTTCTTCCAACCACTCAGGTGAGATATCAAGGTCTGGGTTATCTGGTGATATCTGGGTTCATCGCATAAGACCTCCCCCAAGATGACAACAGGTTCTTCCAACCGCTCAGGTGAGATATCAAGGTCTGGGTTATCTGGTGATATCTGGGTTCATGGCATAAGACCTCCCCCAAGATGACAACAGGTTCTTCCAACCACTCAGGTGAGATATCAAGGTCTGGGTTATCTGGTGATATCTGGGTTCATCGCATAAGACCTCCCCCCAAGATGACAACAGGTTCTTCCAACCGCTCAGGTGAGATATCAAGGTCTGGGTTATCTGGTGATATCTGGGTTCATGGCATAAGACCTCCCCCAAGATGACAACAGGTTCTTCCAACCACTCAGGTGAGATATCAAGGTCTGGGTTATCTGGTGATATCTGGGTTCATCGCATAAGACCTCCCCAAGATGACAACAGGTTCTTCCAACCGCCAGGTGGAACAAGGTCTGGGTTATCTGGTGATATCTGGGTTCATGGCTAAGACCTCCCCAAGATGACAACAGGTTCTTCCAACCACTCAGGTGAGATATCAAGGTCTGGGTTATCTGGTGATATCTGGGTTCATCGCATAAGACCTCCCCCCAAGATGACAACAGGTTCTTCCAACCGCTCAGGTGACTAGATATCAAGGTTTGGGTTATCTGGTGATATCATCATCGCATAAGACCTCCCCCCAAGATGACAACCGGTTCTTCCAACCGCTCAGGTGACAACTTTGTTGTCATATATCACACCTCTCTTCATTAAAGTTCGAATTAAGATCACTAGACTCACTAAAACGAAATTATCGCCAATTATCGCGAAATTATCGCCAGTCAAGTAAAAGACTTAATAAAAATAATATCTTCAATCGATTCACCTCTTGAAATCTCGAAAACCCCAGGGTACAAATTTAGAGTTAAATATCTTCTTTGTGACATCTACAATGAATCCCATGGTGCGTCGTAATTATGGCAGCTGATTTGTAACCATTTGGTGCCACTTATATATTGTTATTTTATATCTTTTGCTTTTTTTCATCCTTGTTTTTTTTTCATCCTTGTTATTTAACCTAAACCGGTTAAGTAGATATAACTGGTTCAGTATAACCGATAAACTTAAAACAAACCAATGTAGCTAGGGTTGATAGATCCTACTGATCTATTCAGAGTCAATGCTTTCAAGCTAAAACTCCCTTTAACCTGACACCAAAATACACATTAATATATGATAATTTATATAGTATAAAAGACTTTTATAAGTACGATATCTAGAGAAGAATAGATTAAACATCGTCAAAACAAACCAATCGTATTCGTGCTCTCGGTTTTGTTAAACCGGAAAAGAGTCGATTGACCGGCTTGACCGGTGACAAGCAAAAGACGAGACTGAAAGTTGAAAATGAACTTAGTGAATCGGAAACTAGAGTCGAGAAAGCTAGATAGATTAAAGCTAGATAGATTAAAGGGCTAGATTAAAGGGCTAGATTAAAGGGCTAGATTAAAGAGCTAGATAGATTAAAGCTAGATAGATTAAAGAGCTAGATTAAAGAGCTAGCTATTGGGTTGGTGAATTGAAAACTGCGGGCTATTGTGATATGTGACAGTTTGAGCACTTTCTTCAAAAGAAACCCATTTTGGTGTCAATAGAAAAGTTGTAGAGAATCAAAAATGAAGCTTATATCCAAATTTTCAGAACGATTCAAAAACTGGTTTTCAAGAAATGTCAAATTTACGAATTTTCACAAATGAAATGATGGAAAAGGAGGGGGAGAGGGGAGGGCGGGGTTACGGTATCTGTCTGTCTTTCTGTCTGTCTTTCTGTCTGCCTTACAGTACGAGCATTTTTCCACCCGTATTTTGACCAATATTTCATTTTTCATTTTGGTTTTCAAGAAATGTCAAATTTACGCCAAATTGTGCCAATTTTTCACAAAACTTGCATTTTAAGCGAAACTATTAGGTTCATGCAAAAGTCTTTTTCATTTTTTTCGTACTTCTTTTGAAAAATAACAAAGTCATCAATTAACCTATGGTTTGCTCTAAATGAAAAGTGTTTATTGTTCAATTTCCCATCTTTTTAAGTCAATTTGGGTTCACTTTCAAGCAAATTCGAGAGTGAAAACGGGTTTTTCATAAAAATCTATAAAAACCTCTATAAAGAAATTGGCTGAATCAATTTCTCTGAAAATCTGAAAAAATATCTAACTTTTTGTGCTCTATCTTTTATTTATTAACATCAAGATTGGTTTCCTTAGCTAAAGCGTCTAAAATGCATCATCGAGCCGTCGCCTTTTTTGACTACCCGACTTCAGGCTCTCAAAAAAATCTAGACATAAGACATTTTAAACTCGTTTTAATGTCATTTTGCAGAAAAATAATTGGCCTTTCGAATGCAATAAACCGTTGTTCAATTGGTGCATTTGTTACTTTTTAACGGAAGTACGAAAAAAATGAAAAAGACTTTTGCATCAACCTAATACTAAGTGTATCTTTTTTAGGCTTATAAAATTAGGCTTATAGCCAAATTTCCAAAAAGATACACTTAGTAGTTTCGCTTAAAATGCATGTTTTGTGAAAAATTGGCACAATTTGACGTAAATTTGACATTTCCTGAAAACCAGTTTTTGAATCGTTCTGAAAATTTGGATATAAGCCTAATTTTTGATTCTCTACAACTTTTCTATTGACACCAAAATGGGTTTCTTTTGAAGAAAGTGCTCAAACTGGGACATTCCTTCATTTTTGACCCTCCCGTCCTCCATTTTTGAGTCTCACCCTTGTCTCACACACAAACCAAAATCCTACTACGAAAGAGGATGCCTGTAACCCCGCAAATTGCCTGTAAAATGGACAGAAGTCGTCAATAATAATGGGAATTATGTTTTGTGGTTTGATTTTATGTTCAATAAATTTTAGTTCAAAGTCCCGCAGTTCAATAGCTCAATAGTTTGAAAAGTTTAGTTAACAAGAGAAAGCTAGATAGATTAAAGCTAGATAGATTAAAGCTAGATAGATTAAAGAGCTAGATAGATTAAAGCTAGATAGATTAAAGCTAGATAGTTTAAAGCTAGATAGATTAAAACTAGATAGATTAAAGCTAGATAGATTAAAGAGCTAGATAGATTAAAGCTAGATAGATTAAAGCTAGATAGATTAAAGAGCTAGATAGATTAAAGAGCTAGATAGATTAAAGCTAGATAGATTAAAACTAGATAGATTAAAACTAGATAGATTAAAGCTAGATAGATTAAAACTAGCTAGATTAAAGAGCTAGATTAAAGCTAGATAAAATATTGAATAAATATCGAATAAAATCTCGAATATTATTCTTCCTGCACTACCTCCGGACACAAATGCAACGAGTTCACCGAATGCGAGACATCTTTCAACTGATCGCTTTGCTCTAATCGCTCGAAATGTGAGGCAGTCTAGAGATTTGGTTTATTTTTATTTATTTATTTATCTAGAGATTTATTTTGTTGTTTTTTTTGAATATCTAAATCTTTTAAGCAGTTTTTGAAAGGATTATTTATTTACTTTTACATTTTACAAACCTTTAATCTGTACAAAATCTGCAAATGCTCGCCGGAGCTTTGCCAGAAGCGAACTGTGCCGTCTTTATGGCTGAAAGATTAACGATAACCATTTGAAGTTATAAAGTTTTCATAAGTAAAGAACGAATAGATCGATTCGAATAGATATTATGTAGAAATTTGCATGGATAATCTTGAAAATACCCAGTGATCAGCAATTCTTGATATCCACTCGCCGCCTCTCGCCCGACACCACCATTGATTGGCCATTGCTGAAAAATCGAAAAAAAATCGATTTAAGAAATAAGCTCGGTCGATTTTAAGCTTAAAAACTTGTTTATTATATTTTCGAAAGCAATTTTCATTCGATTCATTCATTCATTCGATGAAAAACCCGATTTAAAGCCTGTCGAGCAAGCTAGAAGGGCTTAAAGTTGAGTTTTTCTTTACTTTTTTTACTTTTTTTACTCCTCTGCCCAACTTTGAGCCTCTCTAGCTCACTCCAAAAGCTTTAAATCACTTTTTAAATCAGCCGCCGACGTGCCCGATGTAAACCGACATGGAGAATCGATTGGCGGCGGTTAGAAGTTTCTTGGATAACGGCTAAGTGTCTAAAACCTCTGCCCCCCTTTCCCTAAATTTTCTTAGAAAATTGAAAATTTTTACGAGTGAATTTCAAATTTCGAAAAATTTCATTTAGTCTGAAGTAGTCTGAAGCCCGTCTGAAGATTTTGCTAAATTTTCTTCTTTGGGTGTAAATTGATTGAGCGCTTCTGAGCAAACTCTAGCAATTCTCCCAAAAACACCGAAATCCTGGCTACGGGTCTGGCTACGGGCTTGGATACAGGCCTGGCCCTGGGCCTGGCTACGGAGCTGGTTATGGGCCTGGCTACGGAGCTGGTTATGGGCCTGGCTACGGAGCTGGTTATGGGCCTGGCTACGGAGCTGGTTATGGGTCTGGATATGGGTCTGGCTATGGGCCTGGCTACGGGCCTGGCTACGGGCTTGGATACGAGCCTGGCTACGGAGCTGGCTATGGGCCTGGATATGGGTCTGGCTACGGATCTGGTTACGGATGTGGCTAGGAGCCTGGTCATGGGCCTGGATATGGGCCTGGATATGGGCCTGGATATGGGCCTGGCTACAGGCCTGGCTACGGAGCTGGCTATGGGGCTGGCTAAGCCTGGATATGGGTTTGGCTACGAGCCTGGACATGGGCCTGGACATGGACCTGGCTATGGGCTTGGCTACGAGCCTGGCTAGGCCTGTCTAGGCCTGACTGCGAGCCTGGTTACAGTAATCAAGTGATCCCAAGCTACAGTAATCACTTACCCTATCAGAGAATCCCTTTTTCCGTTGTTTACATCCGACCAACGCCAAAGCGCCCATCAAATCAGATGGGCATTCAGAATGATAGGAGACAGCGGTCACCGGAGATTCGTGCAGATCCATCGCGTGTGGGGATTCCAGACAAGGATAACTGAAATTTAATGCAATTGTCGAGACAACAGAATACTTGAGCAATATCGTATTTTGGACATTTTATACTAGGAAAAGTACGGTTTTCAGTTAAAGCTCTCACTTCTCTTTTTGTAGATCAATATACATAATGTCTCCTTTTAACAAAACGACTACAGCGTGCGGTTGTTGAGGAGATGACGGCCATGGAGCCTGGAAAATATATAGAATATAGAAATTGCGCAATTTTTAGAGATACCATTGGTAGTGTGATAAATGATAGAATTGGGTTATCCATTTCAAGGACAGTCGCCGAACGAGCAGCTTTGAGAAGGGTGAGAGCTGGCACTGGGACACCATCGTCTGTTGGCATACCTGGAAAGGGATTTTTTTATTTGATTTGATTTTTGGGTTTTTCTAGACAATATCCTAGAGCCTGTAAAAAAGAAGTGAAGGAATTTGTAAGAAAAAGTAGGCAGGAGATTGAACCCTCGACTTTTTGCTTTCCGGGGAATCACTTCCGGCAATTGCTCTAATCACTGGGAAATGGGATCATCTTTGAGATAAAAATCCATTCAAGAAATTGAGAAAAGCTTTATTGAAGAGATTTTTGAGCATTTCCAGCAAAGAGGATTATTTTTCTACTAATTCTATCGGTTTTCTCATTTTCGATTGAAGCCGAGTACAGTGAGTTGAAAGAAAGGAAGCAGGAAGGAAGGAAGAAGGAAGAAAGGAAGAAGGAAGGAAGGAAAAAGGAAGGAAGGAAGAAGGAAGGAAGGAAGAAGGAAAAAAAGGTGTACCAGAAAGTAGTAGTTGAACCTCTTCTATCAAAGGCTCAGAGTATACTGTGTGATATCAGAGAGCAATCTCTGATATCAAACCCTTCTATTATGAAATATCAGCTTCAAATCTTCACTGACCTCCACTGAAAATCACAAGTTGCTCGTTGTTTTCACTCCAGTGTCTCCAATCCAGTTGATGGATTGCTCGACATGGACCCTGACCGTGTGGAGTGGATCTAGAAGGAGATGGATTATAAATTAAGCATATAATCTCTTAAATAATCAGTTTTCTAAACGGTTTCCACTTCCTTTCGTAATCTTGCCTCTTTTTTAGCCTGTTTCTCTGACAAAGGAATGGTTTGGACTGGTCGAACGATTTCGCTACGCCGTTGAGATGCAAACGCCTATCGAACATGGGGAACACGATGCTTTATTTATTTTTTGCCCATTCTCAATGGTTCACGAGGTAAACGCTTGCAAAGTTTGAGCGCAAAAGAAAGGAAAAGAAAGCAAAAATCATTTCACAACCGGATTCGAACCAGGGTCAAGAAAAGCAAAAACTCGAACACGAGCACGTGCAGACTTACCCCTACACCAACCTGTCACAGTTTAGGGGAAAGAAAAGAGCCCATATATCCCCGAGGTGCGATTTTTCGAGTAAGCGCTCAAACTTTGCAAGCGTGTTTCTCGTGAACCATTGAGAATGGGCAAAAAATAAATAAAGCATCGTGTTCCCCATGTTCGATAGGCGTTTGCATCTCAACGGCGTAGCGAAATCATTCAGCCAGTTCAAACCAGCCAGTTCAAACCAGCCAGTTCAAACCAGCCAGCTCAAACCAGCCAGCTCAAACCAGCCAGCTCAAACCAGCCAGCTCAAACCAGCCAGCTCAAACCAGCCAGCTCAAACCAGCCAGCTCAAACCAGCCAGCTCAAACCAGCCAGCTCAAACCATTCCCTTGTGAGAGTTTATAGAGAATATCAAAAAGCTATATAAAAATTGAAGAAAAAACTAGACAAGTTTACGGTAGTTTGCACGTTTTAGAAAAAGAAAAAGAAGAAACTCAAAAGCGTACCTCTGCACCGGTTCATTGACTCTTCTCGCGTTGAATATCGACACCGATCCATCGACATTCCCGCACATCACTTGACGACCATCGTAGTGCCAACTGAAAATGCCTTGAACTGTAAATGCCTTGAATCCCTCAACATTCTATGCTTTGACATTCTATGCTTTGACATTCTATGCTTTAAACATTCCCATTCCTCAAACAAACCTAGCACATTTGATTGGCGGATCGAGTGGGAAACGATCAGCTTCTCTCGTTGAAAGATTCCATACAACGGCGACTCCTTTCTCGAAAACGATCAACAAACGAGATGGATCGATTGGACAAGCCGAGAGTTGCTTCACAGAGCCCGGATGAACACGGCAAGATCTAGAAAAGACGTTTGTCTAGATCTTCCAATCCCATGTCCAGTTGCCAGTGATTGTTCATTGGAAACTAGACAGGGGAGTTTAAACTACAAATGTAAACTACAAACCTAAACTACAAACGTAAACTATAAACGCTTGTAACTTGCTTCAAATCTATTTGATTGAGATGTTCTATAGCTCAAAAAATAGAGAATTTCAAGAGCTTTTGAATGAACTAAAACGCATCCAAAAAGATCAATCCTAAAGAAAGTTACAGTTGTTTGACTCGAAACGGACCTTACTCACGCGTAGTTGGCTACGAGCCACTGTAACTTTCTATAGAATCAATATTTTTCGGTGTACTTTAGCTCCTTCGAAAGCTCTTAAGATTCTCTATCTTTTGAGCTATAGATCATCTCAATCAGGCAAATTTGAAGAAAGTTACAGTCATTTGTAGCCTGACAGACCGTAATCGTGCGTAGTCGACTACAAATGACTGTAACTTTCTTTAGGCTTGATCTTTTTAAATGTGCTTTAGTTCATTCAAAAGCTCTTGAGATTCTCTATCTTTTGAGCTATAGAACATTTCAATCAGACAGTTATGAAGCAAGTTAGAAGTGTTTATAGTTTACATTTATATTTTGTAGCCTAGTTGGCAACAAGTTGAGCAAAAAAAAGTTCAAAGAAAAGCCAAAACCAGTAAAAATTAGCCCATTAGCCATTAGCCCATTAGCCAAAAAGCAGCAGTGTAAAAATAAAGCCAAGGCAATGGCTTCTATTTTTTAAAGTTCACTCACAAATCGATCGCTTTATTCCAATTGATCACATAGCTACTCATTTGAAATGTGCCCACAGAGACCGAGTAGACGTTTCCCTATACAAAAATGATAGATTTGAACAATTAAGCTGAGCTAAGCTGAGCTTTTTGAAGTCGATAAGAATTCAAAAGAATTCCTTTAATCTTTACCTTATCAGTTCCAACGAAGAGCCATTTGCTTTGTAAAGGAAGATGGATACAGGTCACTGATTCCTGAAAGGCCAAATTATCATTTATACTGTTGTCTTGTTGTCTAAAATGTCTAAAATGATTGTCTAAAATGTCAGATTGTCTTATAATATAAAGATTGTCTAAAATTTACTCTATTAGTACTGTGAGTACAGTTAGAGGCGCAGTACAGTTAGAGGCGCAGTACAGTTAGAGGCCCAGTATTAATAGAGCCTAAGCCTAAGCCTAAGCCTAACCTATGGGGGGCGGATGAGCATCGCCAAGCGGGTGTCCCTTAGCTCCGAGAACTGGCTGAGATCCAAAAAATGGGGGTTCAGCCCAAACCCAAATAGACTTAGTGCTAGGCGCTAGCCGCTAGCCTTTGCACTAAGTCCAAGCCTAAGCCTAAGCCTAAGCCTGAGCCTGAGCCTGAGCCTGAGTACTAATAGAGGCCCAGTACTAATAGAGGCGCAGTACAATAAGAGGCGCAGTACTGTTAGAGGCCCAGTACTATTAGAAGCGCAGCACTAATAGAGGCCCAGTACTAATAGAGGCCAAGTACTGTTAGAAACGCAGTACTGTTAGAAGCGAAGTACTATTAGAGGCCCAGTACTATTAGAGGCGCAGCACTAACAGAGGCGCAGTACTAACAGAGGCGCAGTACAATTAGAAGCGCAGTTAGTGGCGCAGTACTGTTAGAGATGCAGTTCTAATGGAGTAAATACGGTAATTGGTTCTTTTATGGGTTGGGGCTGGGAATACATGATCGGCACCGGGATTCGACCCCGCTTACGTCGATAGCTTACGATAGCTATAGCTCGATAGCTATAGCTCGATAGCTATAGCTCGATAGCTATAGCTCGATAGCTATAGCTCGATAGCTATAGCTCGATAGCTAGCTCGATAGCTATAGCTCGATAGCTATAGCTCGATAGCTATAGCTCGATAGCTATAGCTCGATAGCTATAGCTCGATAGCTATAGCTCGATAGCTATAGCTCGATAGCTATAGCTCGATAGCTATAGCTCGATAGCTATAGCTTACGTCGATATGTCGACGAGCGCTCTATCAATGAGCTACACCGACATTTCCCGTTGCCGCCAGAGCCTTACTATATAGCAAAATCTTTCTTAAAAACTACTGTCTGTCGGGCTGTACTTTGAGCTGTACTTTGTACTCAAAAAGTACTCAAAAAGTACCTTGTTCAGCTGTAGCGAGTGAACGATGTCGGCGCGTTTTTGTCGAAAATTCCATAAATGGATCATGTCATTAGCACAAGCTGTGATCAATCCACCCTAGAATTATATTGAATTGATTTAAGCTCTATAGAATCTCTCTATAGCTCTATAGAGACTTATATAGAATCAATTGATCTGAAAACTTCTAATGCCCAAACCTCGTTTATCAAGAATTGAGCATGAAGGACTGGATGATCTGTCTCGTGTCGAAGGAGATAATCAACACCGACATCGCCTAGAAATAGAATGAGATCTATTGATTTGATTGATTGACCTAAACGAATTGATTCAAAGAAACACGCTCTATTAGCTCTATTGATACTTTAGAGTAGCTTAAATCGAATAAAAATCTCTTATAGCAATATTTAGAAGGCTAAGCATCCACTAAGCAACAGCAACAACACCAACACCGACATAGAATGACACTTAGGAGTCTAGGATTCAAGTGCTGCTGACAATCCTAAGCCTTTAGCCTTTAGCCTCAAGAAATCCACTGTTTTAAAGATTTTCAAGCACAAACCAATGATTCTACAAGTTCCATGTCCTGTTCCAATCGCTAAAAGTCGTTGCACTGGATCATAAGCTATACAACGAGCATCATCCGGGAAACCGTGACGAACGATCTAAAATTTAGGCTTATTTTGATCCAATTATTGAAAATAATTTCTTCTACGATAAAGAGTGCGTCATAATTACCCGGTCTCGCTTTTAAAAGTCCAGAAATGAGCTAAAATCAAATGAATCTCCACTGAGCAATTACCCGAATCGTCCCCCACTCGTTCCCACTCCCCCAGCTCCCCACTTGCTCCCACTCCCCAGCTCCCCACTTGCTCCCACTCCCGAAGCTCCCCACTTGCTCCCACTCCCCAGCTTCCCACTTGCTCCACTCCCAAAGCTCCCCACTTGCTCCCACTCCCGAAGCTCCCCACTTGCTCCCACTCCCCAGCTCCCCACTTGCTCCACTCCCGAAGCTCCCCACTTGCTCCCACTCCCCAGCTCCCCACTTGCTCCCACTCCCGAATCGCTCCCCACTTGCTCCCCCTCCCGAATCGCTCCCCACTTGCTCCCACTCCCAAAGCTCTCCCCAATTCTAGTGTTGTTTTATACCGAAGAATCACCCCTTACCCTACGCATTAACACAAAGAACGCGACTCAAAACTCGACAAATCCCCAAAATCGTCAGTATTTTCGTCATTAATCGTCATTAGAACGTCGACTTGAAAGCATTTCCCAAATCGTCACTATTTTAAGGGTTGAGAACATTCTAAAGCATTTGCAGTTTATAAAAAAACTTGTTAATCAGTAGAAAATCAGTAGAAAATCAGTAGAAACTTGTTAATCAGTTTTTATAAAGTGCAAATGCTTTAGAATGCTCTCAACCCTCGAAATAGTGATCGATTTGGGAAATGCTTCCAAAGAGGAGGTGGAATGCGTGTGAGTGCCGGGCAAATTATGAAAAAAAACTTGTATTTTAAAGGATTTCAAATCGCAATTGATTTCACAAACCTTGAAAAAAGCACAATGTTCAGATTGTATCCTCTCATCCACTGTCACTTCGACTTTTCCCAGTGATCGAAGACCGTCTAAAGCCGATGCGAAACGCCTCTTTGCTCTCTCCATTTCTGAAATTTCAATTTCATTTCTCAATTCACAGCACAAGGTAATCTTGAATTTCAATACTAGCACAGCTTTTGATGTACTTGTGAACAGTGAGTACAAAGTACATCAAAGCTGTGAGCTGTAAGTACAAGTACATCAAGAGCTGTGAGTACAAGTACATCAAGAGCTGTGAGTACAAGTACATCAGAGCTGGTACCAAGGCGCAGGCAAGGCATGGACAAGTACACAAGGCTGTGGTACAGACACAAGGCGAGACAAGGAGACCGGGCTGGCAAGGGGCCCGGGCTGGGTCGACTCAAGGCGGCAGCAAGAGCTGTAGTACAAGTACATCAAAAGCTTGCATTCTTCAGTTTTCTTGCAATTTCTAGCACAAAACTAAGAATTAAGTACTCTAAAAGCTGTGCTTACAGTTTCAAGCACAATAGAAAGTTCTTGATCAGCGCTTGATCAGAGAGCTTAGTGCCCAGATCTTTACAGAGAGCTTGATGCTCAGATCTTTACAGAGAGCTTACAAGAGCATAACTATCACTAAAAAACAGAACAAACAACAAAGTCGAAGGCTCAGAATTCCCTAGTTCTTTTTCTAAATCAATTTCAAATCAATTAACTAAAAGAAAGTGTGAAAAGTGGGTGATTTTTCTCTTTAGAATTCAGGGAAAAGTCGTGTGAGCCAATTTTGGGCTGATTGGCCGTGAAAAGTGAATTTTTTTGGAGGTGTAAAGAGGGAATGGAAAGCAAAAAAGCTAAAAAAGCTAAAAAAACTAAAAGAACTAAAAAAAATGAAATGAAAAAACTAAAAAAACATGAAAAAACTCGCACTTAAAGAAATAAAGCTACCGTAAATACTGTAATAGTACCCCGCTTCCCATAATGACGGTGTTGCGTGTTGCATAGTCTAGCTAACTAACTTTGAACGAGTTTTTCTCGACACTGATTTACGCTACAATGTTCGTTTTGGTATCAAATAATAGCCCTGAATTTCAGCTATTTTTTTGATACCAAAAACGCATTTTTTGAAAGTACGAGCGCTTTGAAAAAGACTAAAAAATGAAATACTCAAAAAACTTTTGCGACTACGCGACTGTACGAGGGGGCGGTGGGGTACTATTACAGTATTTACGGTAAATCTATTTAAAATGTCTTTTTCCAAAAGTCCTTTCAGTGTTTCCCTTTCGTTTTCCTTTTTTTCATACCTGTTTATTGATGAAATTCGTCTCGAAAAAGCGATCGATTGATGGAAAATTGTTGTTTTTTGATTTTTTTTTTGATGAAATCACCGAAAAGAAAGCGAAATTCTTTCCATATGAGGCTGAAAAGTTAAAATAAAGTTTTTTTAACAAGAAATAAATCAAAGAAAGAAAAGAAATCAAAACGGACATCGAATCAGGATCATTTGAGCGAGAAACAAAGCGTTTAGCCATTCGGCCATTCGGTCAACTGTCTCATGACAGAAAAAAAGGGCGTTAAAAGTGGCCGGATATCAAAAACTATCAAAAGCTTATTAAAAACTATTAAAAACTATCAAAAAGTATCAAAAACTTATCAAAAACTGTCAAAAACATCAAAAGCTTATCCAAAACTTATCCAAAACTATCAAAAACTATCGTAGAACTATCAAAAACTATCAAAACCTATCAAAAACATATCAAAAACTCTCAAAACTATCAAAAACTATCAAAAACATATCAAAAACATATCAAAAACTATCCAAAACTATCAAAAACATCAAAAGCTTATCCAAAACTTATCCAAAACTATCAAAAACTATCGTAGAACTATCAAAAACTATCAAAAACTATCAAAAACATCAAAAGCTTATCCAAAACTTATCCAAAACTATCAAAAACTATCGTAGAACTATCAAAAACTATCAAAACCTATCAAAAACATATCAAAAACTCTCAAAACTATCAAAAACTATCAAAACTTATCAAAAACATATCAAAAACATATCAAAAACATATCAAAAACATATCAAAAACTATCCAAAACTATCAAAAACATCAAAAGCTTATCCAAAACTTATCCAAAACTATCAAAAACTATCGTAGAACTATCAAAAACTATCAAAAACTATCAAAAACTAATCCAAAACATCAAAACTTATCAAAAACTATCAAAAACTATCAAAAACTTATCCAAAACTATCAAAAACTATCAAAAACATCAAAAACCTATCCAAAACTATTGTAAAACTATCAAAAACTATCAAAACTTATCAAAAACTATCTACAACTTGCTACCAAAAGCTTAACACCTTAAAACAGTATAGAAAATGAAAAGATAACCCGGAAGCGCTTAGCCACTCGGCCATTCGGTCAATTGGCAGAAAAAAGGGCGTTAAAAGTGGCCGGATATCAAAAACTTATCAAAAACATATCAAAAACTATCAGAAACTATCGTAAAACTTATCAAAACTTATCAAAAACTATCAAAAACATATCAAAAACTATCAAAAACTATCAAAAACTATCAAAAACTATCAAAAACATATCAAAAACTATCTATAACTTGCTATCAAAAGCTTAACACTTTAAAACAATATAGAAAATGAAAAAATAACCCGGAAATCATTATCAAATGTGAAAAGTGAAGAAAAGCATCGATGAGAATGAAAGCCTCACACACGAATAAAAAACTCCATTAATTTTTGCTCAAAGAAAGAGAGGAGAGTGATTCCCAAAAAAAGCAAAGGAATGGGTGGCCGCTTATCGAGAATCGAGAAAGGAGCGGTGTGTTGGAAGAGCCACAAAAGGAAGCCACCAGGGCAGAGAGAGGAGTCGAACCCTCGGCCCTCCACAGGCTGCCCGTTCTCTAACCGGTCTCTAACCGATTGCGCCACCTCGACCTCGCAGGAGCCCCCAATCTTTCGCCTTTTGTCTAGCGAGGGTTCTCTCTTCTCTCTTCTCTCTTCTTCTACCTTCTCTTCTTCTTCTCCTCTCTTCTTCTACCACCTCCAATTGTGACATCAATTTGGAGGCAGAGCTGAGCCTTCTGCTTTTAAAAAAACCATGAAAATCATTATCCCTTTGTCCCTCAGTAAAAAAAGTTGCTCGAAAAATGGAAACTCTTTTTCAAATGATCTCTTTTTAAACATTTTAAACTCATTTTAAACTCTTTTTAAGCTCATTTTCAACTTTTTTTCTATGCCTTTCACTAAATTTAACTCTAAATCACAAACTTTAAGTAAATTTTAAGTAAATAAATAACTTATAAGTAAATAAATAACTTATAAGTAAAGAAACAGCTTATAAGTAAATAAATAACTTTAAGTTATAAAAGATCAAAAGATTTCGCACAACTTTTATATAAAGTTTTAATGAAGATCAAAAATTTAAACAGTTTTTAACTCCCTTCAGAAATTCAGTAAAAGCTCGTATTTCGTACGAAAAAAAGCTCGTATTTTCAAGAACAAGAACACAAAAAAGTCCATAAAAGAAAAGATTGTTTAATACAAATTTAAGTCATCAAAAACCATTGTTTAAACCCGATTAAAAGGATTAAAAAGATTAAAAGCATTAAGAGCATTAGAAGCATTAGAAGCATTAGAAGCATTCAAAGCATTAAAAGGATTAAAAGGATTAAAAGCATTAAGAGCATTTAAGAGCATTTAAAAGTGATAAAATAGAGAGGCAACTTTCTAGACCCTAAGCCTAAGCATTCAAAGCATTAAAAGCATTAAAAGCATTTAAAAGTCATAAAATAGAAAGGCAACTTTTAAAAAAAGACAATAAGTCAATTTTTTCGGGTTTACGGGTCGAATTTCTGAAAAGAATGGGTTTTTTGAGCAAAAGAAAAGAGAAAAAGATGGGAAATGTTTATTTTGGGTCAACACAAACATTTTTTCGATTGAAAGAAGTAAAAAAAGAGTGGCTGGGGGAAATGGGGGAGTATTGAACTGGTCACTCGGGTAGGTAAACAGTCGAAAGTTTTGACCATTTGGTAAAGTAGATTTGGTAATTATCGGTTAAAAATCCACAAAGTCTCATCAAGCATAACAGATACGGTTCGAATATGGTTCGGATACGGTTCCAATGTGGGTCGGATACGGTTCGAATATGGTTCGAATATGGTTCGAATATGGTTCGAATATGGTTCGAATATGGTTCCAATATGGTTCGAATATGGTTCCAATATGGTTCTAATATGGTTCCAATATGGTTCCAGTATGGTTCGAATATGGTTCCAATATGACTCCAATATGACTCCAATATGGTTCCAATATGGTTCCAAAATTGAAGTTAATTTCAAGCTCCTTTTGAAGGAGAGATTTCGATTTTCGACTAGCGCTCATTCAAGCGCTTATTAAATGAGTTGTGTAAGTCGAATCGGAAAGTTTTTGATAGATAAATGTAGCCAAGATTCAGGGCTACAATTCTCTATATAACACTTGAGTTTACAACAAATCTATAGTGCCAAAACAGCTGATATAACGAGACACGCATATGCACTGAATATCGGAATTCAAAAATATTAGGTTGGCAAGTTATAAACGATGGTTTTTTTGGTTTTTGTTTTCTGAAAAAACGGCTTATCCAATCAAAAAAACGGTTTGCTTAATTCAAAAGCTCTATCCTTAATCTACAAATCTAAAATCTATATACAAATATCTAAAATCCTGGTTTCTAGCATTCATGAGCTAATATATTTTTGAGTGATTGCATACTTTTTAAAATAAAACGCTTCATCGATTACATAGCTTCCCAAAATTACAGAACAATCCAATCTTTTGAAGGTTGATTTTCGAATTAGGTTTGAATCAGATCAAATCAGAATTGATTCAAAGACAATTTTCCCAGGTTAGATCAAGCTCTATTAGTTCCTTGTCGGTTTCCGATTGAAGTGATCCGATCCGAAGTGATTTTTTTGAAAGTTACGAGAATGAGCATAACTAAAAAACTAGAAGAGATTTCGAAAAACGGTTTTGGTTTTTAAAAACTACAAATACAACGAGATTTGACCAGTTTTGGTTGACAAGAAAAAACAGCTTTGGTTGACAA